AAAATTTGACCCCCCAAAACTGAAAGTCTAGTTCCGCCTCTATAGGCGGCATCTACTCATTGTGTCTTGAGTTTCTAGCCTTCAGAGACTTTAGAGGACTAGCTAGCATCTTTCATAAATGCAAAAACATCGCCGAAAGGAGATAGTATTCACATCTGGACCAGGCTTAATCATAGTCCATTCGAACTTCGAGAGACTGTTCCAGGGAAAAAAAAAAAACTTGGACAGGAATGGACAGAGCTACTACATCGATACCGGAGGGGTTACTAGTTACTAGTACTCTATACTTGAGGTCATCCCATATTTGTAAAAATTGGCCATTCTACCCAAAGGTTGACATACGTTGTCAATTCTACCATTTTTTTTTGTTAGTCAATATTACCATAAATTATCCAACCGTTAGCCAATTTTGTCAAATTTGTCAATTTCCGTTTAAATTAACGGAATTCTGTTAGTTTTAATTACAAAAATACTCTAATAATTTTGAAAATTATAAAAATGACCCCAAAAATTTGTAAAACTAACTAAACATTCTTTTTTTTTCACTTTTTATTTAATTTTTTTTGTTTTCTATTTCTCTTTACTATTTTTTCATAACTATAAAAATATATTATATGATCTCAAAAAAAAACTATTTATTTTTTAACACTACTGTGCAAATCTATAGATATACATATTTGTAACTCATGGTTGACTTACATGAACATATTAATTTTTTTAATATAATAACTTTAAAATAATGATATTATTTTTTCAATCCTTTTTTTTTCAATTTAAAGAATTAGATTTTTTGACTAAAAACTATTTTTTTTCACGAAAAAATTAAAACATTTAGCATAGATTAAAAATTAATATACTAGTAAAAAGAAATTAAAAACAGAAAAATTAAAATAAAACTGAGAAAAGACTGTTTTTTTTATTTTTTTCAAATTTTTAGAGTCAATTTTATAATTTTTAAAATTATTAGGGTATTTTTTTTAAATAAAACTAACAGAATTCCGTCAATTTAAATGGAGGTTGACAAATTAGACCAAATCGACTAATGGTAGGATTATTTAGGATAATATTGGCTAACCGAAAAAAATAAGATAGAATTGACCACGTCTATCAATTTTTCGATAGATCGACTAATTTTTCCTACTTTCTTGCGTCATACTTTTTTTTTTTTTTTGGTCAAAAGCGATATTCATTTCTAAGATGAAAGAAAATATGAAATAATGTACACTTAGCTAGTACAATCTGCCTTAAACATCTCATCTAACCACAAAAGGGTATCATTTTCCCAACTTTGTGTATACTTGTTAGATAATGTTAAATTGGCTAGATTATGACCTGTAGAATTCTATTTTTTCCTAATATATAGAAATTTACAGCGAGGTTATTTCTTGCGTCCTACTCACGAGGAGGAAGGAGGCGAAAAAGATTACTCCTTCCCTCCCATAATTATTGTCCACTTTGCCCAAAAAATTTTGTCCCAAAATTATTGTCCAATTTGACTTTTTATGGATCAAGTTACACATTTGTCCTTAGTAAAAAACATTATCCATAAAATCTTAGTGGTTAAACAAGTACTTATGTAGGGTATATCCGGTTGTTTAAGGTAAAATATAGTTAAGTTTGACCAAAAATAAAATCTTTCATTTTAGTAAAACTAGACAATAATTATGGCTCCATTTGGACAAGAGTTTTAAAAAACTTTTCGAATAAGTCTTTTTGAAGCAAAATTTCAAAAAGACTTTTTGAAAGAAAATCCATTTGGACAAAAATTTAACAAAAAGCTTTTTGTAGTTAAAAATATTAAAAATTCATTTGGATTAGACCTTTTCCAAAAACACTTTTTGTCAAAAAATAATTATGGCACCTTTTTTTTTTAATAAAAAGAAATACTTACACAAATTTTCATATTATTATTGCATTTTTGTTTCATTTTAAAACCATTATATGACCATTCTAGCTTATCGAATGCATAATAAATTTGAAATATTGTTATCGAGAGATTTTTAAACATCCAACTCTCAAAAAAAAAAAACATAGTTCATAAGAGAGATAAGCCCACAAAACCTCCCAAGAATAATTGTATGCTTTGCAAGTATAATCTCCAATATATTAACCAAAACTTCACTATTCATCTATTCAAATTGAATGGAAATACCCTAGTAACAGTAGTTCAAAGAATGTGTGAAAAATAAAATGAAAGAAACCTGCAACAGCAAGAGCAGGAAAAGACAAAGAACGAAAAATAAATGCAATACACAGAAAGAAGACATATGAGGATGCCATAAATCTTAGCTACAACAAGAAACTAGTTGAAATTGCAGACCACGAGTACAATAATTTTGGGATAGGCTTTCAAAACATCCATGTCTTAAGAGTTATCGGAGGAAAATGCAGTCTGGAAATCACACACCCTCAATCTCTCAAAGATAGTTTAGCCTTACAAACCTCGAAGACAAATTCTCAAACTAAACAAGATCAAACTTTGACAAGAAAACATCGCTTGCAATCCAAAGTTACAGTCTACTTGATAATGAAAGTTACTTCATCGAATATTAAAGGTGAGAAGGTCCTGAGGTCAAACATTTTGTTCACTGCTAAACAAACTAAACACTAACATATATGTGCCAAAAAGGAACTAAAAAAATTCAGCTTTACAAGGGCATGTGTGCATCATTCATCTTTATATTTAACCAAAATGATGTCGCAACAAGATCTTAAATTCACCTCAAACTTGGACATTTTGGCTCAGCACAGCTTAACATATGGGATATTTTCCAACATTCAAAATATACTATTTTGGAACAGGAAACTTTTTCACTTTTGCAATGCACTAAAACTGAAACCGAGCCACAAAACAAGATCAAACAGACCCAGATTTTCCAAAAATAATCTAAACCAGAGAAACTAATCAAATGATAGAAACTTGCAAAAATCAGCTCAACCCTACTTGCATATAAATCAATTCAAATCAGAACAAAATAGCTACCAGAATAATAGAACTCCTCCAACTGAAAACCCACAGATCAATTAATTTGATTAACCTAAATAATAGAACTTGAAACATGGGATGCAGAGAGAGAGAGAGAGAGAGAGAGAGAGAGAGAGAGAGAGAGAGAGAGAGAGAGAGAGAGAGAGAGAAAAAAGCATGAAAGTAAGATCAAATCAACCACAAATCTAACGAACTGAGCAAGTTAAATTAGGGGATAACTGTATCAGAAGAAACAGTAACTAAGCCAACAAAACACAATACGTCGTTACTACATGTCCCACTGCCACTAATGTACTCTTTCCCCCAATGAATTCCAAAAGATGAATCCAATCAGGCCTGATCATGTATATATCCCTTTGGCAATCCAAACATGAAATTCAGCCTAAATCTATCAACATTTGTACTCTAATTCAGCCAGACATTTAACATAAAGGAAACAAGATTAAATCCCATCACTGATTTTCATAGGAAATAAAGAATAACCCAATTTTCTAGGGCAAACCAAAACTACTTTATAAGAAGAACTTATCAAATTATGCTAATTTTCTAACGGAACATAATCTCAAGCTACAGATACATATTCGATCTTTTCTAATTTAAAAAAAAAATTCCCAAAGATCCACTCACCCTAACCTCCTAAAACATTTAATCCTAGAGCCCAAACTATCTCGAAACTACCATTTCCATGAAGATTGTTCTAAACATTTCATGGAAAGTTACAAAAATGACAAAACATTTCATCACTATATGACTAAATCCCTGGTCAAGCAAAAGCAAGGTAGAAACCTATTTACCTCTCCTCCTCTTAAACTGAACTTGGTACCTCTTGAAGTAAGCTTTACCCTTTTGGGCTTTAACAAAAGCCTACAAAGTAAAGTAAAACCCAGCTCAAATTAGTTACAAGAAGACAAATTTAAATTCATGGAATTAAAGCGTGAACCAAACCATATAGAGCAAACAGTTAACATAAATCAACAAATGTATCAAGTAAACATAAATCACTAATACAAAGAAAATCCAACAAACAAGACAAAGATTTCGGTTCACAAATGCACATATCTAACCCTTCAAGAGTGAATTCAACAAATTAGTGCATCCAGCTTTTATAGCCAAAAAAAAAAAAAAACGATTAAAAACATACATTTTTACACTCGATGAAGAGATGAATCCTAAATGGACGGGAAAAGATATTTTCAGAATAAAGGAATAAACCCATGAGCACAGAGTGATAAATGTACCATAAAATCCAAAAAACAACATAAATTTAATTTACATCACAAGCGAAAAAGAAGCCATCTTCAAATCGAAAGGAAAAGACACAAAAGAAGTATGAGAGATTGAGAGAGGATGATTGATGAAGAGGAGTACCTGTCACGGGGAGGTTTGCCGTCGCTGTCGACGTCGCCGGGGTGCCGGACGGGTGAAGGAGAGAGAGTGAGAAATGGGAAAGGGGCGGCGGATCTAGGGCAAGACTAAAAGAATACGACACTTCTCCATTATATATATTACTCGTTTTTTCATAACCCGGATTTGACCCGAATTTAGACCCGCGAACGGAGAAAAAAGGGCTGTTCAAAAATATTGAAAAATACTCTCTACCAATTTTCTAAAAAGTCTGTTTCAAACCTTTTTTTTTTCAAAATGGTGTTTAGAAAAGAGCTTAATTATTTTGTCCAAATGCATTTTAAATTCTAAACAGACTTTTTAGCCTTAAAAGTCTTTTTGAAACTCTTGTCCAAATGGAGCCTATGGGACGGAGGGAGTATGATTATGGTAATATTTAGATTCTTGAAAAATGTTAACACTCCCGGTGTCGTGGTGTAGTTGGTTATCACGTCAGTCTAACACACTGAAGGTCTCCGGTTCGAGTCCGGGCGACGCCAATAGTTTTATATATATTTTTTTCTTTGTTTCTTCTCCCGTTCTTGTCTTTTCCTTTTTTTTAAAAAAAAAAAATGTAAAAAGAATATAAGAAAAAAAATATTACAGTAGAAAATTGGAAAAGAAGGCAGGCCACTAACTCAATCAATTTCAAAAGTGGCTGTCGTGCCTTACTAATGGATGATCATGATTTTTTTCCAAAGCCACAGCCTCTGCATTTATTTATTCATTTATTTTATTATCATTCATTTCTAAATTTCCACATAATTTAATCCCATCCACACTGGCACGCTCCTGCTGAATGAAACTGATGAAAAATTTTCCCATTTCCATTTTCATTTCTTTGACTTCTTTTCTGGTTGCAATTATCAATAATCATTCTCATCAACTCAGGCCCTCCCATTTTCCTTATAAATATTTCATAAATATTCCTTCTTTACGTTACAAAAAAAAGTTTTCATACTCAAAAAATGAAAACAAAACTCAAAATCCCTCCTTCTCGTTCAGTCATTTTTCCTCTGTAACATATAAGCAGAAAAGCAGCCACCCTTTTGACCCCACCTTTTCTCATTCTGGAACTGTGCGGAGCCCAGAAAAGGGCAGCCATTAACCATCAGAGTTTTCTCTGTTTCTTGTGTAAGTTTGACTTTCTCCCCCTTTTTTTTTTGGGCTGTTTTTAGTTGCTTCCAGTTCATCGCTGCCTGCTTGTTTTGGTCATCAGTAGTTATAGTAGCTTGAAACATGAGTTTGTTGATTTGATTTTATGTTCCTAGAAAAGTCATCCCTGTATAATTTGTTCTGTTTCGCTTGTGGGAGGCTTGTGGTGAACTGTGGAGTGCTCCAGGAATGGAGAGAAGAGGTTATGGCAAATTTTCTTCATTTGTTTTGTTGACTTTTTCTTTTCTTCTTTTTCTGGTTAAGAAAGAAGGTTTCTTTTTCTTTTGTTTCCCCACATGATTCTTTAAAGGGCTTAAATTAGTTTTAGGTTGCTCATAAAATGTGCACCTCAATTTTAAGTTTATACTCTTTCTTGGGGAAGGTGATCGGGAGAAAGGGGGTTGAAAGATGTAAACTTTATCCAGGTGAATTTGTAACTGTTATTTAATCAGCTATGAGAAAGATTAGTTAAGGCAGACAGTAAAACTAGTAGTTGTGTCATAGTTTGGGATATTCTGAAGGCCAGGAAGGCCAGAAATAAAGATGGCTCATTTCGGTTGTCAGAAAATCACTCCCAGTTCTATACTTTTAGTTCAATTGACCATGTAATGGAATGCATTTTTATTTATTTATTTATTTTTATTTTTTTGTGAATTTATGTAGCTTCTGCTAGTTCAATTTGTCATAGATAACGTGAGTTTTCTCTTACTGGTATTTCTAGAAGGGTATGCTATGTTTCCATGGAAATGAATCTTATGACCCTCATTGATAGAATATTTTCTTTAATCATCGATTCTCTTTGGTCCATCAATGGTTTCTGCATCAATTATGATTTATGGCCATGAAACACTGAAAGTACATAATCAGACTTGAGACATCTGCATTAGAATGTTCCTTTTTGCTTAAAGGCTTCCGCTACCCTTTCATACATGTTAACTCTGTTTGATATGGCCTTATTTGATGGAGATTTTAATTTTAACCCCAAGATCAAGGGTGGAGTGTCTGAGTAAAGAGAAAATAATCTCTATCGAGTTATTAATAATAGAATGCCAAGGTGCTTGCAATGGAATTTTCCATTTCATTTATGGTTGCTATCCATGTTTCCTTTCTGCAACTTTATTTCATAAGCTTATGTTTTTTCCCAGCGTTGTTCTTGGGATTAATGTTGTATCATTTTGATTCTTGTGGCAGTTAATTTCCTAATAAATATGGACAGCTGAATACATGTCTCATCTACCCATTTGTATCAAAAAATAAGAACAAAATGGGCGGATGCTGTTGTTCTTCACGCAAACCTCAGTTTCATGGAACCCCTGTATATTACTATGTAAGTAATAACTTTTATTTATAGCTGATAAGGTAGCTTATTAGCTCCCTCTTACCTTTTGAGATGCCCCAATCTTCTGATTAACAATGAGATTCTGATTGACTATTTGCTCTGTTTGTCTCATTTGTTTAAAACTTTCATGCTTATTTGAGAGAACCACTGCTGTAAGGCCTGTGTGTTCCATCCTTGTTTTAGTTGACTGGACATGTCTCCTGGTTCTCAAAAAGTATGAATTATACTCGAAGTGTGAGGGAAATTCGTAGGAAAAGAAGTGGGTAAACATGTAAAGGTATTTGAAACTTTTCGACCATCTTAACGATCATTGCTGTATATACACTTTCTGGTTTTCTGGAATGGATCGTGGTGCTCTTTCGAAGGGTTCCTGCTGTACCACCTTGGCTCTTTCTTAGTTGCCTTTCACTAAATGTTGGACATTGGTGTTTGCAATATTTAGCTGTGTTGCCTTTTGTGAAGGAATGTAATAGCAGACTGTTTTACGTATTGAAATAGTGGTAAAGTTTTCACCTTTCTTATGCAGTGCCCATCTGTCTCTGAGGAACATGAGTCCTTGACTTCTAATGATAGTGCTGCAACTGCATTAACTGCCGGTTTTCTGGTAGATTTGAATCTCGATACATCAATACCAGATACTTTCCGATCACCTCCGACTCCCATTCCCTTTGATGTGGTTTTGGGGCATCCACCAACGGCCGCTGCCGATACTGCAGGAGAACCAGGGAACGAATCTATGGCTTTGAAAGAATCTCACTTCAAAGCTGATAGTGGGTTCCTTCTTGCTTCTGCCAAAAAGATCGACTCTGAGCTTCTGAAATCGGACCGTCAGATAAACCCTTTGAAGGCCGATGAAGAAGCAGATATTTGTCCAACATGCCTTGAAGGTGCACATTTTAGTTTAATAGGCTCATGGAAGAAATTTACTAATTCTTAGGTGTTAGTTAATTTCATGGTGTTCCCCCAACGTGTTGCTTACAGCCAATGGTTGAACTTGTGTGGCAGATTATGATGCAGAGAATCCAAGAATTGTGACAAAATGTAATCATCATTTTCATCTCTCTTGCATACTTGAATGGATGGAAAGAAGTAACACCTGCCCCATATGTGATCAGGTTTATGAACATCTGTTTTCCATCTTTTTGTTTGGGATTTATGAACATCTGCACAAGAAGCAATAGTGATTGACGATGCTTAACATTACAGGAAATGATTTATGAAACTTTATGATGACTCGGTATTGAGGTGCCTTGAGCCTATCAGCAATGAAGGTGCCGCAGCATGGAGATTGATTCCAAATGTCTGGAGTAAGGTTTTCATGCTTTCAATTAGGGTAGTGCCGGCAAATTTTTTCTCGACATTGAACTCGATGCGAAATAATCCTGTAAATTATGTGCATAGTTTGTGATGTAAAAGTTAAGTTGGGGGCATCTTGTTGAAATCTAGAGAAGAATCTAGAGTCACCTAATCGATATGGAAAAATGTGGCTACTGGTGCAGGATAGTTTCTTTTCATTTGAAGGTACAAAGTACTTCCATCCCTTTACAAAAAGAAGTACCCCCATCCAAAAGACATCAGCCTTTTTTAACCTTGAAACACAATATTCACATCAGCAAAGATGAACAATCCAAGTTGCTTTGCCATGTCTGTAAGGGTTGTTACTTTCATTCGTGTTCGCGTGGTTGTGGCAATCTTTTGCAGTTGTCTATTCAGTAATATATGGTTTCCTTTTGACCTAATGCATACACACTAGTCTCTTCAGTAACCCATGTGTGATATGCCGAAACATTAATAACTGTAACAAAGGCTAGTAACAAGAGACATAATCCAGAGATAAAGGCCCTAAGGGTCTCTCTGGAAGATAATATGAAACTCTAGACAATTAATCTCATTGACGGAACCATAAAGTACGTCCTTGTGCTATACGACGAGGACTCGGTAATCCTAATGGATAGAAACTCCTCCAGTAAATATCCACTTTTGGTATGAATTGGAACTTGCATGGAACACGAGTCGAACACTTACCCTTTTAGCCTCTTTATTCAGAAACTTTGTTATTGGGTTAGGTTAACGTGTTTGTGTATGACAATAGCGTCGGTATGCACAATTGGAGGCTGTAGGCTGCTTCTGAAACCAAAACGTGGAAGCACGAACTAATCCATCATGCCTTCTGGAAAGACGAAGCGAAATTAATTGAAAGTATCCCCTGAGCTGGTCATCAGAAAAGACGTTTGGGCGTGACAAACTCCTCAGACGGTAACGATTTCCATAAATCATGGATGTAGACAGCGGACAGGGGTGCACTAGCAATCCCTTCTTTGCTACACTCAACACTCCCAGGGATGAAAGATCTTGTCAGATCACAACATAGTACCTAAGGAATATGCAACAATCCTCAACATCTCTCTAAATTTGTGTATATTCTAATGTAACTAATTTTATCAATGTGCTCCCTTGATGGCTGGATTTCATCTGTGAAGTTCAGTTCTGACTCGTGACTTACCTTTGTGGTTATGGAGATCTGTTCCTGGTGGTATGCAACAACTAAAAGTGACATGTGCATTGCTAATCTACCTATGAAAATCAACTATTGATTACAGAAATGCAACCGAGCAGTTTAAAGTATGACGGAGAGTGAGTATGGTGGTAAAATGAGAGACAGTTTTTAGCCATATAAGGCCAGAATGATCTCTCTCTGTCGGAGAAGATTCAGAAACTAGTAGTACTAAATAACATTAGTTGCTGTTTCTACTGAATAGGTTACACATAATTACTCAAAAGTCATATTCATAGTGTCTGAAGAGTATAACAAGCAAATACTTTCCACAATTAGAGCTTCACCTGGAAAATGGAAAGAGGCATTGCAATGAGTACTTGGGTGGTACAATCAGGTACTCCACCCAAAGATTTGGTGTTATCAATGGTAAGAAACTCCTCCAGTAAAATTCCAAATTGGCTCGGAAAGGATATGTATCCTGAAATACAAATCTAACAGTTCCTGTGTCTGGGCTAAGAATATAATACGTCCTGGTACTATCGCTTTCCTCAACTACCTACACTCCTTCGCTTGAAGTCCTAGGAATTACAGAAACTGGGAAATCCACACTGTTTTCATAATCCTTCATCCAATAGGATTCACCAGATTTTATCAGTGCCCACATTACAATTACGCCGGAATATAAACTCGTGTCTATGTCAACCAAGTACAACTTTCCTTTCAGACCAATTAAACAAGGCATTGATTCCGGTTCCCAACATGGAGGGGCAGCGATGACCTCAAATTTGTCCCCCTCAAGATCCAAACTAACAACCGGAGTAACATTGAATATATCCATCTTGGAAGCCACCCAATATGCAGAATTAGCAACCAATATCCCAAATTCAACTCCTTATAGTCAACTCTTGTGAACCTACCACAAAACTGGTCATATTTCGCAATGAGGAGGCACTCCCTCTTGCTAGATCGATCACGGTGCATTTTCACAAAAGAAGGGTCAGCGATGGCATCCTTCCAGGCCTTGCTAACGCAACGACACTTGGCCACAACATTCGCTTCCAGTCTTACTAGAACCTGGTAACCAAAGCATTTGGATAGGATGGCAATCCCTAAATTGCAAAAAAAAATAAAAATAAAAAATGGGAAGATATACATATCAGCTACGAACATGACTACATAAGTGAGAGTGAAAGTTGAACCAATTGACATAATTCAAGGAACAAAATGAAAGGAAAAAAAAAAATTAAATTAAAATCAAAACTCCTTCCAAACTCCAAAGCTCATAAATTTAATTTTATGCTTCACATTCACCCCCCTTCCAAGTTCCAACTAAGTAGCTTTGTACAGATAAAAAAGTTTTCCACCACTTGTTATGTTACATTATAGTAAGTGCATTAATATTGAAAAATTACAAAACGATTTAGCCCTACTGTTAGCCAGAAACTGGTTTTCCAGATGACAGCGAGCAGTAGAATAATTTTAGCCTAAAATCATTCCATCTAGTTTTAATAATCTAATAACAAAGATTTGAACTAATTAATTTAGCTACCAACTGTAAATTCAAACACGCATCATCAGAATTAAGAAAGGTGAAATTGATGTTTGTAGCACTTTTAGTTTTCACAAAGGCAAATCATAGAACAAAATTGTTCTCGGTCTGTTTTTTTTCCTTATTCTCTTGGCAATAACAAAGGGGACTGCAGATTTGAGTGGAACAACCAACATTAACAACCAAAATCAGAAGGAAGTACGGTTAATCGCCGGCGGCGAAAAAGACAACTGGTCCTCAGTTTGGCGAAACAACAATTTCCTAACCCGAATACGCCCTATTTCTTTTACATTATCAAAACCTTTCGGCCATATGCCTTTAATCTTTTCCCAAATCAATTCAATAGTACAAAATCAATATTGGACAAGATTCAAGTACCGAATTCACAAAAAGATTAGTGGAAACGGGCATCCTTGAAACCTAAGGAGTATTCATTCGGGTGTCCTTACAATATTTGGCTCATTTCGATTTAATCAAATTATAATCAAAACAACCGAATTTCATTCAACCGAACACAATAAAACAAATTCGGGTCGGTCGGCTCGGGTACAACCCGACCCAATGAACAAGCCTACATCTAACCGTATCGTATATGGTCTTTATAACCGCAACCCTTTTCGGTTTTTGTGTGAAAATAATAACTCCACAAATGAGGGTATATATACTTAAGGTAGCATTTTTATTTTCTCTTTTAAAGGGGGATAACAGAAAGTTTGAGATGATGATATACTGTCGTGGGAGTGATTTTTGGAGGGGTTAAATATTTAAAATTGAAATTCGATCATTCTAAGATTTTTTGAACGAAAAATTGTATTTCCTCTTACATCAAATTTATAAATTATACCGTATTTAATTATTTTACAAATTACAACGTGAATTGTTTTTATAGGAGTTTTTTTTTAAAAAAATTAATTATGAATTTTGGATTAGTATTTAAAATTTGATTCTGGTTATCCTCCTCATAAAGAGAATTTCCTGATCACCTTGTTTTTTTTTTTGGGTTCTTTTTTTTTTTTTTTTGGGTGTGGATGGGAGCAGAAGAAGAAAATAAGAAATTATTGGGGACCAAAACAAATCGTCACCAAGGATTATTTATATTTTTCCAACAGAAGAATTTTCTTAATCTGGTGATCGATCAAAAAGTTGTGCAACCAGTCAAAATCTCAACAAAAGAAAAAGAAGACAGACAATTTAATGATATAATCCATGAGACTATATAATAATATCTATGTCAAAGGAGATTAGACACTTATGATCATCATCTCAGTTACAAGTTATAGTAGCTAATTTGAGTGATGCCATTAATTACGTTCATGTGTGGTGTAGCTGTAGCATCCACATTTCAGCTCTTCCACCAGAAAATTTAGTTCAGAAACCAAAATCCTCAACTTTTGAATGGATAATGCGCATCGAAAAATGCAGAGTCAATACTATCAGAGTCATGGTAGCAGAATTTGCAAGCTCGTAGCGATATTCTAACACCACCATCATTGTTCTTAATCAGGAATAATCACCGCTGCGTGCTCATGCTTACAAGGTAAACGCGAATCCTATATTCAACGGCGCAACCCAACTTACAGGGGAGATTTGATGTTAGGGGTTTCACAAGCGGAACTGGTCAGGCTTACATTCAATACACTTTTAGATCGGAACCACAAGTTTCCATATGCAGTTATGTCGTCAAAACTCATAAAGGCAAAATAAAGAGACTCATTCCATCCTCCTTTCCATCCAGAGATTGATTTCCTTAAATTCATCTCTTGTTGCACTATTAACAAACGAACAATGATGATCATCTCACCAATCTAAAAAGGAAATTGCAAACATTTCATATAGTTTACACACCACATATTCTCAGTAGATCTTCAGAACCAAAAGAATTCTTGCTGATGATGAGTTGTGCAACCTGTAAAAATCTTAAAAGCAAAAAAGAATAATGACATAATCCATGAGACATTTATACCTTTAACAAATGCTGGTAGAACATAATTCCTAACCCAAGGCAAAGGGTCTGTTTGAGAAGTTTTACATTAGCTGAAATTTCTCCTGAATATCGAACACGTTATGCATAAATTACGCAAAAAGTTATATCTATAGTATCCCGAGATTAGACAGGCTACTAATAAATCTCACATTAACACCATCACATGAAAAATGGATAAAAGCACTGAACTCTGTTTTGGTGCAGTACGATTAATCATCTTGATCTGAATCGTGTTCTTGCTCATCCAAACCAACGGAAGATGTGGTCTTCCCCAAAGGAAAGAAACTCCTCCAATAGAAACCCAAACTGGAACGAAAAGGGAATTCCTCATGAAACACAAGTCTAACACTTCCCGTCTCTGGATCAAGAATATAATACTTTCTGACCATATGGATGAGTTCAACTATCAACACTCCTTTACTTGAAGTCCTAGGTAAAGTCGCAGCCGGGAAATCCAGTTTGACTTCATAATCTTTCACCCAATATGGTTCATTGGATTTGTTCAGCCCCCAAATTACTAATACACCAGAATTCGAAGCGTCATTGTCAATCACGTACAGCTTTTCTTTCAGACCAATCAAACCAGGCAACAATTTTGGATTCCAGCCTTGGGGGCCAGCAATGAGCTGAAATTTGTCCTCCACAAGATCCAGAGTAACAATAGGGGTAACAGAGTATACATCCTTCTCAGCAGCCACCCAATACGAAGAATTACCAACCACAACCCCAAACTGTTCAACTGCACAAGGACAGTTCTCCTCAATCTCTTTCCAGCATGCTGAGTTGATACTATCATGGGTAAAGCAAAATTTGCTAGCCCACAATGAAGCAACACGATCATCATCGTCATCGTCAGTGTCACTATCACTCCAAAACCTACTGATAGTCACCACTACATACTCACTTCTAGGACTCATATATCCAAATACAAATCCTATATTCAAGTTTCCTTCACAGTGGAGATACGACTCAAATGGCTCATACAGGGCACGAGACTGACCTGTCTGGGGGTTGCACAAATGGAACACCTCAGGTTCACTTACAAGACACACTAGATCACCAGCATAAGCATGGTAGCCAAGATACCCAATAGCAATGCCTTCAACAGAAATACTGGAGACATGCTTCAATTCTACTTCAGCTCCATCCAGATTCAACTCCTTATAGTCAACTCTTGAGAAGGTAAAATAAAATTGGTCAAGCTCCGTCAAGAGGAGGGATTCCCTCTGGCTGGATCGATCGCGGTGCATGTTGACAAAAGAAGGGTTGGCGATGGCATCCTTCCAGGACTTGCAAACGGATTGACACTTGCACACAGTTTTCACGTCCAGCCGTAGGAGAACCTGCCATTAGAATTTGGATAGGAGTGTCAAGGTTATTTCCTTTTTCAAGAGAAACAACCCATTAACTACAGATTAGAGAACAGAGGTGAAATATTCCTAACAATGAGAAAAGAGGTAAGAGTCAAATTTGCATGACTCAACCTCATTAATTAAGTTTCCTTCTTTAGTAGTTAGTACTAGCACAGTACCTATCTGCAACTAAATCTTTTTCCTATATATATATATATATATATAAAATTCTTCCCCCAAAAGGGACTTCCAAACATAGTTGTCAATCACAGTTGTACATACATGAATTTCCTATCAAAAAAGAATCTTCCCCCAAAAGGGACGTCCAAAAGTAGTTGTCAATCACATTTGTACATGGATACATGAATTTCCGAAAAAACGAATTATGAACATTTCTGTTCCTCACAACTGAGAGCCTCAACTACTATGCAAACATAGTGTAAAATTTTGATAACACTAGATAAGGCGTAAATGTTGAGTAAGTCTTTAAATACACGGTGAAAGCAAACGATTACTACTAAGTGATTCACTCATCGTCTCAGAACAGTACCGATTTTGCAATTGATAAGGAGTGGTAAAATAATCTTTGCAAATGAGTAGAACGGTACCTCCGGAAGAATGTCGCGGTTGAAGAGAGCCTCCGCAGCGGACGGCGATGGAAGATGAAGATGCTCTCCGCTGGCTTCTTCGGCGTCTGAACTCGAAGCCATCAATTCGTGAAAACCCTAAGGCCTAAACCCCCAAATTCTACCACCGGCGTATATGAGCAGCTAAGTTGACGACCAAATGAAGTTGGTTCGTGGGAAGAAGGGGTCAGGTGGAAAAATGGGATTACGAATTAGCCCCCAGAGATTTGAAAATGTATTATTCGGGAAAAAAAAAATAAAAAAAAAGGCTGTCCTCCAATTCAGAAAAGAAAAAATCGAAATTAATATTAAAAAGATAATACAGTATCTGTAGGTCCTTTTTTTTTTTTTTTGATTCGTTAGAGGGCCAAATTTTATTTTATTATCTACACTTTCGGTTATTATTGTTTTTTGAAGTGTATTTATCATCACTTTATTGTTTCTTCATTGGTTAGCCAACGGAAATTTGACGATTTCCTTGCATCTATTAATAACTTTGAAAGTTCAGTCACACCAGATCACGGAAAGGATTTTGAAAATTCAATTTGTGTGATTAATTTAATTCATTGCATTCTCCTAACTGATAGTATGATCTTCTGCCCTTTTTATAACACTAAGTTAAGTTTAAAATTGAACTCTTTGTAAATAGAACAAGGAATATATAGCGCAATTTTATTATTTTTTCTGAGTGCTTTTAAATGAGAGGATCATTGTCTTGAAAATGACTAAAACGTCACCGGTAGACGCTTTTTAAGTGCTTCTCCATCTGTCATGTGGAGAGTTTTTTACCTAAAATATTTTCTCAAAAAAAATAGACCAAATTAATTATTTTGAAATTTGTGTGGACAAACCTATATCCTCCGAATTTCTAAAATTTGAATCCGGGATAAATTTGGATTTCGGTAATCCGAATTCAATAGAAAACGGATTTCGAAAATCCGAATTTATTTGAATTAAAACTAAAACTAAGTAAATTTTTAATCTGGCATAATTAATCAGAATTCGAATTTCTGAAATCCGACTTTATGATTAAAATATTAATTTTTGAGAAAAAATTTTTTGTACAAGTGTTGGTAATTTTTTGGACACGAATCGGATTTCCGAAATCCGAATCTTCCATGTTTTCCTGATAAACTCGGATTCTAGAAATCCGAACCTAAACCCTAAACCCTAAATCTGAGTATATGTTACACTCAGATTTTGGTAATCCGATTATATGTTGCACCGGATTTTGGTAATCCGTATATAGGTTACACTCGGAGTTTGGTAATCCGAGTATAAGTAACACTTGGATTTGGGAAATTCGAAGTTAAACCCTAAATCCTATGGCCTTATTTTGAAAATATAATTTTTGCTTGACTCAGATTCTGAAAATGCGATTATTTGCTTAAAAGGTACATAACAGTAGTACAGATAGATTATACTGAATTAATGATAATATTTAATAACTAACAGATTTAACAATAATAAATAACAGTAATACTACTAATGTATCATGAGTATTAGTATTAATGTACTACATAATACTAGTACGTACAAATAGTACATAACACTAATACAAATGAATTATACTGAATTTATGATAATATCTAATAACTAATAGATTTAACAATAATAAGTAACACTAGTACCAATAATGGATAATAGTATTAATGTATTACATAATACTAGTACGTACAAATAGTACATAATACTAATACAGATAAATTATACTAAATTAATGATAATATCTAATAACTAATAGATGTAACAGTAATAAGTAACACTAGTACCAGTAATGTATAATGGGTAATAGTATTAATGTACTACATAATACTAGTACGTACAAATAGTACATAACACTAATACAGATGAATTATACTGAATTTATGACAATATCTAATAACTAATAGATTTAACAGTAATAAGTAACACTAGTACCAATAATGTATAATGGGTATTAGTATTAATGTACTACATAATACTAGTACGTACAAATAGTACATAACACTAGTACAGATAAATTATACTATTTTTGTGATAATATATAATGACTAACAGATTGAACAATATAAATAACAATAGTACCAATAATGTATAATGGGTATTAATATTAATGTACTTCATAATACTAGTACGTACAAATAGTACATTACACTAGTACAGATACATTATACTGAATTAATGATAATATATAATGGCTAACAGATTTAACAGTAATAAATAACAATAGTACCAATAATGTATAATGAGTAATAATATTAATGTACTACATAATACTAATACGTACAAATAGTACATAACACTAATACATGTAACCGGATTATGGTATTCCAGTTCTTTGATTTCAAAAATTTCGCGCCTTGATTTTATTTTATTTTTTTTCTTTTTAAGAACTCGGATTTCAAAAATCCGAGTACTACTGTTTATTTAAGGAGTCCAGGTCCTGGACTCCTCCTTATTTGAGTTCAAATATTTCGCGCATCAATTTATTATTTTTTAATGGGACTCGGATTACGCAAATCCGAACGGCACTGTTCATGTAAGATTTTTTAAAAACTATTATTTAACAAAATTATTTAATTATTATTTTATTATTAAATATAGATTCGGATTTCCGAAATTCGAATGTTTAATTTTAATTATAACTCGGATTTCGAAAATCCGTGAGATATATTCCTGCCCATAAATATTCTGAAAAATTTAAATTTGTCCATTTTTATTTTAATTTGTTTACACTGTGTTTTTGAAGCAGGACTTTTTTTAGTTTTTTACATCGTGCTTTTCTGTGTGTTTCTTTCAGGACTTTGCGCATTATATTGAACCAGAAAAACAAAACTTGACTTAGAAGGTTAAAAAAGATACTCCAAGGAAATTAATCACTGATTTGGATTGTGATTGCGGGAAAAAATAATCATACTTTATGTCCCAACATAGTCATGTTGTTTGTTAACTGATGTAAATGAAAACGTTAAAATCTTTCAGCAACTATCTCTATGCTGAAGAACTAACATGGTTGCGGTCTTGTCCCAAAATAAACTAGGCGATCATCTGACTAAAGAAAAATCTCTGTTGTTTTTTTTTTCCCCTCCATTTTTTACTTTTGCAACCATGTGGCTGCAAACGTTTGTCAATAACATCAACTTGATAGTCGACTTTCTAAATCGATGGCAAAGTCGACCAAAGAAACTTGTACAAATGCAATTTACCAAGAAATAGTTGTAGAGGGATTGTACAACTTCAGTGCAACTATAAGAACTCTTCACTTATGCATATTATAATCTACTGATGGAATCAAGAGAATTAAATTACGACACCACCAAAACAACGTTATGCAATTTGAGAAGAGCAAAAATGACAGTAATACAAATCCAATGTATCCTGCTAAACCTACAGCATGAATCATAAAATTCAGATCAATGTATCTCCTCTACCATATGTGGTTCATTCGTAAACAAAATGCACCACCCTAAAAGCAGAGGAGCTTTGATTTCTGTTTTGTCAATCTGTGTCTTACAAGCTGATCCCATCAGCAATACGGTGATGCGAAGATTTGTTCGAAAGTTAAATCCTTGATTGGTTTCTATTAGTGGAGTAGTTCAATTATGATGTAATAACCATGCAGATTAGAATGCAGATGTACTACTACTCTGTCTTTTCCCCTTAGAATCGACAAAGGAGTTTGCAAATAGTTGCACACTTTCCTCACCTGATATTCTCAGTAGATTTTCAGGACTGAAAAAGAGCTCCCATTAATTGCTTATGGTGAGTTGTGCAACCAATAAAAATCTTAAAAGCAAACAAGAATAATAACACAAGTTTAACCCCTTCCTGTGTCTGGATAAAGAACATAGTAACCTCTTCACCAATGGGGTTAGCTGCTCAACTATCAACACTCCTTCACTTGAAGATCGAGGTAATGCTATATTCTTAAAAACCAGATTTATTAAGTGCCCGCGTTACAATTACAGTCGAATTCGAACTCATGTTTATGAACTGATGTATTCCAGCGTCGGCCCTGAGGACGGACAATGAGCTCATTTGTGTCTTACTCCATAGCCTCCCAATATGCATATTTTCCGACCAAAACTCCAAATGGACTAATGTCCGCATGGACAGGTCTCACTGTCTTACCCACTGTTTTCATCTCCAATCTCGGTAGTATAGACCTGTCATCAATCAAACATTACAATATATAAATAGAAATAAATAGGATACAATCGGTATATTTGTCCAACAGGGAAATGGAGCATAATCCACATCCCCCAAATCATAAAAATTCGAGTGTTGATCTCCCTTTTTTCGTTGCGGGACTTAACCCAACACCTTACGGCACGAGCTGACGACAGCCATGCACCACCTGTGTCCGCGTTCCCGAAGGCACCCCTCTCCTTCAAGAGAGTCCCCATAAGTGGGACCAAGCGGGTTGCCGTCGACATTTTTGCTTCCGCTTCGTCCACCTCGCACAGAGGCTTCTCTTTAAGGCGTAACGCTCACTTACCGATGTATTTTTACATCCCACAGCTTCGGCAGATTGCTTAGCCCCGGTCATCTTCGGCGCTAGAGCGCTCAATCAGTGGGCTCCAAATAAAGCAGCTTCCGTTTCAAGTTTGTTGGAGCATTTTTGCCAACTGAAAATATCACACAACATAAACAAAAGAAAACAGAGGACTCTGGTTTGGACAATGGTTTCAAACATTAGCATCTCTTTAGATATGCTGAAAAGATGGTGAAGTTTGAGAGTAGTTTGGTTGATGTTGTGGAGTAATTAACCCATGTGCTGCCTTTAGCCGAGGCTCTGGTATTTGTAAAAACAGGAAACAATCCACCACCACTTTGAAAGGATTCGTCCATGTTCACCGCCAGGTTTTGATTTTGACTTAACATATGGGAGCGGCCGGTGGATTGGCAGCTGAAAAATCCCAAGATCAAACAACTCTAGCAACAATTTCTTCCCGTCTTTTGAGGGTATATCAACAACCCCTAAAAGTTCTCCAGGGGAAACCCAGGGGCAGTTGTTGTTGTAATCAAATTGAATGGCGGTACGTAAAGCCTCTTACAATATAAAGTAATTATACGATGAAGGTAAATCAAAGAACCGGCCTTAGCTCAGTGGAAGAGCGCGGGGTGTGGTTTGGGCACCACCTTAAAAAACCCTATATGCGATTCAAATCCTCGAGGTCGCAGGTTCAATTCCTGCAGGCCGGATGTTTTAATTTTTTTCAATCCCTGATTATTTAGATTTTTTCCCTGATTTTTTGGGTTAGGTCGGTTCCGTCCAATCCCAATCCAATCCAACCAAGGCAAACCTCCCCTGTCGTAAAAGATAAGGAGGACACTCCTGAAAAGCTCACCAAATCAAACTTTACCGCTGAGATTCTATGATTCTGTATTAGAATCAAATTACATCCAGCGTCCCGCTAAATATGTCGTCTGATGAACTTGAATTGAAACGGAACATTTTATGTTTCAGACGGAGAGCTCCATACATTGTGTCATGATCTAACGCGTATTGTATATGAGGAAAGCGAAGTTGTTGATGGTGAGGTGCAGGTAGAAGTAGGGGGAGGATCGAGGGACGGAGGAAACGGTGGAGTTGGTCATGATTGCAAAAGAACTCGTTATACCATAAAAGAATTGAAGTAGGTGAAATGATTTTCAATGTGTGAGATCACAGTGTATTGAGTTTCATTATATGGAGGGGTAAACACAATCAAGATATTTACAAGAGATGATTTGATTTGATCTCTAACTGATTCTATGTACAATATTTTCCATACTAAATAATTACAAAATACTTTCTATTCTAAAAAGGATGTTTCTTCCACTTTGTACAATTTTTTTGCTTTGATGAAGCGTCAGTTTGATGCTTATGTTAAATCCGTTCATAGTGACAATGGTACTGAGTTGATGTACTTGTCTGGGTATTTTCGCTCAAATGGAATTTTCCACGAGACTTCTTTGTCGGTACTCCCCAACAGAATGGCCGCGTGGAACGTAAACATAAGCACATTCTTAATGTTGCCCGTGTTTTGCATTTCCAAGCTAAGCTACATATTGAGTTTTGGGTAAATGTGTGTTAACTGCTGCTTATCTGATCAACCGGACTCCTAGTGTTTTAGATAGCAAAACTCCTGTTGAAGTTTTGTACGTCAAACTACTTTCTTTGTTCCATCTGCGTGTATTTGGGTGTCTGTGCTACGTTCACAATCAAAATACCAAAGGTGATAAGTTTTCTAGCCATAGTCGGAAATGCTTGTTTGTTGGGTATCCATATGGGCAAAAACATAGGCACGCGCAAAAGAAACCCACAAAAGACCAAATTATTAATAAAAACTATTTTCAATCCGTCTTTCAGCCTTTCTTCCGATCAAATTATTTCTTGTTAATAAAGGCCGGAAACACGCAAAAGAAACCAATGCAACTTTACCCCTTCTCTCCAAAACTATTTTTTTTATCAATTGATATTTTCCTTTTCTTTTTTTTTTTGACTCTATGCTTTGCCTCCCAGTGTTGAGAAAAAAGAAAAAGGATAAGCATAAGCGAATGTAGAATCATCAAATAATAGTACTTCATTAAGTTTTCACGTTTTTAGTTGAATATGGTTCACATTGCAATAAACTGAAACTGAATCATATATATAGTGCTTTAACAGACATCATTGACTCCCTTCATTTGCTTTTGGAGGATGCAAGACCACCTTGATTGAGGTGGAAGCTTCCAGAGGAGACAACTTTGCCGAACAATTTTGAGCTCAAATGCTTTTGAATGCCATCAAAATGAGTTGCAAAATAAAATGATTTGTTTGGTTATTCATAAGACGTGTGTGATCTTAATTCTGTTTGGATCAAAAAATAATATTAGAATTAAGATGATGATGGCTGATGCGCCAGGGCTTCTTTGGTTATGAATCTCCCTTGGATATAATTATGAGATTAATTATGACAATGTTTATCATGATTGGAATACCAAAACGAATCTCAAAGCATCATAGTCGAATCATTAAGACAAATGATAAAGTGGTCTATTTTTGCAATAGACAATCTTGCTCACCAATCAGAAAACACGATAACAAAGTTACAAACTATACTACTTCTATATGGAGACCTTCTCTTGGGCGTTGGAACACAGGAGTCGCAGCTTTTGATTCGATAGGATTTGGAGGGCAAAAGGGCAGTGTATAAAGCCTTTTAACCTATAAAATTATTATTTGATTAGGATAAATCAAATCACCGGCCTTAGCTCAGCGGTAGAGCGCGGGGTGTAGAAGGGAACTACTACTAAAAAACCCATGTGTGCGAGTACTAATAAAATCCCCGAGGTCGCAGGTTCAATTCCTGCAGGCCGGATAAAATTATTTTTCATAGATTATTAGATTAGGTCGGTTTGTCAGATCCAAATCCAATCCAACAAAGGCACCCTTTTCCCAGGCCCGAACAAATTTCTCACTTCAAATAGCTCGAAAAGGTTCCGTCGTATTAATGGGCCGGCCTACCCAGCTTGCCAGAGTCCAAAATAGGAAATTCGAAAACAGTCTCAACTTAATGTCCAGCAAAAACATATTATCTGAAGAAATGCAGAAATTAGATGGAAGCTGTTCTGATCATTAACCGTCCAGAGATGAGGCAATTCAAGTTCAGAATCTCTTTGCTCCTTCAAAACCTTTTTCTTTCTAACTTCAGAAGATAAAACCTGTCAAACTGTACAAAAGAAGTTGTAAGTTGTAACTAATATGAATGTTTCCTATCTTCTGTTCATTAGCTACTTCTCTATGCCCCTGTAATTGTTATCACAACCTCAAACTCAAGGGCCAACAACACTCCACAAGAAAACTTGAAACACCAAAGAAAAGAAATTTGCACACAACTTAATAGATACACACCACTCCTGAAAAGCACACCAATCTTTACAACTCTACGCTGAGATTTTTTATCTTCTGTATTATCAAATTAGATCCAGCGAACCACTTTCGCCGTCTGTTGAACTTGGAACTGAAAGGGAATATCAATGATCCCTTTCGATCCTTTATTTTTGTATGTTTGAGATGCAGAGCTCCATATGTTGTGTTGACGTAACACATGGTTGGTAGCCTTAAAACGCTCCCCAGTTACCTGCTAAGAAAGTACTGTCCTGAGCCTCCATCTGATCACTTGTCAAAGCTAGAGGAAGAAACTAAGGCTGAAGACTTTCACTTCCTCTAGGGCTTCAAGATTAGCTTCCTTTAATTACTGCTAATTATACGTGACTAGTCAATGCCACAAACTTCAGTGAGAAGATTAGGATGCCAGGTCAGTTGGCGGAGCATCTGAGATGAAAGTTGATATAATGTCTTCGATTAAATCATCTACAATGATGTCTTCCACCTCTTCACCAATGTGCTGGAAGTCTAATCGAAGGTTCATCCAGGTTCTGGACTTCGCCATGTCCTTTTTCAGAAGCTGATCCAAAGACTGAGGTGACGGATACTGCAAAAGGTGCCACTCGACTCCTTCCCAAATCTCGTGGATAAGGTTCATTCTCATAGGGACTGGACGAATATTCTGCTTAGCATGCCATGATAAGGGAAAAGACCCGAAATAGTAGTCACAAACCTCCTCAAGGACTTCATTGATACAATCGAAGAGTAACTTTTGCTCATCACGAGAACGGCTCGAAAAGAGCTCCACTTCATCATACAATGTGGATTCAAGGATTGAAGATGAAGAAAGCCACCTCAACAAATAGTCATCCCAGTTCAATCCAGAACCTAGCAGAACTGCTTCAACATACTCAAACGCAGATTCTTCATCCTCCAAACAAGTTTGTGAACAGATTCCTTGGTCACCAGAAGACTTCAACTCTTCAAATTGTATTTTTCGGGGTTCGATTTCTTGAGCAACTGAAACACCAGAATGAAGACTTGTTTTCAGTAAAATATGTAACTGTAAAGAAATTTTCTTCTAACAAATCCTAGTGGTCCAACTAACCAGGTTTAGATAAAGTCCTCGCAGGGCTAATATCATCCTCAACAAACAATGGTTCAAGAACGGATACAGGACTGGGTCGATCTGTTCTCTCACTTGTGTCTCCCAAATCTTCGACTTTGATTGCAACTGAACTACTTGATGATGATGGGGATAATGGTGGAGAGATGGTTTGACAATCTTCAGTAGTTTCCTGCAAAAGTAAATAGGAAGGATTATAAACAAAAAGCATATATATAAAGTGCCAAAATGAATAGGTTCAACTAAACACCCAGACAGCAAGATCAGTACCACATCTAAAGATGGTATCGCCCTATCTTCGAGTAGTTCACCATCTGAATCACCAAATTGAACTCCTTCTTCCTTACTGTAAGAGCTACATGATTGACCAGGATGGATTTCATTATCATCCAGGTCATTGTTGGTTTTTTCAGTGAATCCTGCAGCTCCTGCAAAAGACACACAGGTACATATGATGTTCAGAAGTTCAAAATCAAAGAATAAATTGTGCATAAAATTATCTCAAAGTATCCAATGGACAAAGTACCTATGGATACAGTATCATTTCCTGATGAAGGAAGTGATTTTTCATCAAACTGAGTGCCAAAATGTTCACAGGGCAAACCTCTATTTGCTTCCGAAGAGTCAAATTCCTCACTGGGACTGATATGAGTAGAGCATAGCTCAATCTCTGAGCTGTGCTCAAAAGAGCTTGTATGATCAGTGAGGTTTTCCTGAGAAGATTGATCTACACCCTCCTTAACAATCTCAATACCACCATGAGGTGACGATGACCTTTCTACGGTTACAGAGACGTCTTCCTCGTCAACCTTTCGAGGGCTGTTGTTTGACGTTGGGGAATATTGGTATTCGGAATAGGAAAGGATCCTACCTAGGGATTTCGGTAACTGCTGGCTCCTTAATTCTGTGTTATAGTCACTGCTGTTGAGCATCTCAATAAGGTGTTTCTTGGCCTCAAGGTAGATGTTAGAATTTCCAGGCACGGCCTGGTTAGATTTGTCAGTTGCGCCAATATCTTCAGAACCATTTGGCTTGGCTATCTTGTCTCCTATCTTCGAAGAGATTGAAGGTTTTGCAAATTTTTCAACATAAAAGTGCTTTCTGTTTGGTGAGCGCCATCCAAGATTTTCTCCACCTGAACCTTTATCCAAATCATGTCGCTTTGGATGCACCAATTGAGTTTTATGGTTGATTCCATCCTCAGATGTGCTCTGTCGTTCCCTTGTGATAGCATGCTTCAGCTTTCGTTTGAACTCAGCAAAAGAGAACTGACTTCTTTCTTCTTGGATCTTCCTTCCAGCATGTGATTGCACATCATTCTCCCTATCTTGTGGTACCAAGGAAGTTGGTCCAGGTTTCAAAATTACAATCTTACTAGAGCGTTGACAATTCTCAGTTTCGATGGACGGGAAATGTTCCTGAGATTTGCTCCTCCTTCGAAAGAATTTTCGGCTTGGTTTGTGGCCGGTGAGTTCGTCTGCTTTTGAATGAGCAGCTTTCTCTTCTGAGAAGCTAGATCTTGGTAATGAATTAGAACGCAGGTTCTCCCGCAATTTGGCACCCTCCAAATCATTGACCTGCTTTGACAATTGGCATTTTGGATCTTCAAAGAGTTGTAAAAGCAAATCCTTGTTTGAACTTAATTTCTGCAAAGCATTCTGAAACTCTTGGGATTGCTGGATCTGCCCATCTTCTATAAAATGCTTACTATCAGATGAACTTTGATCAATAAAGATTTCAATGGCCGCACTTAACTTTCCCTTGTCAACTGCACTTACCTGATCTGTCTGTCTGTCAAAATAATCATGCAGCAAATGCATTATTATTTCGACATCAAATCTATCTGAAGCATTTTTACTGCCAACCTGATTGCGAGACTTATCAGACCCCAAATTTTTTTCAGCTTCCAGGTCACAAAGGTCAATGGTTTCATTAGATCTTTTGCAGGCTTTATTTGAAACCCTGATGTTTCTTTTAGCTTGACGGCCACGCGAATGTTCAGGGCTACCCTTCTCTGTTCCAACTTCTAGATCATTGCTGTCATTGCACATCTCATTTTCCATGAGTTTCTTTACACTGGTGGTAACGGCGTCAGTTGATGTAATTCCACCATCTGTATCATCCTTTGTTGGTGTTCAAAGGAAATCACATTATCAGCCAGTGATATTGTAAAGCATACTAAATCAGAATTCATCATCATAAATGTTGGCAGGAAAGAGGGTTTTTTTGGTTTACCTCTGTATTTCGAGATCTATCATCACAATCTGTTAGCATTGGTCTGGTATGCGAGGAACAAGTACCTGCAGATATTTTGAGAAAACTTAACAAGACAATACAATATAACTTGCACCCAGCAACTTGATATGCACATCACATATAGTTCTTACCAACAGCATGCTTATTCGCCCGTCGTCTATCTGGAAGCAGCTTTCTAGTGGAACGACCATTGCGAAAATCAAAGATATGGATCAATCCCGATATGCAACCTGGATGATCCTTTTCATGCCGCAAAGATCGTCTTTGTGATTTCTTTGTCATGACTTACTGAAACTCTTAGAATTCAAGTATTGCGTTCATGAAACCTGTTTCCACAAATGCAACCGCGAACAGCCTGATTAAGTAGCTGAACAAATTCCGAGACACAAATTTCCAAACTTGAACTTATTTACCAAGTGCATTCAACATACATAAACATGAGTATGACCTATACTTAGTTCTCAATGCGACCAACTCGGAAACATAAGAAAAACAATATATTTATGACCATTATTATACGGACAAAATGGTAACAAATTTCCCTCAATATCCCTAATCAATAACAAAAATAATTCATTCATTTCTCATATAATAGATTATGATACAACTCAATATTGCTTTTCAGGAAAATTGGTATTCTGAAGAGCACAAAAGATTCTAAACTTAACCCAAAGTAAAAACTAAGTTAATTCCTTTTTAGCTCAGGAAATTAGTTCCTAATTTTCACTAAGCAGAAATAAACAAATCGCCAACTGCCGTCCTAAAGCCATATCTGTGCAAGCGTAGAACTAAGAAATCACCGGAGACTCAGGAGGGCAGTAAACCTTTCTCAAAAATTCACAAATACACTCCTTAAACCCAAAAGCACATAGTACTCTGAACAAAAACACTAAAGGAATTCAGACAATTACCTGCAATAAGAGGCAATCACGAACTAACAAAACTGAATTAACCCAGACATAGTCAGCAAAAAGGGCTGCAATGGTCTCTGTAAGGCAATGAAATAGAAGACTACTCTATCGGTCATATAAGCCTAAAAATACTTCAGATAATGTATCAACAAATTCCTCCGTCCAGCCAACTTTTCAAAGGAGATTACCAGCCTCAAAACAACTTCTGAGCACCGGACTTGATCCAGTTACTGGGATTGTGGTCCAAATCTTAACAATCAATGATTAGTCTTCCACAATCTGACACATTCCCATTCAGAAAAGCTGGAACTATCTGGTCCAAATTTCAGCTTTCATCATCATAGCAGATCCCAAATTGGCGATTGACCATGCCAGGAATAATGCAACCGAATAGAAATCCTCAAGGACCCCTTAGAATCAAATGCTGATGCTGTTGTAAAAAACCCAGGATTCAATATATTGCACACATTGATAATTGATTAGATTACTAAGAATTCATAGCCAAACCGCAAATCATCTCCACCCAGGACAATCCACGCTAGAAGACAAAACCACGTAATGATATGCTGTCCCAAGGTACAAAAAGATCAAAAAAATTGACCCGCCGTGAGCGAATTCCAAATACAAAACCGACAGCCTAAAAAAATGCAATTGAAAAAATCCCGTCTTTACAAATCAGGCGGCAATGAACCCAGATAGGAAATGAGGCGTAAACACGCAACAAGGAATAAAACCCAGAAAAAAAAAAAAAACCCCAGAAATGTTCTTCTTCTTTTCTTGTTCGGGCAATTTTTTCTATCTACACCGACCAAAAAGAGGGAGAAAGAACACCGACCCGCATAATAAAATGGACAAAATGTGAGTGGGGTGCAGCCATAAAAGACTGAGGGGGAAAAAAAAAGGCGAAGGTTGGAAAGTTAAAGAAGCAGTACTGGAGAAGGCTTTAATAATAATCAAAAATTCAATTCAGATACAAGTGAGGAATTTGGCAGAGTGGGACCAAAAGAGAGAGGAGGAACAAAGATGAAGGCTTTCCTGTGAAGAAAAGTGAAGGCATAATTGATTGATGAGGTTTTGTTTTTCTTTTTCCCCTTTTCCCATCTCTCCCTCTCTGTTGCCCTGCACTTTTCTGCAACAAAAAATTCCCACGTTCATCCGATATTGATGATATATACATATCATTCATCAAAATATACAATCAGGAAAATATAAAAAGAGCATAAAAATTGTCTGTAAATTCAGTACTTCCCACCACCTCACACTTGTATCTCCACCAATAAGAATAATATCTAATACCCACCTTTTTCTCTCAATTTTTTTGTGGGATTTTGATTTTGATTTGATCCCATCCCTTTATTTATCATAATCTCATTTCTTTAATTACAAGTGCGTAGTTGTATAATGTAGATAGTGAGACAAAAGCGTGAAAAGGGACATCGGATGAATACGCAATGACAGAGAAAGGGGAAAGAGAGTGAGAGAGAGAGAGAGAGAGAGACTTTGGTGAAATCGGTTGGGAAAATGGTGGATTAGTTATGTAATATTTCTTTCTGTGCAGCCATTTTTGGAGGGTGGTTTCGGTTGAAGAAGATAAGAGCAATATCTTTTTCATTTTATTTGTTAAAGATTTTTAAACTTAATTTAAAAATATATTATGGATGGAAGAAGTTACAAATATTACACTAATATTAATTCCGGTAAAAAAGTGAAAACCTGTGTTAACGTTACGCGTAATGTAAGATTTGGAAGTTGATAAATCTCATTTACAGGGAAGCCAAACTTAAAAAGGCGCATATAACTAATTTACCAGATGAGGTAAAATCAGTTTAACCATTGATGATATCAATAAAAACTATATGTCCCAAAATTGTAAAAACACATAAGCATTTTACACACCAAAATATTTTGTACAGATTATTAATTAGTTTTTTGTGTTACAGGTAGCAGAGCAAAAATTTTTTTCTTATTTTTTTGGCTCTAAATCAAAATGTTTTTTTTGGAAACCTTTGAATAATAAGAGTATAATAATAATAATATTTCTATCGTAAAATGATTTTTCTGTTTACAATAAAGATAATTATTTTGGATGAAAAGAGGACAAACAATTGAATTAATGTTCAAGGGGGTGTTTAGCAAAAATACAAAATTATAGTAAAACAAACTTAAGATGACTGATTGAGAAAGGTACTTTGTACAAGTCAAAAGGTAAATTAGACAGTGGACTGATTAGGAAGGTTTAACTGATTAATTAAATTATAAAAGTATATTAGGAAGGTACTTTCCTAAAATTTTCTAGTGTAATTTCTAGTACTTTTTTTTTTCAGCCATTTTTTGTTAAAGAAAAGTAAACAAAACATTACACATTGAACGTAGTTAAATTAACTCTCCCTAGCTAATCATGTCAAATTTGAATATTTTTACTCTCAGAAACCCATGTTACCTCTCATAATCACTTTGATGTGTGTTTACAAAAGTGTGTTCATATATCTATTTTCTTAATTCCGGAATAGCATAGTGACAAATTCTGATCGAATTTTTCAAAATGCAAAATGTAATATTTGCATCTTGATTATGTGTATTACTAAGAAGATTAACTAAAAGAGCTGTTAATTGTAATTTAAACACTACATAGTACCACTTGGACGTTTCATACGTCTTTAACCCCCAAAAAATCATGTTTTTTTAATCATATAATTTTAATTTAACTACTAGTAAATATTCTTATCTTAAGGCTATGAGCAATTCAATCGGTAGTTGGGAGTTTCTTTCAATCACAACATTTTATTAAACGGACACTTAATAAAGTTATTCTTCTTTCCATTGGATGATTATGATCAACTAATTATTGTTTTTTATTTGAGAAGAATACAATAGAGAGAGTTGGCGTTGACCACTAGCCATGGTCAGACGGAATTCACAGGAAGAGACTACAAAATAAATACAGTACAATTTTTTTTTTTTTATTGACAAACAGAGAAAGAAAATGTGGGAGTACTTATAATTCATTACATGAAATCATCATTACGAGAAAACCAGAATTTATTTTTAATATAGACTTTATATTATTTATGAAAATGATTAATCAATGGATGTTTGAAGCTATTATTTATTCAATAACTAAATTAAAAATGGAGACATTCTCTGTGCAGTTTTTTCGTCTTTTTAATCATCGGGTTTGGTTCTATTCTATCTCATTCTTGGTGGTATTCTGTCCCATAAATTTAAATAATTTATTTTATTTTTCTCTTTCAGAAAACGTAAGCCTCTCTCTTTTTTTTTTTTTTTTATATATATACTGTCGGCAGCTCACCTCACACTCAGGTCACTATTACAACTGCCTTTGGGAAAAAAATAAAAATAATAATAACCTTAGAATTTTATACCACTGTTTTTATTATACCTGGTTGAGATGTCAATTGTCCATTATTTTTATTATTTTTACAATTCTTGCTCTGGTTATATGTAGTTTGTTTTTACCTTGTGAACAAATCTCATATTATATTAATGTAATGTAGATAGGTGATTAAACGATAAACAAGTTCTACAAATGCCAAGAATGATGAAGGTATAACAAAGGGCTAGTTAGAAGGGATTCATCCATTTTTAATCATACTTTTATATGGCCAAGAAAAAAAATTAAAAATTTTGAAGGAATTAATTTGAGCCTATGTATAGACCGTCTCTACCGTTGTTACTTAGGTGAATGTTTAGTGGCTTGAGGAATTAATAATTGTGACAATTATTAAATTGACCATCGATGATTCTATGATAATTAATAAATGTGACATTATCAAATGGAAGAGACAGTTGATATTATTATGCAAAATAATTCAGCATGTTTTCACTGATTCTATGATATATAGTCGGACCACTCTCAAGTCTCGGACTAGATGATGTATAAATAATTGCACAATGAAGTTGTATATATATATATCGTCTTCTATCGTCTATTAATTCAAAATCACTAACGCAATTGATTTAATTGAATATAGCAGTAACTAACTAATTAGATATATCCATTCAAGTAAAAGAATAAATCAAAGCGTATTGAGTCCTCAACTGTCGACACCAATACTAAAGAAAACGATAGCCCATACAAAAGTGCGTACCGTTGAATTTGAAGGGGGAGACAAAGAATTTGTTCCCTTTTATTTTTAAATTATCTTTCTTTATATTCTTTTTTGTTTCATAAATATATAGTAGTATTAGAAATTCATTTATTCGTTTACTTTAAGAGGAGGAGGACACGCTGAAGCAATCATCATGTCTGGTGAAATAGTGTATAGATGAATTTACCGATTTTTAAGTAATGTCGTCGTACTTCTTTAAGATTTTGCAAGCATATGGTCTCTACTACATTTTATTAAAACAAAAAAAATTCAGTTTATTAAACTAAAATACTATATTAGAGTTAGCTTTTAAAAGGTAAAAAGGAGGGAGAGTCAAAGATATTACATTGTTACAAGAAGTTATAGTTTTTTTTATACTCCCGCTGTCCCAAAATTATTGTCCAGTTTGAGATTTCACTTCTAGTACAATTTGAACTAGAAATGAAAATCCAAACTAGACAATAATTATGGGATGGAGGGAGTAATTAAAATGAAAACTTGTACAATTATGGTTTCGTAGAAAATATTTAGCAACAAAACTACAATGGAGTGATATTGCTGATTAAATAAAATAAATTGTTGGAAGATTCGTAAAAACAGTTTTGAGTATTAAGATCGAATCTCATATCATTCTTAAAAGAATTGTTCTCATAATAACCATCTTATAAGTTGGATCCAGGTAATTTTATATCTATTCCATTATTCTATAAGCAAGTTTGTAATCTGTATTTTATAAATAAAATCATTTTACTAGAGAATAGGGTGGACCTATAAAAACATATATGGGGACCCTGCTGGATCTTGACTCATAGAGACCATTTCATGATTAAATTGGAGGATATATAGTACCTAATTCAATCAATGTCTTCATGTGTGATCTGACAATTAGCTATGCTGATTAGATTTCATCAGAGATTAGGTTAAACTTTATTGAAAAGCAATTAATTAATCAACCAATTGAATTGAATATTGTGGGATGTTAATTCCAAGAGGTTAAAACGTAGAAGTTGTGTTGGCTTCTTTCATAAGGGAAAAACAAAACAAGTACTCGAAAGCTTGAAGAAAAGGATCGATATTGTCATGTCTTAGGCTCTTAGCTACTACTAATATGTTTTGTTGCGTAAATAATGAACGAAATTTGTATCATGAAAACTTAATTAATGAGGAAAAAGAGAGACCAACTTTGTTGGTCATTTTCAATCGAAGCATGCGAACTAATTTAAAACTACATTATGAATTGACGTACGAGTAGATGAACCATTAATTGGATAACCGATCGGGACAAACATATGCAAAATTCTGTGGACATAATTCCCATTTTTGTCTATATAGTTTACGTGAAATCTGAAATGATTTCGACAAGCAGATAGTGAGTCTAATGGTTTTTAAATTGACTCTTGTATTACAATTAAAAAGTTATGAATTGTAAAATAATATATTGTCGGTATTTTACATTAATAATTGAATCACGTAGTTGTATTTCTTAATTTAATAATCTCTTTTTCATGATCACAATAGAACAGATAAAACAGTAAGATGAAAATTTGTGAATAGACTCGTCCCAAAATCATACCATTCATTCCTTAGTCTAATGCGAAGAAGGTTGGGTAACTTGACCACAAAAGTTCTATAGCTATCAAAAGCTAGTACGAAAAAAATGTAAGCATTGTTGAACGTAACGTATAAATTGCAAGCACAAGTGCTAGCTAGCTCAAACGTTTGATTTCTTTTTAATTGTGGGGGCATTAGTGGTCCAATTTTTCTTCATAACTTATAAGGGTTTTGCATATTCGTTTCAAAGGCATTGGATGCTTCAACTTTTGGACACACAGTGTCTTCAAACTCAAAGCATCCTATCTGACCGGATTAATAAGATACTTATTTCTTTCCGTTTATCGTAAACAATCTACTTTGCTGAACGATTTTGTATCAATAAATTAGTCGTATTGTTAAATCGGATGAAAGAAGTATTTAAATCAGTACAACTCTATTACAAGAAGAGTATGTGTATATTTTAGGTTGAACTACATATAAATAAACAGATATCAGTTTAGAAACTAAGCACGACCAGAACGAAATAAATAAGATCACTAGTATAGACCATATCTGAACCATATATCTGTAATTAGCTACGGTGGTTCCACGAGGAAGAAAAGATTGGATGTGTGATTGTGATGCAATCTCCTTGAAATGAGATGGGTGAGAGATGTGTAGTGTATATAGTACGTGGAACAAATGAGTCGGTTATTAAGGAAGCAAATGTCGGAACAATAAATCAGTACTCGAAGTCACGTTTGCTTGGATTGGAATGCGATGGATCAACTGATAATATGTTGATAACCATCATTGCTCCCCGACAAACCCCTAAAAACCTTTACATATTTTTCATGCATTGTTTCTTTCTCTCATATTTCTCTCTCACACTTGATCATGTGGTCCTACGGTAGTCAAATCCCTGATGCACAAAAACGTCGTAGCATTGTCGGCACACAGCGGCCATATGGTTTCATAATTCTTCCCACATAGTACAACAATAAATTCCGTTTAGTTAGTAACAACGTGCATCGTGATGATATTAGTGGTGGAAGTGGAACTACGTCGTTATTTGGGGTTCATTGTTGATTTGTTTTCTTGAAACGCTCTGTCGCATTCCTTCGAATTTAATTATGAAGCATAAATTTAAAAAATTAATTTGGATTTGATACGTACTATCACCATCGTTTGCTGAATAGGACAAGGTAGGTTGTGCGATCCTAATGGAATTGGTTTGATTAAAAAAGAATCTAACATCATCAGATTCAACCAAAGTGATGATTAACAATCATATTGATCCTAATGAATGATTTGGATACGCTATCTTTAGTGGATTTGGCATGTTAAAAAAAAAGGTCTCTTTTTTTGAAAATTGATGTACAATTTTACCTTGAAAAGAAAGGACACTGGGGAATACTACAAGAAGGCTGTGACTGTGAGCCTGTGAGTGGAAAAAAACTAGAAATTAGTGGAACGGAGGGCCCAAAATCTGGTGATCACATCTTGCATTTTTTCCTATACTTCTTTCGAGCCAACCTTCTACTCAATTTCAAACATGTTCTGTCCATCTAATTAGGGGTCTAAAGCCCTTATTAACGCCACTTTGAACTTATAAAATGTCAAACTAAATGTTTCTTCTTAATCACATGAAGAGATATGGATTAGTAGCCTTTAGATTTCTGTTCAAGTTGTTGCCTTTGAAGTTTGAAATATCCAACAAAGAGAGTTGGATCCAAATAAAATTTAGTTGCTCTGTTTTTGTCAATTCTATGAGCCATACGTTCCGATACTTATATCTTAATCTTTCATACCAATTAGTAACGTTAAACAACTGGTATATAAATGCCCAGCCTTGGCAGAATCAGTTGCTACCTGTGGCTATCAAAAATTGTAGTGTTCAATTAGCCAGTCTAATGAGAGGCAAAGGACTATGCGTTGAAATTGTTTCGTGTAGCTTTATAGTCCACTTTATTACAACAAAGTAGATAATTAAAGAGGAACGGATGGAATAGTAAACAGAGATGAGGTGCACAATTTTTCACACACTAGCAAACAGTTTAGCCTCTTATGAGTCAGACCCGACACATGTATAAATACTGATGTAATAAAATTAATAATAATCTTAAGCTTTCGCCAAAAAAGAAAAGAAAGAAACTCACAGTATAATTAATTTACAAAGATGAACTTTGGTTAGGCCGATCTTACCTAATTCACACCAAAGTTAGTAAATAGTAAGGCAGCAATAAAACAATGCAATTCATGTGAACTTTCAGTTTCAGACTATATCTTTGGCTTTCCTCCTTCAGTAGTTCACGAGCTGTTGTATGCACTATGCACTATCTACATCAATTTACCTCATTTGACCTCAATGCTGGGACACTGTCACTGTTGCAGAATCAAGCAGCTGAAGATGAAGTGTGATATTTTCGTTTTTACTTGACAAAAGAATGGACCTGTATGAACTAGCTGATTAAAACTCCCTGAGTCCCCTAATAACACACGTTATAGTAAAAGACTATAATGATGGGACGGAAGGGGTAGAAACCAAATGCTAACAAAATCATAAGAAAGGGCTCTACGGCTATAAGGGGAAAAAAAAAGTTTGCCAATGTGATGAGATAATAGATTTCAAACATATAGAAGAATGGTTACTCCAAAAGTCAGTTTCTTTTTTTTCCTTTTTTCTTTCTTTGGATGACTCTGCTTAGTTTCCAAAGAGGGAATGCCTAATATGATATAGTATAACGCAATGAGTATAAAAAATGAAGGTGTTGAAGTATCAGTTTCACCTTCAATCAATTAAGATGATGCTGGAGTGTTTTCTCTTTTTTCTTCTTGCTCTCCTCAGTGTACGCTTGAACTCATCTGTTCCTTGCTCTATTGAACTATTCCCTATACGTTCCAAAAGGCAAAGATCACATCAACAAGGACCAACCCATTGTGAATAACAAAATTGGTCTCCAGAATAATTTGAGAAAACACACAAACAGCAACTAACCTTTGATGGACTAAGAAAAAAACCATCAAAGAAAATTTATCAAGAAAATAGATACTAGATTCTGCATCAAGGATCAGTATTGAAGCTGCAGAACTCTGGCACCAAAGTTAAACTTACATAGAAAAATATCAGGGTTATACAAATTCAATTACGAGAATATGCTTGATACAGACATTAGGTAAAGAAATGGATGGAGCAGGATAAATAGCTAACGTATTTCGGGTGATAAAGCATAGAATCGCAAATAAGCCTACAGCTTGGGAAAAGAGGTGTTTGAACTTTCAGTAATTTGGTATTTTAATTTTACTCTAATGCACCATATTCTGGAACAAAGGAAACATGATTGTTTTCCTACTTTATCTTGCCTCATAAGTTAAGCTCTGAGGATGATGGAAAACTTTTCAGTGCATATTCACAGAAAAGCATCCTATGTGGACTAGAACTTAATAGTTTACCTGTTTCATCGAACAAGCAGAATATATCTGTATCCACATCTGGTTCAGTTAAATCTTCACAATTTTTTTCCTGTGCCATAAACCAAGATTACTTAACTACAAAACTCTATTCGTTATAACCCTTATGATCTTCTTCATTCCAAAAAAAAGGAAAATGTCATGTAAAGAAAGATGATCTTTAGTTACCTGTTGGTGTGAAACTTCTTTCAGTTGGGAATTCAAAATAGGTTTTTGGCTTAAAGCTCCTGCCAGGTGAGGATTTGTCATAGGCTTTTGTTCTGAAGCGCATTTCAGGCGGGGATTAGCCATAGCCTTTTTGTCTTTCAAAGTAGCTTCCTCGTGCTTTACTGTCTTCCACCCTCCCGTTTCGACCCTTGGAACCTTGGTTGCTTGATGATCCTTGGATTGTACTTGGAAGCTTTAATAACAAAAGAAGTTCAGTGGCCATGCAGGAATTAATATTTCCTTACCTAAGAACTAAACCTTCAAAAAGGATAGAAAAATATGCTTAAACGAACAGAATTCTATGTCAGCAATTAAAAATGTTCTAGACTCTAGATGATTTTCAAACAGAAAGTTGTAGATTTGTCATCATGCTCCCCCTTCTCTCTCTCTCGTCTCGTTAAAAGATGAAAAGGTCTCAATATCTTCTGAAGAGACTCATCCAATCACCTCATAATGTGTTAAAAGCAAAGAGGGGTAAGAACAAATTATATAGAAGTCAACCAGAAGTACCTTTTCGGAGGTTGCATTACTTTTGAAGTCAGAAGATGGTCAGTAGCCTATGGAAAAGGAAAAGCTGATCAAACTTCTGAAAAATGCTATCATATAAGGCAGGTAACTCACAAAATCCTTTGCATGACAGGAAAAGATAGAAGTACCTTTGGTGGATTTATAACAGGAGTTGCACATTTTTTGTTGGAAGCTTTTAAGCTCCGACAGAATGTCTGCACAAATGGATGTATTACTAAACAAGCAACGATCAAAAGCAACATGAAGAATGGTTCAACGTTTAGTAATTGTTTGCTGTATTGCTATGTATTGATCCTTGAAGCTTTAAAATCACTGGAAAAGAAATTTCAGGTTCAACATGCCTGCATTTCTTTGCTGAAAGTCTTCTCAAGTTCTCTTTGCAATTTCAGTACTGAAGTCTCAATCTTCTGTGGCAAAGCTGATACTGTTGAAGAAATTGCACTTATGCTTTGAGAAGAACTTTTATCTGAAATCTTTCCAGACAAAGCTTTCAAGCTCCTGTCTAAATATGATTTGATATCTTCCTGTCCTTTCTTCTGCTTGTCCAATTTCACTTGTATTAGAAAATGGACATTCACCAAAACAAACAGAACAGGCTAAGGATGTTTTAATGATCTGAAATTTGGTACCATTAATTGCAGAAAATCATCATGAACTACCATCTTCTGGCGCACACCTTGCACTACAAAAACACACCAGAGAGAATCATCACGTATCAGTGTGTCGAAAAGTTCATATACTTGCCACCTTTTCAATCCCGTTCAGAAACATATGATAAAGGACTCATCATTTTCTCATTGGTGAACCTGATTCGTTCATGTTGATAGAGAAGTTTCACTTGTGCAATGGTAATCATAGACTTTGCATGTGTGAATACGAATAGGCCACGCATCTAAAATGTTCTAATTAGGGAAAGGGTTAATGACATCTCTAATTGGACATGTAAAAAAAGCAACCGCAAATAGGGATGTCAAAAGCATCCCAAACTATTTTCAAAAAGAAAAGTGCATCCCATACAGAACTTTTACAGCAGTACAGCCATGACTAAGCCTATAAGGCCTTCTTTTCTACCTTTTAGACAACAGAAATGGGACACTTACTTTCAAGCAACAATTCTCTTGTTCCTTTGTTGACTTGAATGATATCACTTTGAAGAGACTCCACGATTATCCCCATTCTGCTTAGTGAAGCTTCCATTGTTCCCAATCTATGTTCCAGTTCTTCACTGACCTGACCTGCACATTTGAGTTTCAGAACACAAAGTGAAATCAGACTTATCCAGGCGATCAAACTTAACAATCGCTTGATTTCTGAGACTTACATAGACCTATACATACATCAGAACAAAAGGTCAAATTGGATATACTTTATCTTCCCCAAACTATGAACAATAAAAAAATGAAGTAGAAATAAGTTTAGCTGACAACGGTTGACCTTACATTTATGTTCAGGGGTGGACCATTTACGCATCAAATTTGCAGAAGATCGTGACACCTGCATTTGACTCTCATCCCGAGGATATGTAACAGGAGCCAAGCAAGAACTCCTCAGCACAGAAGCCTCCCTTTCTTGAGAATTCAACTTCTGACGAATTAGATAGAAAAAGGAAATCAAAAATTGCAGTTCATTCAAGCAGTAGTAAAACCAAAAAGATCTAATGATACAATGTAATTGCAGATTTTATCTTGCTACTTTCTTCTTCAACTTCTGTTCTGTACTCTGTTCAAAGTACCTTATGAACTGAAAGTACACAATGTCTCTCCCTCCCGAACATAATAATCATAACTACAGCAGTAATATGTGCTCCAAATGCTTACTACCAGAAATCATACATTCTCAACAAAATTTAAAATCGACGCATCGCTTGCTGTTTGACAACAGATTTGACCAAAACAATATCAACTATTAGCTGCACTAATCCTCAAATAATGTGAAAATCAAAAGAAAAGAGCTTCCAGTTTCAATCTCTTCCAAATTCACTAAAAAATATGTTCAAATTGCAGTGTATAGATCAAGCAAACTCTAATGCATCGAACTGAAAACACAGTTGAAAACTTAGCAGATTTTTTGTCTTTTGCTCAGAGCTGACAAGAAATCGAAGAACTAAAGATCTTATTCGTAAGTTCAGTGGGGAAAGAGTTACCGGTGCGTTGGCGATGTGATCGTCGAGAGAATTCTGCGACAACTGCGAGAAAAGTCCTTGATGAGCTGAAATTCCTTGCGAGAGCGATTGCTGCGACGCCTGTGATCGCAACTGCGAAGTCGACGCTTGATTTTTACCGAAAATTGAGTTCTCCGCTCCGTTCGGTCGCCTTCAAATAAAAAAATACCGCCACGGAAAACAACTTCAAAAATTCAATCCCGGAATAATACAACATAATTCAACCGCAAAAGAACTTCAAAATTCAATCACCGAAGAAACACAACATAATTTCCGTGCAAACTGGAACCAAAAGCTTTACGAAATTGAGGAATCAAACCTTGACTGCGGAGGAAGCACAGAGATGGAGCTGAGATCTGAGGCTTTGTTAATTTTGAGCTTCATTTTGGAATGAATCGATGCTCCAATTTTCAGGTTATGTTAATGTTATCATACGCAAAGCGATGCAAACTGTCAGAGCATAAATTAAAACCCTAGCATTTCAAATCGAATTGACCGATCCCCTTAAGAACTAAGGAATGTGAAAATGCTTGCGACCGTTTGGGAGGTTCCGAATTCCGTGAAGTAGAGCTGAGTATTTATATGAACTGGGAGGTTTTGGGCGCCTGACAGTCCTTAGCTGCTGCAGTTTGAACTTAAAAAACGAAGTCGTTTAAGAGAATTTTGTTCTCCGAGTACAAAAATTAAAGTAAAGAGAAACAAATACTAGTACGTATTAGGTACTACATTTTTCAAATGCATTTTCATTAGTTATTGCAGATAAAATTTTGTTTTCAGATTTTAATAATAATTATCGGTGGTAAAACGAAGAGTATATATTTTCTGGGACGGAGGGAGTAGTTAATTTTTTAATTAATGTAGTTCGGTGTGACAAAGTGATGTTGTGCGTTTTTTATATATTACATTATTTTCTCTCAATAAAATTGATTTTTTCAAGAAAATATAAATATATATATATTATATATTACGAGTACTTTTTTCCCTTTTGGCTTCAAACTACTCCCTTATGTCTTTATTATAAAGCATTTTGATTTCGTCCTATGTTTCACCTAAGATGTCTTTTTAATTGAAATAAAAACTTTAAAAGCATTTCATAATAATTAGGAAAATACAACGAATGTGAAAATATATTTTTAAGGTTTTTTCTCTAATTAAAAAGACACCTTAGGTTAAACCTAGGATGGAATTAAAATGCTTATAATAAAGACCGGTGGGAGTATAAAAAGTACTCCATTTCTAAATAGCTCACTATCAGTGGCTATGTATTAAAAAAGAAATAAAGAATTACTTGTACTGTTTATATTGAGTAAGGAACATTAATGCATGATGCATGATAGCACTGTTATACTTTTTTTTTCTTCTTCTTCTTGAAAGAGCACAAAGATATCAAAAAGTTTTTAAAATAGTACTATAAATTAGAACTTCAGCTAGTCAAAGTTGGGTAATTTGAGTTTAGGATCACATGGAATGACAACCTTAATGGAGAAAACAACCCCCCGAATACTTGAAACTAAGCAATAATCTGTTATTTTTACACAATTTTTTTTTTAAATTGACCTCTACTCCATTCATTGTACAACTCTTATTTACAACTTTTTCCCAAAAAAAAAAAAAGAAAACTTCTTGCTTAGAAAATTTCCTTATTTCACTACTCAATTAAGGGGTCTATTGCCACCATGAATTGATGTTCCTTAGTCTCAAAAAGTTCATGTTCCTTATTCATTTCATAAACCGCTTGCTATCGTTATTCTAAAATCGACAAAAATGACTTATAAAATCATAACATCAATTTGTGAAATCGATACATAATATTTTAAAGTCAATTATATAAATACAGGTACAGTAGACAATTATATAAATACGAGTAGAGTAGACGATAACTATATGACAACTTATATTATTTCAAATATATCATAGATATACTATAAGAAAAAGAATATTATGAATCAATATGTACAAAAAGGTTCCATGTGTCATCTACTTACATTTACGCGTGAACTCTAGTTTTTCATAAGTCTGTTTTTACTCAAACAAATCATACTTGTATCATTAACTTCTACATTTTACTTTAATCTGTACCTAAGATCTTAACCTTTTAAAAAATCTGTAAACTTTTACTTCAATAATAGTATTCTGATTGATGCACATAACCAATTGTGAATCTATTCTTCCCTTCCAATTTCCATCATTACCAAGTGTAGTTCTTACATACAAATGGATGGCCTGCATCTAGCATCCTCATTTATTTTCAAATGCAAAACCTTGATCAAACTCAACGGGATGTCAATGAATGATAATTGTCAAGTTTCATCTCCTAGTAACATTTTGTACAGAATTAGAAATTTTTTGGACCATCAATGGGTGGTAAAAATCACACACATAAAACGTAACAGTAACGAATCTGTTGATTCCCTAACGAAGTTAGATTTATCATATGTTATGGATTTGCATGTTTTGTTAATGCTCTCAGATGTAACGGTTGAGAAAATGGCCGTCGATTGGTCCGACTCAACCCGTTGAAGTTGATTTTATATTAAATTTTTCCTTTCTCAGCATATATATATTAAAAAAATAAAATAAAATAAAATAAAACCTCAACGGGATGTGACGGATATCGAGTCCTGTAATTGATTTTTTTTTCTTAACAGAATTTATTTTAGACCCCAATCTATTTGCGTAGCTTTCTCCGAAATTGTAAGGCATTCGCTTGGACACTTCGAAAATTACATCAAGCTTGAAGCTATGATATGACAGCTCTGCCAACCATTTGATTTTATGCGTTCATTTAAAGATTAAAAACCAAAAAATACATATAGAAATACATATTGGTCAATTATTCAACCTGAGGATCTAGGGATATTCCTTCATTCCATTCTAGACTCAGCATTAATTCTCTATCCGTACACTTTGGCGCCTGCGCGTAAAATGTAATTTTTGTTTTTTTCGATTACTCTTTCTCTCCCAAAATAACTATTTTCTTGATTTGTTTTTTCTTTTGGTATATTAAAAATATAAATAAATCAGAACAATTGTGTTAGCATGGAGAAAGTATCCATATGTGGGTTAAGAATTTCAAAAAGCATACTCCAAAAGTTTTTTTTTTTTTTCCTACAGAGCGAATTTTAGTACAGATTGTATCGTAGAAATCGCTTTTCAAAGTCCGGGAGGTTTCCAACCTCTGTTATATCCGCGGTAGAACTTTGGAAATAGTTAAAATATGACATGATTGGTTTTTCTTATCCGATAAGTATTTTGATCTCTTGTAACTAAGTTCTTGTCTCCCTTATTGTACCAAAAAAATTTATTTTTTTCTATTTTTCTTTAAAACAAATATTTATATTATCAATATCACTGCGTCTACTATAGTATTTTCTAATTAATTATCTTACTAATGAACTTTTAGAACTCAAAATCTTGATTCATTATAGATTTGGTAAAACCATTTAAGAACGTTATCTTGAATGTTTCCTTCAATCGACAAAATTCATAAGAGCTTTGCTTAGGCGGTGTTTGATCAGAAAAGGAAATGCTTATTCTTAAATAGTAATGATATTTCAGACTTTTAGTACTTACTTTTTAACAACCTTTCGTTTTCTGACTAGCTAGCTTACTACTCTCTGCCACTTTGATCATGTCTTTAGGCTGCTGTTTTTATTTGTGTAATTAGGAGGTTTTGAAATTTGAAAAGAATATAATCTAGGCATAGACTTATATAATTGTATTAAATGTGTCGCAATTTGATGAAACATTTTTGTTTGATCTATTTGAAATGTCAATCATACAGAAACATCCCGCTAAATCCTAACTTCTTCTTCTTTTTTTTTTAAGAAAATTTTCATTCTTACGTTGAAAATCGTCTAATTACATTTGACAATACAAAGAAACAGTCTAAAACACAATTTATAATAGATTGCTATCATCATATTGTTTTATTTACCATAAATAAACCTACACAGATCTATCCAAAATAAGACCGAACATATCACGTACCGAGATTCAGATTCGGTTAAGGATATATCACTAATTAGCATATGAAAACTCTAAATTACAAATCTAATAAATAGATTCATAACGATTCTTGTTGAAGAGTAAACAACGAGCCCACGAACATCATCAAACACATCACGAACATAACAACCGATTCTTGTTGAAGAGTGAACAACGAGCCTGCAAGTATCACCAATGACATCACGAATACTGCAGACAGCATACCCTACCCTCAACCAGTAAATTCAATTTACTGGGTGAACACTATAATCAAAAGTACTCTATCCTCTCAATAAATCACCCGAGTAATCTATTGAAGGAACTTTTGGGGGGTTAATCCCCTTTATTTAAAACAAAAAGAGAAACAAGAATACGCTAAAATTAAAGGAAAAATTATTTCCCCCATCCTTTTACGGTGGAAAGATGAGGGAAAATTGGAGATTTTTTTTTTTAGGGTTTGAGAGAGAGAGAAGAGGAGGGCCTTTCAACAAGAACTTAATTACAAACAACATCTGAGATTAATTTTCGTCCTAACTAATTTAAGTGGTCATGGTCGTAACATGGACTTTGTTGTCTTTATTAGATCCTGTGATAAATTTTTCTTGACAAACTGAGAAAAATCATACTATATACAAAACGAAATCTGATTAAAAAAAAAAAAAAAAACCAAGACGAGAAATTCTTTGTAACAATCACCATTAGAGTTATGTTCAAAAGGTTTTTTTTTTTTTTTCAATTCAACTCATCTCTCTATCTGATTCATGCACTTGTGTTGATAGACTAGTACTCATTCTATTTGATTCCTATCTGTATGTGTGGTTTGCCACTACTTCTGACTCATGCATGAATTCATTTTCTGGAGTGACTCCATTAATCATTTTTATAGTAGCATATGGTTTTATGAAATTCAATTAAACTTCAGGTTCTATGCATCTACAGCGCAAAGTGCCGCCTTTTCTTTGTGTGTATATCAATTTATTTAATGACACATTGCTGATATAAATTTTGTAAATGTATAATTAGAAAGTGCCAGACAAAAAAACCAGCAGCCTTTCAAACTTGTGCAATTTGCGAGTTTTTAAAAAGTATTTGACTTCATAGAATCAACTTGAATTAGCAAATAGATTTGTTCTAAGGGTTAAGGTGGGACCAAAAATAGTGCAATTTTTCTGAAGTTTCGTATTCGTTCATAAGAATTAAGGAACGTTTATTTTGCAAAGCCATTTAGACCCCGCTCGGAAAAAAACAGTTATGCCGTTTTAATCATTTAATGCACAAATAAATTCCGCCTCCTTATTAGTTAATAAAATTAGGTGATTTTATCGCTGAAATCATTTATTTCTAAAGTTATAAATAAACTCAATGGAACATTAAGCATGATCCATTCAGAATATATCAATGTAGAACAAAATATAAAATTTTGATAATTATTTTAGGAAACGAAGGTTAATATCGTATTATTATAATAGGCACCATGGTCTACTGAATAAAAATTGATTATAAAATAACTATATATATTAAATCATGAACTTGTCGATACTACTTATCCGTATTATACTTTCATTCTTCAATTCAATTCTTATTTCTTCTATGAAAAAAGGTCAGAAAATTACATGAGCACGACTTATACAAAGCAGAAAACAGAGATAATTCGGCCAGAAATTAATTTACGCAATTTTGGTATAATTTCTTTTACATAAATTTTTTTTTTTGTGTGTGTGTTTTTGGGGCAAATGGAAAAACCATTGACCAAAACAAGTGATTATTAGCATAAATAACGAGAGGAGAATTCAAGTACCAACTCTAACTGTATTTGCTTCGGACAAGCAAACTCTTTTCACGGTAATCATCACAATTCACAAAAAGAAAATCTCTCTTCCTCAATTTCATCGCTTCAGATTCTCCCCCCATTTCAATTCCCTTTTCTCTTTTCCCACAAAATCATCATGGGTTCTGTTTATTTTTTCTTCCGCATATAATTTTTTTTTTTTTTCTACTACTTCCCCATCAGTTGATTAGAGAATTGGGTCGGTGGTAAATGGCAGTAGTAGCTCCAGAATTCCCTAGAAAAATGGAGAGAATAAGATACCCAGAGGTGGATAGGAGAAGCGTGAGTTTAAGTTCCGGCAGTGAGATTGAAGAAAGGTCTCCGGTGGCTTCTGCCTCTTCAACTCCGAGGTCAATTTCTTCTTACTCTCTATCTCCGAATGATGAAACAGTTTATGTTGCCGTGGGGAAAGAAATGAAGGAAGCTGTGTATGCACTGACTTGGGCGTTGCATAATTGTGGAGGAAGAAAAATTGTCATCCTTTATGTTCATCAGCCAGCCCAGACAATTTCAATGAGTAATCATCTTTAATACTTTCCTTAAATCTTACAGAAGTGTTGGTCGTGCCAATTTTATGATGCTTTTTGTTTTCCTGTGATTGCTTTGATTTTGGCTGTTATATATATAAGTTTAGACTTTCATGTCAGCTTAGATTTCATCATGATCATATGGTGTTTGTTGTTCTTTAAGTCATTTTAGTATAGGAAATCGAAGAATATGTAACTCCTTTCTCCATTTTTCGACTAGGATAATGGAAAATTTAAATAGGGGTGGTATAAGAACGATAGTAAATTGTTGACTTTCTGGCCATTTCTAAAAGGAACAATTGAAGAAGTCAACTCATGATTATTATAACCTCCATGTTTGCGTGTGATTCCTAAAACTTATTACTTTGGTTAGAATAGGAGCCTTTATGTGAAATACCTTAGTGGATTAAAATGTGCTCTTTGCAGGCTTTCAATATTTAGTAACTTTGTGTAACATTTGATGATGTAAGTTTGGGAGAAATCTATCTTTGATTTTTTATTTTATTTTTTTCATTTTTAACACTGTCAATGCAATCTGCACCGAGCTTTGGTTTTATTTTGTTACCTTATGTTTTATCTTTCAACTCAACTGAATTTTGAGAAGATGATCTGTTATTAAGTATCTACATAACTTTTTATTCATGAATGTATGTGTGAGGGGGGACCGGCGGAGGTGTTTGGAACTTTTCTTGATAGTGTATCCTTGAGCTGTGAAAGAAGCATGCAAATATTGTAGCAGTGCTTGTTTATTTGTACCCTGCATTGATGTCTTTGAGGTTCTAGTTGAGTGACTTAATCTGAGAAAGTTCCAACTGTTCTCTATATGGAAGCGAAGATCAGTTCTTGATTGCTGTTCTGTGTGGCTGTGTTCGTTTGCTTAACATATTCGTGGCTTGCAGTGGGTGCACAAGTGCCCATCAGTCGGATGGAAGAATACCGAGTTAAAGCTTATCACGAAGCTGAGAGGCAAGATGCACAGAAGATTCTTGAAAAATACGTGTCATTTTGTCAGAAAGCAGGGGTAACTCTCCTTTAATATTGTTGTCTTGGGTGTGTCTACTGTTTGATTCATTGGCTCTCATTAATAGGCACATTTCTTTGTAGGTGCAAGCAGAGAAATTATACATTGAGATGGACTCGGTTGAAAAGGGCATTGTGGAACTAATATCTATGCATCACATTAGGAAGTTGGTAATGGGAGGTGCAGCAAAAAAACATTATACAAAGTAAGATTTGAAACTATCTTAAACTTCTTCAGTTTGATATGTTGAGAACTCAATAACTTTTCTTGATCGCTAATTTTTCCAACAGAGTATTGGGAAATTTTCCCTTTTCACGCATTTCTATAATTGTCAAGGGTGATTTCTTTGATTGAAGTCAACCAATTTGTACCAAAAAAGTTTCAAGACTGGTTTGTCCTCAAGGTTCATTATCATCTTTAAAAGTATTTGTAGAGAAACATTCCTTGGGTCATGAATGTTAATGTATATTTTTTGTCCATTCCATACCTTGAAATAGTTTCGTGTGGTATGAAGACTCATTAAAACGCCAGAACTTCACTTCTTCGCTTTTCCATCTATCCTGTTTTGGATTTGGTGGTGAGTTAGGAAGGTTGGTTGTACAAATCATCTTCAAGAAATATTTCATACATACATAGTTACATAACATACGAAGCATGATGTTTGCACTTTATCCTAGATCTGGAGTATTTTACTTGTTGATATGAACCAGGAAGTGATTTCTGCTCTTAATTATCATCTCAGAGCTGAAATATTTGTTAATTTTCTACCTACAATCTGATTTTTGGTTACTATTGGCATTTCACGGTCGGTTATAATAATATTTAGTTATCGTCGGATTTGTACATCTTTTAGCATTATGTTTGCTTTGAAGCAATGTTATGTATGTGTGTGTTGAACACGCATTACTGATGCAGGAAATTAATGGAGCCTAAGTCTAGCAAAGCAATCTATGTGCGTCAACAAGCTCCTCCTTTCTGTCAAATTCGTTTCTTATGCAAGGGACACCTGATTCACACAAGGTAGCTTTCCAGATCTAAGTTCATCTAAACATCTTATTTTGATGTTTCTCCTAGATAGACCTAGGTTTATGCTAGCTAGGTGGGCTTCTGGCCACTTTCTTTCCTGAAAGTTCTAATCTGACTTTAGGAATTCTGATGAATTGATTACCATCAATGAATTCGTCATCTACAGGGAAGCTACATCAATTGGAGTGAACACAGAGGGTATGACTCCATTACCTCAGGCTAGTCCGAGTTCCGAAACTGAGAAATCATATCCCCCGAGATCAAAATCCGTCACTGAAGGTCTAAATTATCAATTGAGTCCATTGGAGTCTACTGTTGATCATCGCAGAGTAATGTCTGAAAATCTTGGCACTCAGTTTCCTGGACTTCCTCCCTCCGACATTTCAGGAGCCACAACCACGCATAGTAGTTCAAGTGTTGGCAGGAGCAGTGATGTCCTGTCTCAGAGAAGTCTATCTTTGATTTCATTTGTTTCCTCATCATCAAGTGAAATACTGGATGATACAGCTTCTGCCTCTAAGACTGGGGCAGAGGGACTCGAAAATGGATTAGACGGAGATGCCCCTCATCAGCCTGACAAAGATGATTCTAACACGTCTTATCATCATCAAGAAACAGTAAGTACAAATGGTTTTTCATCCTGTTATGGTTCTTGAGTACCCTAGGCATTCATTATTTTGTGAGGTACTCATGTTATGAGCGAGTGCTGAAGCCTGAATGGATAAGTGATTTGGTAAATTATTCTTCCCTTTTTACCTCAGAGGGTGTTGTTTTTTCTTGAGCCTCTGTTTTGCTGGGAGTAAGTTAATTTTTGCATTTATCTGGAATAGTAAATAATGTTCGAGCTTTTGTAGGAAGGAACTGTGAATGATGAACTTTATCATAAACTCCACCAGTACGTTGAGGAGGCAGAAAATTCCAGACGAGAGGCATATGAAGAAACAACCAAGCGTAGAAAAGCTGAAAGAGAGGCTATTGAGGCTAGGTTCCAGGTATACTTTTACATTTGTCAGAACATGACAGTGTCCGATTTCAGCATCCTATTTATTCATCTACTATTTTGTGCAAAGTTCCAGTGAAATCCCATGTATCTTATAGAATAGCTTTTGCCGGATGTGAACTTTCTTGTTCTGAAGTTTCAAGTTACAGAATGGCCTTTGTGGCTTTTGGAATTTTGTCCTACCTGGACTAATATTTCCATTATTGTTAAGTTTATTGTTTCCCTGATTGGTTGTAGTTCTCAGTGTCTTTAACTTGATCTCATTCGGGATGAAATATGTATCAGTGGTGACATTTCAGAGGTTTTTGTTTCTAGTTTCTTTGGGGATACTTCTTTTGTGAACTGAAAAGACTTTGGCGGAAGATTTTCTGTGGTGATTTTAATTTGGAGGAAGACAACAATTTTTTCCTGGTTTTATGTTTATTTTACTCCTAAAACTAATAAATTGAGGCAAATTTTAGAAGGGATTTTTTCAATTTTGATCTTGAATACGGAATGATGAGTAGTAGTGGTCTTTGGGTTTCCTGGAGAAAAGTGTTCTTTTATTGGTATAAGAAAACAGAGGAATGTCTACTCCAGAAGTTGATCATCTATAAGGCTAAGTTCCAACTTGAAATGATATTTTTGACTTAACGAGGCTTAATCAATCTTCTATCTAAATAGGCTAAAGCATCAGAATCAAGATGCGCAGACGAAATTAAACACAGAAAGGAAGTTGAGGAAGCACTAGCCCAGCACCAAAAAGAAGTTGAGAAAATGAGTTACCAATTAGATGAGATCCAGATGAAACTTAGACTTTCCATGGAACAAAAGTCCTCTCTGGAGATCCAAATTGATGCTTCTGAGAAGATGGTCCACGAGTTAGAACAGAAAATGTTCTCTGCTGTGGAGCTACTGAAAAAGTACAAGCAAGAAAGAGATGAATTGCAGGAAGAGCGTGACAAGGCACTAAAGGAAGCTGAAGAGCTAAGAAACAAATATGCTGAGAAGGAATCAAGTGCATCCATGTCATGTTTCTTTTCCGAATACCTTTTCTCAGAAATAGAACAGGCAACTTGCCATTTTGATCCAGCATTAAAGATTGGCGAAGGAGGTTACGGCAGTATCTACAAGGGCTTCCTTCGTCACACTCACGTGGCTGTAAAGATCCTAAATCAGGATAGTATGCAAGGCCCTTTGGAGTTTCAGGCAGAGGTCAGTAATTTTTCTTATTCTATCGCTCAGATGAATTGCCAAATTATAAATTGTGTTGCTTTTGCTCCCACTATAACTAATGGGCTTATGGTCTCTAAAAGTAATTTCCAAGCATCCCTGTCTTCAAGTTTTTGTTTTTGTTCTGTCCCAAAACCTTGAAAGAATTTGGCAGGGAAATGTAAAGATGGGGCCTGAAATCCTACTTGACTTTGAGAAATGCAATTGACACTTTATCAGTATTTTTCTTCATCTAATCAATTGTGTGTTATGTAGGATTGACCTGTGTCAAATGCTTATAATGTAAGAATAACTACGAAATCTGCCAGGATGTTGCTAAGGGGGGTGGGGACTAAGAGGATATGATGTCGCACTTGGTTTTAGAAGTAGAGAACTGCCAATGCTTCTCCTCCCCCTCCTTTTTTTATTTCTATCCTTCAATATCATCATGGTTGGCTTTGTTTTTTAGGTAAATATTTTGAGCAAATTGAGGCATCCCAACCTCGTTACGCTCGTAGGAGCCTGTCCAGAAGCTTGTGCTCTCATCTATGAGTATTTACAGAATGGAAGCCTTGAAGATAGACTTAACTGCAAGGGCAACACCCCTCCACTCACATGGCAAACTCGAATCCGCATTGCTTCAGAGATTTGCTCAGTTCTTATTTTCTTGCATTCGTGCAGGCCCAAGAGCGTTGTACATGGTGATCTGAAACCATCAAACATTTTGCTTGATGCTAATTACATCAGCAAGCTCAGTGACTTTGGCATCTGTCACATCCTGAATGAAAATGAATTTTCAGAGAACAACACTACAGTAATGCGAAAAACTGATCCAAAAGGAACTTTTGCTTACATGGATCCTGAGTTTGTTGCAACTGGAGAGCTTACCCCAAAGTCTGATGTCTACTCATTCGGGGTTATATTGCTAAGGTTATTAACTGGAAAGCCAGCATTGGGGATAGGGAAGGAAGTTCAGGCTGCTCTGAACGATGGGAACTTGAAAGATATCTTAGATAACACAGCAGGGGATTGGCCATTTGTTAAAGCACAACAGTTGGTTAACATAGCTTTGAGTTGTTGTGAAATGACTCGAAGGAACCGGCCTGAACTTTCATCAGAGGTGTGGAGAGTGCTTGCTCCAATGAAAGCATCCTGCGGGACACCTTCTAGGTTGATTTCCAGAGAACAATCTCACTCTCCAGAATACTTCATTTGTCCCATCTTTCAGGTGAGTGTTGCTTTTGATCTCTGATTTCTTCGAAGCACGTTTTTTAATCAATTTCCGAATACATGAGTACTTGGATTAACGGTGAAGAAGCTTAATATCTATTAAGTGTTACATTCACATTTTCAAATGCATCCACGCTTAACATGTGACAATTAGAAACCTACTCATACCAGGAGTAAAAGAAATGGATTCCATCTTATCCAGAAGCATGTTAACCTAAAGACCCTCTCCTTTCAGGCAATGGAAGATGTACACTTGTAGCTTCAGTTTTGATGTCTACAGGATTTTACATTATTAACAAGCCTTTGGTAATGTTGCATGCTCAAATTTGCAGGAAGTCATGCAGGATCCAGTCGTTGCAGCTGATGGCTATACATATGAAGCAGAGGCCGTACGAGGATGGTTGGATAGTGGTCATGATACATCGCCCATGACGAACCTGAAGCTTGCCCATACCAATCTTGTACCCAACCATGCTCTTCGATCCGCCATTCAAGAGTGGTCTCAAAAGACTCAAAAATAGCGCAACTTAATTACTTGAGTGAGTGTAGCTAGCTAGTTGCTTTCACATTTCATCAATTCTTCCACTTTTTCCTTTCAGTTTCTTCTCATCCCTTTCACTTTGGAGACCCTTAACCGTGTGCATGTGCATAAATATATATACATACACAGAAAGAGTAGTAGCGATACCCACAGAAAAGTCGTCCGGCGAAATTTTTCGAAGAACCATTTGCTCGGGATTTTGTTACAATCAATGCCACATCGTTTCCTAAGCTATTTCACTTGATGATTTCGCAGAAAGTATCATTTTTTCATACAAAAAACCATACATCCCATAGAAAATATGTTAGGTTGTTGATATTGAATAGCTGGTGGGTTTGGAACCCTTTGTTTGTTATCCTTTCTTGTAATACATACCAGATTCTGCAGAAGAATGATTTATACATGTATAGTTACAGGGCATTTCGGGATTCCTTTATGATAGATTTTACAAATTTTTCTTTCAACATTGATGATCCATTTTTTGTTTTTTGGAGATGCTGTTTATTTTTGAATTCATTTGATTATATTTATGTTTTTGCGCCAAATATTACATTTATCCCAAACAATGAGTGGCAGGTGTTAAACTAGAAGTGTAAAACTGCTATTAACAACAATCAGATCAATTGGATTTCATCTGGGCAATCTGACTGGACAAGGTGCGGTACCAAGAATTGACTAGGTTGTTTGTTTGTATACAAAAATATGAACCCTAAGTCATAAATAATTTTGATTGATGGTGACACTTCAAAATCGTACAATTTGTGGATCAAGATTTATAGAAGGACCACTAATTATATGTCCTATTACTTCTTGTCATCTTATCTCTTTATTTCTTTTTCTTTCGTTTCACCTAATTGATATTCACACAATTTAACTTCCTTTTCTTTTCATTTTTGACAAAATGCTCCCTCTGCTCCTTATTACAAGGCAATTTGATTTTGTCTTAGGTTTCGTCTAAGATATCTTTTTAATTATAAAAAAAAATCTTAAAAATATATTTTTACATTCGTTGTATTCCCTTCATTGTTAAGAATATTTTTAAGATTTTTATTTCAATTAAAAAGACATCCTATATTAAATCTAAGACAAAATCAAAATGCTTTATAATAAGGACCGGAGAGAATATTATATAACTTCAGGTGTCATCAAATTTATGGATTGAGTATCCCCATTTGTATTTGCCTTTTCTTTTTAGGTAAATCACATAGTATAAGATATTTGAATTTACTATCTCGACTAATCTAATTCACATAAATCGGACTGTTTTTACATTTGAATGTGTTAACTACTGTATAATTGTTATAAAAAAAAAAAAAAAAAAGTTGCCCAGACAAGAGAGTTTATTTTGTTCTGCATATCAATCAATAATTGCCAATTTTTAGATTGTTCGTTGTTGTGTTGCCTGACTAGGACTACCAAAATCATGGAGCAGATGAGTCACATATGACCTCTTTTTTATTTATGAAATGATTATCGCTTTTTTGACAACAAAAAAAAAAAAAAAACAGATGACCAAATGGACCACCCACACCCAACCTAAAAAAGAACAAATTCAATTGAAACGAACTATCTTTGGCCATGCCCATGTTCATTTCACATGAACTTTTAGGAATATTTCATTTTACTACATCTTATAGGAAGAAAAAAAAAAGAATTATTTAGGCAGACCAATAGTCAAGTGAAAATCCACCCCCATATAACACTTCCATCCCTCCATTTTTCAATTTTAAGTCATTTTAATAAGGAATTAAAAAAAAATTATTTCCACACTAGTTTAATACTCATCTTAATAATCATCATCCACATGTGAGGGGACTTAATGAACAAGATTAAGAAAATGTTTATATTTTAGTTAACTGCAAATAACCCAGCCCTCTTATTCTTGCGAAAAATGACTGCACGCCCACATGAAATTTTTTTGTGGTATGTCAACTAGAGTTTGTAAACTTTTTATAATCAGTGATCTTGTTTTTGATTCACTAGGTTTTTACATTAAAAAATAGAAAAAAATAAATAAAAATAAACCAATACAAAAACAAGTTATATTAGACAAAAACAGATCATTCTCATTATTTCGTTCTTTTTTTCTCTTCTTTTTTTTTTATTACATCACTTCTCATTCACAACAGAAGATAATTGTAAAGATAGCTGGAGAAAATGATAACTATTGAGTTATCTTAAACATGGTTGGAGAGTAATCCTAACTATGATGAGATCAGAATCAAAACTAGTAAAGGTGTTTTATTTCAAAGCCACCACCTTTATTACTTGAAACCACATATTTTAAAATTGGACTATTTTATCATTATTATTTTTTTCAAATCAAATAATTTGACTAGAGAGAAAATAAAAAAAAAATTGAAAAAAAATGACCGACCAGGCGGTCCGTCCGTCCTGGGTTTTCATTGTTCGGTCGGTTCCGGTTCGGTCCGATATGGTGAACCGGACCGGTCAGGCCTTTTTTTTTATTTTTAAATTTTTTGTTTTTTTTTTGTAATTAAAAAATAAAAATATTTGTTATTTAAAAAAGTCTAAAAATTAAAAAATATCAATCGGATTCATTGCTATTTTTTTAATTTTTAGATTTTTTGTTGTATTTAGTTAATCTAGTTTTTAGGTCATTAAATTTATTAATAATTTATTATTTGACTTACATTAAGTATCACCAATCTTTGTAGTACAAAAAATAGTTAATCTATTTGCACATATTTGTCACAATCTTTGTAGTACAATTATTATTTTTCATTATAAATGTATAATTATTATTTTAACTAAAAATTATCTTTAAAATAATGATTAAACCAAAATTTATATTTTAATATCAATTCAAATAAATTAACTTAACAAATAATCTTAAATTTGTAATTACTTGTTTATTTTCAAGTAAATATAAAATCGAGAGTTTAAGCACTAAAGTATAAATATTGTTAATACTATTTAAAGTACGAGGTGTTTAACATGTAACGATACTGCGAATAAATTAACATTAAAATAAAAATTAATAATTTGTCCGTTCTCACGTGAATCGGACCGAATGACTTGTCCGGTTCGGTCCGAGTGGCAGGGACAAAAGGAAAATTCTTCAAAATTGGTAGTTTCAATTACTAATTTGGGTGGCTGGAAAAGTACACCGCTAAAAGAATATATATATATATATATTATTTTTTTTTTGATAATTACGCATTAAATTGTAGGGGGGTGTAGGAAAGTAGCCAGAGGTTGAGCCCACAAGATACTACTGCTACCTCTATCTATCTCATCAGACTGACTCAAAACCTGATCTAGAAAAACTAAAAATAATAAATAAATAAAAAAAGTTGAGAAATAAAAAAAGAAAAAGGAAAAAAGTGGAGTAAATAAAAAGGCCGCCGTCTTATCTCTCTCTGTACGGCCAATACGGCCTTATAATAATTTTATTATATAGTATTAATTACTTACCAATCTAGTAATAGTTTAGCCTTAGTGCTAGCGAGGTAGACCGTGCCTTTTTGACTTCCACTATTCTCACGCGCTTTTTCCTTCCTGTCACATCACTCTCCCCTTTCCACCCTATAACTTATCATCCCAAATGTTTTTGTCAATCTTTCCAATTTCTTTTTTTTACATAATGTTTTTAATGAATAATTGCATTGTGAAGTAGAAAAACATACTTCAAAATCGAACGCCTACAAGTATATTTTAGTCATACATAATAACAAAGTAAATTTTTGTACTATTATATAAATATATTATCAAAATCATATAACCGGTCGTTTTTGTAACTAGCATGTGGAGAATATCAACATATGAAAAGCTTCTTACTTTTTGCCTATTCCAATTTTGTCAATTATAGGAATTAAATCTTAACTACATACAGAACAGAGGGATTCGAGTGAGTACACCCCCGACAAGATGCGTTAAGTTAAATTACGACAGTACTGTCAGCTTAGGAAACGTTAAAATTGCAGTGGAATATTATTCGGGATAGCGATGAGAATGTCATAAAGGTGTAGCATGGAAAGTTGGGGACTCCTTTATGTTGTCACAGCAGAGATCACAGCAGTCAGGATCGACCTACAACTGGCACAAAAATTTGGATTCAAAAAGGTCATTGTAAAGACTGATTTTACGAAGGTTTGAAACTTATAGATAGCCTTAAAATTGAAACTAATATGGATCCAGAACTTAGAGTCATCCACAGGCTTTTGTCAAGTAATTGGGATGTATCGTTTACACATATCTTTAGAGAGAACAACCTTTGTGCTGATATCCTTGCAAAAGAGGGTCTAGCGGTTAGAAAGGGCAAATATTCATTTGATGTTGCCCCGAATAATATAGACTTATTAATAGATATTGAGAAGGACAGAAACATAGATTTGAGTTGAGGCTCATCCTTGTATGTTTGTTAACAAAAAAAAAAAAAAAAAAACCTAACTACATTGCTTTATAATTTATTATTTTCAATATTCAAATAAAAGGACAATTGAGGAGCTTCAAAAATTGTCGAACATACAAATGGTAAAGCAATAGAGGGGCACATGATCTGATAGCTTCTTTGGAGAGGACAAATTTTGCAGTATATTTCAATATTTGATGATTTTTTTACATGAGAATAATTTATGGTATCCTAAGTTATTAACGTTGTGTAGATCCATTCATTCAAATGAAATTTAGGTGCCACTATGACATTATTAAGATTTTCATACCTGCAATTCAAAGTTCAAACAAAATATATATAAGATTTAATGTTTTGAATCGACTGGGAAAAAGACATTAAGCTTCATATCTATTCACTCTACATATTTTACGACTATGACTATGAATGATTTATTAAAGGTGGCTGGACGAACTTTTTTTTTTAAAAAAAATTATTAATAATTACCTAGTCAATTTGTGAATTAATAAACTTGTTCACACCGCGCTCACGTGGCAGCCCTAGTACACCGTACTTAGTTGTCCCAACCCCGAATTTTTTTATTAGTTTTAGAACACCAATTATTAAATAGATTATGAAACTCCCTATGTTAGGAAGGATGAATTATCGAAAGTAAACTTTGTGTTTAACAGTCAACTTGGTTTAAAATAAGTACTTTTTAAAAAATAAGTACTGATACTAATAATCAAGTATCATTAACTATGTCATAAATGTAGCTCCTCTTTTCACTAAAAGCAGCACGAGATAAGGCAAGTAGTAGTAGTATCTATTCATCAACCTTTCCTCCATTCCAATTCATTTGGGACACTTTCGTTTTTCCGAGGTCTAAGAAAAGTACTGTACAAAATCCATTATATTAATATTAATCCTTTTTAATGTATGAGTGCATTCTTATTCGTACACTAATCACTTTTTTTGGGTTAATGTACACTAACCACTTTGATCTATAGCAACCGTCAATAAAAGTTTTCTTACACCACATAATTTTACACTACTACTTACATCATTTACCGAGAATTTTGATACTTAATCCCCTAAAAGTTCATCTAAAAGTTGAGTTAGGATATTTGTTAAATGTTAAACATATAAATACTACTATCTCTGTTTCAAAAATAGTTTTTTTTTTCTTACGAAAATGGGAGTAATATTTAAATGAACATGTATCAAAATATGACGTGATAGTTTAGCAAGTGATGTGAGAGATCTTTATCTGTAGCAATCTTTTAACTCTAAGTATATATGAAAAAATGATTTCCTAATTAAAGAAATGTCTAAAATAGTTTCTATTTATCAGTTTGCATATCAAAAGTATGAGTACTAACTTCTTGAATTTGTACGTACATTTTGAAAGCTTGATGATGATGTTCATTGTTCAAGTTAATTTAGTGTTTAAATATTCGTAAAACCATGGAATGTTGAAATAATAAATGTCTAAATGTACTGTATTTCATTTCTAATTTATTCTCATTGAATATAAATTGTGGAATTTTAATATGTTTGGTTCGTTTTTTTAGCGTGTGTTTTAAATGATTTTTTTTTTCTATTGGGAAGGTAAAAAAATTTATTAAAAATGTGAAAAGGTATGCTGGGATGAGACTATTATTAATTAAAAATTATGAAAAAAAGAAGGGAAAAAAACCAACCAAACAATGGTGAAACGCTGGAGAAAATAGTACTCAATCATCAAAATCGTCTTGTATTGTTTATAGATAATCTCTTTAAAAAAAAGAAGATTTTAATAGGGTTATGTTTAAGCAAGAACACAAAAATCAATAAAATATAAGTAAGAAACGTCCCAAATCGACGCTTGAAATAGTTCAAGAATGCCATGGAATCATCATCAATAACAAAAGAGCAAAGATCCATGAATAAAAATATGGTGATATTAATTGTGTGATTATGTTGTAACAGATCGGACAAGCAAAAACAATAAAGTAAACAGTGAAACATGGATCCTGCTACTTTGTCAACATGACAATATTCTCTTTTATAAATTAGATATCATCAATTAAAAAAAAAAAAAGAAAGTAAACCTTTCACGTGTACCTCACTCGCCGTACCCCCGCGTAACGCTTATCACCATCAAACAGTACCATATAAATAAAAATGGTAAAGTCCATTTAGTGGGAAAAGTTCGTACAATTTGATCAAACGGTTATTACTTCGCGTTTTTGTTGACGTGACCAACGCTAATTCAACAACTTATCACTTCCCTTTTCCCAAATTAAAAAAAAAAAAAAAAATATTAAAAACCAAACAGCCCCTTATTAGCAGTTTCCTTTTTCACAGCAGCATCTTGCTTCTTCTCTCTGCATCTCTGTTTTCCTTCCCCCCTTTTTTCCACCTCCCATTGTTTTTTTGTGTATAATTATTTTGACAAATCCAGGCAACAGAAGAAAATTTCCAAATTTGTGGCTGGAAAGAAATTCTCACTAGGTTTTTTTTTTTTTTTTTTGGGAATCATTTTAATTTGGTTGGACTGTTTTGCTGATTTCATTTCCTTTCCATCTATGAGCTGCTGAAGTAGAATATGGGAGGAAGAACTGTTGACTGTTGGGTTTGTACAGTTGTTTCAGTGGTTTTGTTGTTGTTGTTGAGCTCTTCTTCTTTGGTTTATGGAGGTGATATAGTTCACCAAGATGATGTGGCACCCAAGAGACCTGGCTGCGACAACAATTTTGTTCTGGTACTTCTTTTTTCTTTTTCTCCCATTGTTTTCACTTCTGGAAAAAAAAAACCCCGGTTTTTTTTTATTTTTTTTAATTATGTTTGTTAATCAGTATACATTTGGAATTGACGGCGTACATTTTGATTTCTGTGTGCGCTCTGGTTTTTTGGATGGTTGTGTTATTGAGTTTTTTTGAATTTTTCAGCTTAATTAGTTCAAGAAGCACTTTCTTTCTTTGACCCTGTGACAATCAGTGTGGTATTTTTTTTTTTAATTGATGGGACTCTTAATCTTTTGGGATTTGCTTTATCTTTTCTAATTGAAATGAAGTTTTGGTTTCTAGGTTGATAATTTGATTGTCCTGTGATCATAATTTCGGTCGCATTGTCTGCACCGAATTGACCCTCGCCCGCTATAATTTTCTTGGGGTTTGGAGATTAAAATTTGTGATTGTTTTTCACTGTTAAGTTTGTTATGACTATCTTATTCCAGCAGCTTGTTGTTTGTTATTTTAATTCAGCAGGTTCTTTCATTGCCAATTCCAAATCAGTCTCATCTGAAGTGATGATAGATCTATTACTTAAATCAAATCAGTTTGGAGTTGGGTCATGATTATAGGAATTAGGAGGAAATAATTCGGCTAATGGCCATTAGCTTATCTAAATTGCAGTTTTCTCTGGGGAGGTTTTGGTTTTGTTTTTCCATGAGAATAAAATGCTGCATTTGCATGTGTTGTCGCGTATCAACTGGAATGTGATAATTAATAAACAAAATTTCTGGTGCAGTATGAATTCAGTAATTTGGGTCTCTTGGACTTTTGAGGTTGTGTTGCCTTCGTTATTTTCTCTGTATTGTAGATAGTTGGATGTGATAGACTGCTCAATTGAGTCTTCTGAACTTCTTCTTGCAGTTTTAATCTAAATATTCTCTTACTTCTTATGATAGGTTAAAGTTGCTACTTGGATTAATGGTGTAGAAGAAATGGAATTTGTTGGTGTTGGTGCTAGATTTGGGCAAACTTTGGAATCCAAAGAGAAACGCGCCAACCAAACCAAACTTGCCCTTGCTGACCCAGCTGATTGTTGTAGTAAACCAAAGAATAAAGTACCATTTGATTTTCTTGTTAATAGTAGCTAAATCTTGCTAGAAATCTTTAAATCAACACTAAGAGCTGGTATTTTACAGCTCACCGGAGAGGTCATCTTGGTATATCGTGGTAATTGTAGCTTTACAACCAAGGCAAATGTTGCCGAGGCTGCAGGTGCTTCAGCAATCCTTATCATAAACAATCAGACAGGTTTGATGCTAAAATCCTTGTTTTGATACTTTTTAAACTATCTACGAGATGGAGATACTGATCATTGCTTACACTGAGTTCAAATATTCATCTGTCTTTGGTCTAGTCAAGTCTTCTATCGAGTTTCCTTGTTTAATGGGTCTCTCCTCTTCATCAGACTTCGGATATCTGTTGATTGCTTTTCTTGAAGTTCTACCTACAGAAGTTGAAAGTTGATTTGAATACATGCCATGAAAATGTCATTGCTGGGTCATTAAGTAACTAAGAGCTTTTAATTGGACCCTTGATTAATGTTACAAAATCTGTCTGTCATCTGTATGGGAGCTCGTCTATTTCCATTTTTCATTTCTTTTTATCAATTTATTGTATTTCTTTTCTGTTGCTTAATAATGACTGCCCAATGCCTCCACAGAACTCTTCAAGATGGTTTGTGAAGCTAATGAAACTGACGTACAAATTGGTATTCCTGCTGTCATGCTCCCTATAGACGCTGGTCAAAGCTTGGAGGCCAACATAAGAAACAAGTCTCATGGTAATATCTCCTCTGTGGTTTTCATTCCCTCTTCAGTTGTCATATTCTGGAACTTATTTAGGAGGAGAAATAACACGTTGTCATATTTAGGAGGAGAAATAACACGTTGACAACTTTTTGGTCTGCTTTTAAGACATTTTTGTTTGTGATGATTGGGCCCATGTGATAATATATGTTCACCTCCGTTTCAGTTTCTGTGCAATTGTACTCGCCTCAGCGTACAGTGGTTGATGTAGCTGAAGTGTTTTTATGGCTTATGGCTGTTGGGACCATCTTATGTGCATCTTATTGGTCTGCATGGACTGCAAGGGAAGCAGCTATTGAGTTGGACAAGCTATTAAAGGTAATGCTAAATCTTTACTATTATCTTCCTAAAATGCATGAGAAATATTGTTATCCTGAGATGTTGATGCAGTCCCCCGTGTGCTTGAATGGATGAATCTTGCAGGATGGATCAGATGAGTATCTTGATTCGCCAGACGGTAGTCCTAGAGGTGTAGTGGACATTAGCACAACATCTGCAATTCTCTTTGTTCTGGTCGCATCTTGTTTCTTGATTATGCTCTACAAGCTGATGTCCTTCTGGTTCATCGAGGTTCTCGTGGTTCTATTTTGTATTGGTGGCGTAGAGGTTAGTCAGCTTTATCCTGTTCATTTTCTTATGCAGTGGGACATGTTATGTGGATGAATAGAGATTAGGGTTTATTTTTTCTCCCTTTTGAGTTGATATTGCCATGGGGGGTGGATTACACTTTAAAAGGAATACAAATGTTTTACGTTGAACCATATTCTGTGGAAAGTTGGGTGCAACCATCTGCTTATGTATTCTGATTCTGATGCAAATAGATTATATTAATTCGAAAGAATTGAAACATGCATCATAGGACTACAAAAAGTTGGCTCTTGTTCTATATGGATGCAACATTTTGTTTCTACTTGTTCTATTAGTTGATATGGATGTTTAAGTTTGAACAGAATTGTATTTGGAGAAGGTGTTATATTTGCCTGTTCGATCATGGTTTTATACATGCCTTTGTTTTTATTTAAAATTTTAAACCTCATTTTCTTTTACATACAGGGATTGCAAACCTGTCTGGTTGCATTGTTATCATGGTATGTACTCTCTCTTCCTTTCATGTACCATCCGTGACCATTGTATTTCTGTTCTGTATTTTCCTCAGTCTAGAACAAACATGAACTATGTTCCAAAGGGGAAGCGTCCCCCATCACCACACACACCGCATTATTCCTTCTAATTTGATAGGGAGAAAATAGGGGTGTAAAAACAATGAAACTACACTTTTACCTTTTGCATTCATGATGCGAAAATCTGCCCATAGAACAATCTCCAATTCTGCTTTCCCTTTTGTGCTCTGAAATTTGCTGGTAAAATCTTCAAGTTCTGAGTGCATTCGATGGATCCATCAAATCGCGAATGTGGAAGACATGATGGGTTTATGAGTGTAGTGTCCTTATTTCAAATTTTTTAACATTTTTTTTTTCCCTTTTTGGAAGTAAAAACTTATACTACACAAATATAGTTTCAGATGGTTTGAACACGCTGCACAAGCTTATGTGAAAGTGCCGTTTATTGGAGCTGTCTCACATCTGACACTCTTTGTTGCGCCGTTCTGCGTTGCATTTGCTGTTCTTTGGGCAGTCTATCGGCGTGTCTCCTTTGCCTGGATAGGTCAAGATATCCTTGTAAGTCAACACCGACAACTTTGTTTAGACATGATTGACCATTAGATATCTAATGTGATTACTTGGGTTAAGTGGTTGATTAGCCTGTGAACTCTGACCCTGCGGTATCCTATTTTGTTTTTTGGGTATGTCCTAGAATGTAAGTGATCTTTGTTTCCAATCACACATTAAGATGGAAGAAATAAAGTTGGATAAGCCTTGTATTTTTATTTCATTGCTGTGCTGTTCCACTTATCCATGTTATAGATGTCTGCATTATCTACAAAGAGTAGGACTTTGTTGTTCTTAACAATGACTTGTTTTCTTGAAAAGGTGGAAATAAGCATTTAGAATGTGCAATTGACTGGAGGGGTAAATTAAATTGCTGTTTCAATTTCCTAGAAAATCATAATTTTTAAAATTGGGAGTACTAATTTGTGGAACGAATGCTCCTTGACTGAAGTCATTCGTAAGAAGCTCTGAAAAATTTCATATCTGCTCTAATCACTGGTGTATTTCATTTGTTTCACTGTGAACCGCCTAATCCTTTATGCTTGTATACCGCTTTAATTTTAGAACCACTCACAGTTCAATTAAAATAACATTCCCTCTGTTACTGCTTGTATATCTTTCAGTGGGTTCATTAAAGACGCCTTGGGAGGCCTTCTTTTCTCTGCATGACCTTTTTACATGCTAAGATTGACTGCTTTCTCTATTTGTTTAATCGGGCGACAATGTCTTTTTTCACAAAGAAATGGACGGGGGCCTCAACATTGTTCTTTTTTTTTTCCCTTTCTTTTTTCATATGCAGGGCATAACTTTAATAATCACTGTTCTTCAGATTATAAGAGTACCGAATCTCAAGGTTAGTTCTTTTTCTCCTCCTTTTGTTTTCTACCGGTCTACGAGTCTTGATCCTGAAAAATAATGCTGACAATACAGCACCAGCAGTTATCTCACTTGCTTCTGTGTTTTCTTGGTGTGCCCAGGTGGGAACGGTTCTGCTTGGTTGTGCGTTCTTGTACGACATTTTTTGGGTGTTTGTGTCGAAGTGGTGGTTTCACGAGAGTGTAATGATAGTGGTAAGCTTCTCTTAATCTTGCACTTAATTTGGATGTGTTGATTTGACTCTTGGTGAGTTCTTATTCCCACAATTGAATTACGAGTTGTTTTCCCGACCAGGTTGCTCGTGGTGATAGAAGTGGAGAGGATGGTATACCAATGCTACTCAAAATCCCTAGGTTGTTTGATCCTTGGGGTGGCTACAGTATTATTGGATTTGGTGACATAATCTTACCTGGATTGCTTGTTGCATTTTCGCTAAGGTAGTGAGCTGTGTTTTCTGAAGAATATAAAGTATGGCTATCCCGTTAATTTTGTTGGGAGCTCTGAGTATGTTTTCTTGATCACTTAATTTACTGAATATCATTCCCTGGAGCAACGATGTGAACCATTTGGTTGAGTAAGGTTATGGTGGTCTGCATTACTTTTGTAAGACTTTGAAGAGGCGTAATTCTAAAGTCATTCATTGAGTTTTCAATTTCCTCTTTATTTTCCAAAAATTAGAAAAATAAAAAATTCCTCTTTATTTTCAGCTTTGCTTTTAACACGGTCCATTTAGAGTCCAAAGCATTTTGCATTTCAGATTAATCATATGCTGCATATAGCAAAGTGGTATTCGAGATGTTTATCGTCTGAGATGCCTTCATCACTCTTTAAGGTTGATTCTTTCAGGTATGATTGGCTGTCCAACAAGAAACTTAAAGAAGGATACTTCCTGTGGGCAATGATTGCATATGGATTAGGTATTTCTTAAATTTCTGATATGGAGTTTCTCCTTCTTGTGCTTGTTCAGACGACAAGTGATCATCATCATGTGATGCTTGTTTATTAATCGTTTATCTGCCTTTTGAACATTATTAATAACAAAAATAATAAAATCCAACAATTGATTGTTCTATTCTACCCTTTTTGATGTGGGATTAATTAAAATGCTAAGATGTGAGGTTGATATGGGGAGGGCCATGATCCCAGTTGCAATCTAAAGCCCTTAGTTCACATGAGTAATAAACACCTATATTCTTAAAGACCATAGTAAAGTTGCTGTCAGATAGAATTATCAGGCTTATGTTATAATTTGTGTTGGAAAAAGGAGGTGCTAATACATATGTTACTCTTTGCAGGCCTCCTCATTACGTATGTTGCTCTGAACCTGATGGATGGACATGGACAACCAGCTTTGCTTTACATTGTCCCGTTCACCCTAGGTAAACAAAAAGCTCATGTTTTATGCCAATATACATGAGTGGTGAAATGACATGTAGCATCTAAGTAGACATGTGCCTTATCAGTATTTACATAATTCAACCAGCCAGAAGTTTGCTTTTGAAAACATTTGTGCGATATCCTACATTTGACTATCTATGTGAATATGTTATTGCAGGAACTTTTATAACACTAGGAAAGAAGAGAGGCGATCTCAAGAATTTATGGACAAGAGGAGAGCCAGAGAGGCCTTGCCCACACATCCAGCTTCAACAAACTCACGATGAATGATTTTCTGATCATCGATCAGTTCATCTCATAACTACTGCATAGTTAAGTCTTACAGTGGAGCCTAATCGAGAATAGATTTAACTTAGGTGTTGTAACACTCAGAGGAAGTAACTATACCTAGTAGTGTTATAGTGGTGCTTCGTAGTTAGCTGGACTTTTGTACTAACATTGTATTTGTGGTTCGCAGGATGATGTCTTTGTACGATAGTGTACAAAAGTTCGAGCAGGGATTTGTTTGCATAGAGTATAGGTCATATAATGGATAAATGAACCATAGGGAAAGTTTACCGATTAGTGGTGCTTGGAGGGGGTAAAAAAAGCTGAAAGTATCCTTTTTCTAAGGGACCAATGGTTCTGGTCTTTTGGAAACTCCATTTTCCACCGATGTAACCATCTTTCTCTATTTTTTTAATTATGTGCTTAAAGTTCAACAAGTAGATAGATTTCTTATGTAACCTTCTTTCTTAAACTTCCTATGTGACACTTCTCATATCAACAAATAATAGGTAGATTTCTAGAGAATAGGAAGCCTAGTGAAGGCAATGGCTGATTTCGCAACAATCCCTTCCATCAGTCCGAAATGCAGCCTCAAAGCCACTTCTCAATTTAGCATCTGTCATACTGAGAAATTTTCTGACACCAACAATCTACCAAACTACGATTGAAACGAAGAAAATCAGAAGCTTTACTAAAATGTCTAAAACTAGTGAGTACAAATTCAAAGTTCAGAAGAATAATAGTACATAAATTGAGAGAGATGCCTATCCTCCTATCTACAAAAAAGAAAAAAAAAATGTTAGCTACCTGAAACCCTCATCACCGAAAAAAAGGAATGAGAAAACCCTAAAGCCGATACACATTGGTATACAGAGCACATCTTATCTTAATGTTGTGCCTCTATTCATGTTAAAATACCTTGAGCTCAGTGTATCAAAACTGATTCCCGACGAGAAGTATCAAAAAATGGCTAACCAGCTAGCTGAGAGTTTCATAATCGATGTATGCTACCCAATCTTCTAGGTGACATCATCACCATTTTAGCTGAGGAAGCCAATGAACAAAATTGTTACAGTTGGTGACATCCTGAACAGTTACATACTACGGGGGATCACTTCTGGTGGTGATTCACTCCTGCAAACAAAGAAGAAAAGATTATCAACTTCCGAACGCTTTACTTTTAGCATAAATAATGTCAGCAGTCTAGATACTGCCACAAGACGCATCAAGTTCTGTTGAAGAAAATTTATCTTGAGTCCGGTAAAGCAACAAATAGTTACAACTAGAACCATTTCGAAACCAAAAATTAGAAGCAGAATTCGAGCACAGAAGGAACTCAGGTCAGAGTTCCTCCGAAGTAGAGTTTGAAATATAATCAAGTAGGAAGGAAAGGGATACATGAGGCTGCCATCCAGAACTTTGAATCAGATTCCTTGATTTATACAGTCATGAGTGAAGAGTCATAGCAAACATATCATGCATGACTAAGACAAGGGCACCTAGTTCATTAAATATCATATCAGGCACAACCATAGTAAGCCTATGAACCAAATTCAATATCATATCACTCGGTTAATCCTATTAATCATTGACCATAGGAAAAAAACAGTTATCTGATCGGGCAGGTAAATGCCAGATTAAACAAAAGAAAAGTAAGCAAGTCAATCCACAAAAAAGTACTATACCACCCACGAAGCCACATTATAGTTACTTCAACTGTCATATAGCCAGCCCAAAACATTCAAAACCACCGATGGAAGACACAGCAGAGGAAAAATGTACCATACAGAGTTGCTCATCTCCAATTATAAGAACTGTCACACATTTACACTTGAGAAATGTGAACTTGCAGATAGTTCCATCCCGTACCAAACACTTCTTCAACGTGTAAATTTCTCATTTGATAATCATATTAGTTATTTCGTCATCTGACAGCACCCTTTCATGTTTCTGAACTTCTCTAGTTGAGTATTTTATTATGATAAGAGCACTTCATTTTGTATGAAGCAAAACTTTATTTTGACTGCTGTCAGCCAGCCCCTGGTAACCTCAGCACTTCATTGTTTAACATCTAAACTTGACGTTCAGTTTCTTCTCCAATGAAGTATTAGAAGAAGTCTTTCAAAAACTTGTACAACTTTTGCTTCTGATTAACACAAATATGAACAAAAAGGAAATGGGATCATGATTCATGGGTGGAGAATTCCTATTTCTGATTAGGCAAGTTTAAAACATTTTAGGGGAACTACATGACCAGTAAAACCCTGATAGAAAAGTTTGTATAGCGACTCTGCAAGCAGAAATGAGGAAGAAGATGATGACTTTCTCCAGCACTGCATTTTCACCCAAATTATTTCCAAAATCATAAATTGACAGCATCTACATCATCGATTATGTTTTGACTTGTATCCTCGACAACAAGACCTCCTCTTTATGAAGTAAAGTTAAGTGAGTAATACATAGCCCACAGGAAGACAACATGCGGAAATTTCAGCAAGTCGGTCTCATCCAGGAAAACATTGAAAGTTGATTTCCAACAATCTATAGTGAGATAGTTTCCCTATCGGGTCATGTGTCATATTCCTTGCTTCATTGATTACCACTAAATACTATTACCACTTTAATCACATAATAAGCAATGGGAAAAGGCGAGAGCTTAGGGTCAAGGTAAGGGTGGGAAATTGCACCATGAAGAACTTGGTTTCGAGTATTGGAGGCTGAAAACTGGTAAAAAGAAAGGACAAAAAAAATACTTTTTTTACGAAACTACTCAAGAGAAAGACCGAGGGTGTCACATGACACACATATACTTGCTATTCAATTTTTGACGACCCAAAAAAAACAGAATCGTCCATTGCAGGTACTCACTATGACAAATAAAGAACTATTGAAAGCCACTCCAGAAATGGTGAGTTCACCAATACAGAAGCAGTTCTGAAACTCAACACTTTTACAGTTAGAATAGCCTGCTCAAGGGCATCCACATAAAATCACATGGAATATCTGCTATTCCAGGTAACAAATCACACTCATATCAATGATCAAGTAATGGTAACCGAGCAAAACATAACACCACAGGTATCTTCCATGATAAACAAACATAGAGTCATAACCCAACGGGAAGGAGTCAACATAAAAGGACAGGTAGGAGAACTACGCAAGTGTTTGCATGGTAAAAGGTAAATGTGACTGCACAAGTATTAAAAACTTAATAGGTAACACATAACAAAAAACAAGCTACCGGCCGCCAAGAAACTTCCACATATGCAAATTACAGGAAGGGAAGGAAGCAACAAAGGAACTAAAAGCTCGTAAGGTCAGAATAGCCAGCCCATCAACATGACAAGTATAAAAATAAGACATCAAAGGAAAGATTCATGGAAAAAATGAATTGTGCATACTTGCATATCTCCTCAAGGAACCATTGCAATTAATGGCTGTTGGTATTCGCCTTTTCTCTTGTCCAACAGAAAGTAACTCTTGCATTCTCTCAGGCCAGTCTGAGTTCAATCTCCTAGCAAAATCTTCCACTTCCCTATAAGAAGAAATAAATATAATGAGTATGCCAAAAGGTGAACGCCAGATAGAACACAGAATACAATGTGCCTACGTCAGCAACAATGTGTCATTTTCGCAAAATATAGTAACAACATGTTAATTGTGCGCAAATGGTCCAGAAAGGTATGAAGTAAAGAACAATTCTCGCACTTACGGGAAGGGCGAAAAAAGCAATTTTCAGTCACAAAAGGAAATACTCAAAGATCCCTTTAATTTAAAGCTAAATCCTATGCATTTTAACGAATAGACAAAATGATGATACCACGCTCACGTGTATACAAATGAAAAACCAAACAGCCGCGAAGTAAAAGGCTCTTTAGGTCGATACAATATCATTTGTATACGCTTGGAATCTATGCATTCTAACGAAATAGACAAAATGATGATACCACGCTCACATGTATACAAATGAAAAACCAAACAGCCGCGAAGTGAAAGGCTCTTTAGGTCGATAAGTTACATTAATCTAAAAAAGTTATTAGAAGTTCATAAAATTGTATGTTATGTTACGTGTATTAAACCCCCCCCTTAAGTCAACAAATGCACTTTGATACAGATCCATTAGATATGCTGTTAACTACAAAATTCTTCAAGGATTCATTTTTCGCAAAAGAAAGTTGCATAAATAAGATGAGTCTGACACGAGCATAGACTACAACATTTGGCGAATTATGGAATTAAAAGGTGAATCAAACAGAATCTGAGCATCGGAAACACTGAGACTAGCATATAAAGCGACTACGGAGCACCACCTCATGAAAATTACCTTAAAGCATCATTTCCATCCCAAGTCTAATCCATTTAAAAGCAATCTCAAAGTTTTCTTACCACTCGATCCCACACCAATTAAGGACTGTTGAGTACTACCTTCTTCGAGAATGTAAATATGTAAATAAGTGACAAAAATGATGCTCAACACTAATTCATCAGTATATAGATGTTGTACTACAGCTCAAGCTTAAGACAATAAACATAGACACCACAAAAAATTTCTTAATTACTCTACAGAATATAATCTTAAGTATTTCTGTATCTTATTTTAGTTTATGCTAGAGTGTGTGTACATGAGCGAACACATATTTTTCCTTGTTTTCCTACACTTCATGAAATATTTAATTTCAGGCCTTACACGGCCCGAAGGTTGAAATTGGAAAAATTGTAGCCTGGTATGCAAATAATTCAACCAATCATGCCCCTTCACTATCAAAATTAGAAATAAGCTTAATTTTTGTAACTGAAAAAAGGTAAAATAAAAAATGTCAACAACTCAGAACTACTACTTCCACAGCCTTCAAATGCAACTCGCATTTTAACAAAATTTATGCCAACGTAGAATTCACAAACACTATCCCTAAAAAAAACAAGTTCCATTACGCTTACGGAAGCATATTTATCAACTCATGTCAGAACCCACCTATCAATCTTTTCTTTCATTGCAGGGTCAATATCATCATCTAAGTCACCAGCATCAAAGTCATCATCAGGACCAAGGCTGTCTTCTAAATTCTGCAACTTCAATTTCTTTCCCAGGTTGTCAAGAACGTTATCGCAAGCTGAAGCATCAGAGCACGTCAAATCAGACCCATGGGACCCCTGCTACATGTTGAAAATGTCAGCTTTTTCACTCAATCCTGCTCAATCTCTCTCTTTCTCTTTCTCAGTTTTTGTGTACTTGTGAGTATGTAAATGGGCATAAAGAAGAGAGCCTGAAGACAGCAACTGTAACAGCAAAAAAAATTGTGCGAAAGGCTAAATACTAACCCCAAGCTTCAGAGCATTATTGCTAGAAGATGAACCATTGTTTGAGGTTTTACCGCCGTTTGATGGAGTGTTCTTTTGTGAATCTTTCTTTTTGCGGTTCTTCTTTTTGTTCTTAGAAGTTTTGACTGCCTTTGAATCTGCAGAGAAACAAATTACTTTTCATCAAACCAGCCTCTAAAAAATCTGGCACGTCTGATTAAATAATTTATGGAAAGACGAAACCGAAACAAATGGTGGGAATACAATCAAACCACGATAAATGACAGATACACTAAAATAACAAATAATTAGCCCCTAGCTTCTTCAGCATGATTGGTCAATTGAAAGCAAAGACTATATCTTTTCTATATGCCTAAAAAAAATAAAATAAATAAATTTTAAAAAAAAAAATTAAAAAAAAAAACCAAAGGTGTAGCCTTCTTTTAGTCTTATCAGTGATAACCATGAATTTCATCAATTTCATTCCAGGGACTACATCCATGAACTTAATCCAACATATTCACTGCTCTGGGATCCAGCAATGAAAAGTATTCCCTTTAGATTTAAGAAATGAGAATAACAGGAAGACACTGATAATTAACAGGTTACAGATCACGAATAATTTTGTGCTCCAAAGAAGTGACACAAGGTTCCTTCTTTTTTAAATATAAATCAAAATACAGCCATCAAGTCCTTGATTAAAAATTCAGAGTGAGACCAGAGGAAACCTGCATCTCCCCCGTTGATGAAAGACAAGAGATCCTCAACTGATCGATCGTCAACGCGCTCCTCTTCAACTTCAACATTCTAGAAAAAGATCGAAAGCACAAACAGGTCAGTGTTGAAGCAAACATCTTAAGCTGTGAAAACATTGAATACAGAATGCGCAAACAATTTCAACTGTCCGGGGAAAAAATGAAAGAGAACAAAAACAAATTTACTAAATTTCATGAAAGGTATGATACTTGCAAGGAAAATCATATTGTTGTCACCTTCAATCTTTCTCTTTCCCTCAATTCTTTCCTCTTTCTTGCATATAGTCTATTTAATAAGCGAATCCGCGGGTCGTCAATAGTATTCTTTATAGGCTCCAGCTTCTCTTCCTGAGTTAAAATCAACACATTAACACAAAAGGAATAAACGGGGGGAGGGGGAGGTCAGGATAAGATATGTAGCACATTGATTGTTTGAAAGGCAAAAAAGACCTCGGTCAGATCATCAGGAAGATGGAAAATATCACGTATCTCTTCTGGAGTCTTCCCTTCAATCATTCTTGCAAGGGCACGACTAGTAAGATCAACAAGAGGCTTCAGTTGCAAGCTATCTGCAGCAGATGTCAACTCACATAGCCTTTTTGTATCCATCCTAATAAACTTCTCATCGAAGGACTTCCTTTCCTGCATCAAAGAGCAGATAGAAGTTAAACCTATTCCACCAGTTTGATATGTGTCCACACTGCGATTGAGTGATAAAACTACTACAAACCTTGTTACTGCGGCCCGGAACTTGATGAAAACGGCAATAATCAAGAATCAGACTCAACATGGCTGGACTGACCCGTGAAGGAAGTACTATAGGGTAATTCTTGGAAGTTCCCATGCCCGAGTGAATTTCATGACATATAAGAGGGCAAAACACAGCAACCTCTTGTTCAACCTGTTGTATGGATCCTTCCGAAGTTTGTAGCCATATGTATGACTTCATCATCTGTAAATTACAGAGTCACGCAACTAAGATGATCTCTGCTGTCAAATGTGAAATGATACAAGATCGCAAACAGATAACTGTCCGGCACTAAAATTTGACCCGAATCAGTACGTGGATAAAGGCACGGTTTCATCAATTTATGCAACTGAAGGATATTTCAGGCGCTACTAATGCCAACAACCACAGAGAACATCAAAAGATCAAAATATTATGTTTATACATAATGGGAAAAATAGAGGGACGGGTTAAAATTACACAAAAAACAAAAGTATCATTATCATCTTTATACTGTTCACAACAATTGGAGAAACATACCTCTGGTTTAATTATTTCACTATCAACAACCTCTGCCATCAATACCTGCTAAAATAACAATGACATATCAGTTAAATCACAAACAACTCAATTCCCCAGTGGACAATACGGATAGTTTTGGAAACAATACCATCTTTTCCCCCCCAAAAAATATACATTAATGGTCTCTAACAAGTTGAAATACAAAGGCACCTAGAACATAGACAAATGATGCATCTAAACAAGCTGAACTGCAAATGCAGCCGGCACTATATGAACATAGACAAACCATAGGTCTTCCCAATTTCTCTTCCCAACACTTCATTTAACTAAAAAAGCCATATGCAACCAAACCGATAGTTCGATTTCCAGAACATGCAACGAGATCAAGTAACGTACCTAAAATATATGCCCAATATGAGAGAAAAATTTGGAGTAACCAATCACAAAAAACTTACTGTAATAAACAATTTAGTGCAAGCCCAACAGACCAATGATCAACAACTGAATATATACCACTATTGAAGGACATTCATCAATTGATGTGAATAAAAAGAATTAGGGACCATTGCAACAAAGAAATGTTTCCAATAAGAAGATACAAAAGTGACAGGGAAGCTTTGCTTCTGAGCAGGAGGAAGGAAGCAAATAGTTTCCAAGGCTGAGACAACAGCAAATTGAATAAAGCATTGTGAAATTACTTCAGTACTAGGTATAAACCGAGCACATCAAAACAGAGGAAAACAATAAATTCTAATCCCTCCCTGTTTCAGATTTCTTCCTACGTCCTCTTCTGTTTCCCCCCTTGAAAAAAGGCGAATGAATGAAACGTAGAAGATGATTGACCAAACAACCAAATTAACCAAGGATGAAAAACCCCAATCACTCAGACAACTGACATTAGTTAGTGTGTCCCAACTTCCAGAAGTTGCAACACTAATTCCCGACAAAAACAATTGCTAAATTCAATTCAAACCGAAAAACAAAATTCCATTTCATTTCCAGAAAATAACAGATGCCCCCTCTTTTCTCCTAATAAAACCACACGTCACCACACCACCAGTGGAAGAAGCAACAACAAAGATTCAATCTTGAACCACCAACAACAACTACTAACACAAAAACCCTAATCACAACATTATCCCTGCACCAAAAGGGTATTCATTTCTATTAACACAGAGAGAAAAAAATGAACGACAAGGGTAGCAGCCAGCTGCAGAGAAGCTTAACCAACAAAACAAATTAAAAAACAATTAAATAAACCCAGCTGACAACACATTCCAGCATCCAAAATAAAACATAGCAAAACAAAATTTAAAAAATCCCAACAGAAAAACAGAAAACTTGAATGAATGCCTCATTAAAAGGAATGGTTTTAATATACCTTCGTTATTGAATGTCAGGAAGGAATCAAATTAAAATCTATCCTCTCTTCCTGTTAAACCAGATAGAAAAGATAGACAGATTAAAGGGTGGGAAGGAGAAGCTTTGAACAAGTGAAATTGGCGGTTATCTGATAAAACTGGGAGAAACGGAAACAATGGTGGAAAGATTTCCTCAACATGTCAGAAAAGAGAAGCGTTACACAAAATTATTAAAAAAAAAAAAAAAATTCTTTTCTTTTATTTTATTTTCTTTCCTTATTTCTTTCTATATCAGGAGGTTCAGATAATCTATTTTACGGGTTTACGGGGCATGTTAGTGGGTGGGTATGGGGGAATAAGGTGGCGGCAACGGGCCGTCGGCTAACGTTGTTGTTCTTTCATCTTTGCGAAGTGAGTTACCAAAATCTAGCAGGGCCCGACTGAACCCGAGATTTGTTTGTTCGGGTTTGGTTGTCACAAGCCCTTTTTTTTTTTTTCTTTAGGAGGTTCCGTTTTAGGAAATATTAATAATCCTTGGCACCATTTCTTTTTAATCATGAGCATTAATTTATCATCATTATTAGAATACTATTACTTACCTTTTCTCAAAAAAAAAAAAAAAAGATATTATTACTTACCTTATTATATATCTCCGTTTCAAAAAAAAAAATCGAGAAAACAAAAAATTTAAGAAGATTATTATTCACTGATGATATAAGCACAATTTCATTTTCAAATTTTGGGAAACCTATATAACACAAATTTTAACGTTATCAATTCTAAGAATTCAATAAAGTTTTTTTTTTAATTAATTTTTGAACGAATTGACCAACAATTGATTGGCACACTTCTTTTATAAGTGGAGACAATCTCCTGCGCAATTAACTTCTCTTAAGCATGCAAACTGCTAATTAATCCCCAAGTCCCGAATGTTTAGTTCATTAATCGGTTTCAAATATTCGTTAAGCGTCAAGAATTCTGGCATTTTTCTTAAAGCTCGATTGAGCTTTTCCCGCGCAAGCCGAAATGTAGTGGACATTTTTAATATCTTAAAATCTAAATACAATGGATTATTTTGAAATGGAGGGAGAAAATATTACTCATTCTCAATCTCGAAAAAATGAAAGTTTTAAATTGAATCATAAAGAAATTCAAAAAGTATAACATTTAAAAATATATATTGATTATTTCTTGTGCGTAGTACTATACAATGAATTTGGTTAATGTGTTAAGAGGAAAATTAATTAAAGCAAAGATCTTCTAAACTTTTTATGTGCTAAAGAAGGAAAATACATTAGGAGGAAAAATAATAAAAACAAAGATCTTCTAACCTTTTTATTATGTGCTAAAGAAGGAAAATACAATAGTCAAATGAAATCAAGGGTTAGATAATAAGAATTTATATTGTTGTCAAAATAAAGACACAGACCTTCTATATTAAAGAAAAACACTAATTATCAAAGAACTACTAGTAATTACTACTGCTTGAGAAGTTATTATGGACCGTTTTGTCGGGCCCAAATGTGATTGTCTTAATTAATCACATTAAAGAGGGCCTTACAGCCCAAAATTCATGATTAACATCGAGTTTTAGAAGTCAACTTAAGTCCAACTTTTTTTTTTTGAAATTTTTTTATAAGAAATGTGAAAAGGTAGTAGTAGAAAAATGTGTTGGAAATATAAAATATTACATTGAAAAATTCATAAAATTAAATCTTTTTTTAAGATATAACACAAACATTATTTATAGATAATGTATGTATCATCGTATCACGAGAATGACTCAGGAAAATAAATTCACTTTAACATTTCGCCTTATTTGATTCATTCATGGGAGAATTTACAATGATTTTTTTTTCCTTTACAAAAATACAATAATCAACAATGGGTGGATGCCAGATATGTAAAAGTAAGTTGAATATTATAATTAGTATATTATTCTATTCTGAAAATTTTCCCGCTTAATAATAATCAATCCCTTATCAATATTAAAACAGTATTGTATCATCATCACATGGATAAACCAATAACGTTCTGAATGGTGTGAAATGCATATTCATGGTGATGAGTGTTTTCTTTGGGTCATTAGAGTAACTAGTGTGGATTTCACATTATCCTAGGTTATAGATTTGGTTAGAATCTCACAATTTCACAAGTTCCATGTTTGAGAGACTTCACTTTTGAGTAAGAACAACAACAAAGAGTCAAGACTCAAGAGTGAGGTTGTACGTTTGGTGTGAGTTCCCTCACTCACTCGTGTGTCATGTGAATCTGATTCTCGAAGCGGTTACGAATTTGGATCTTTTTTTAGTTTGCGGGCCCCTACTTTACAATACCCCCCAAAACTCCAAAGTAACAGTCTTTTTAAGTCCTAACCTTATCTTCCCTATAGTCACATTTTTCACTCAACACTTCTACTCTATGGTAGAAGTAAAGAACAAGAGAATTGACAATTGGCACTTCAAACTTCACACCACATCCATGTATTTTTTTTGTTTAGTGAGACTCGCCACCTATATTTTTCATGGCTTTCTTGTTGGTGCATGATGTATAAGTCAAGTAAACTGCTTGGTTATTTCTTTGGCTATAGTTTTCCTCTTTTGCTCATTTGAAAACAGAGTGATTCATCTTAACATTGAATATTACCCCCATCAATGGTTTGAAACTTTTAAATAGAAATACAGAATTTCAATTCACTCTAAAAAAAAAATGTTAGATGGTTTTAATCACTGAAAAAGAATTTTGCAAACCGAACTTCTTAGCTGTAATTTTGTAACAAGATATTAAGAACTCGTGTTTGAACCACTATACCGCATAGACAACATGTTTCGTTATTCTTATGAACATTCTTGTGAATACTACGAAGTATAAAAAAATAAAACACGTGTTAACTTTAACAAATACGTGTTGAATTTGTAATGAAAAATAAGTATTCAACTTTCAATTTGTAATTATAATACACAATTGGCCAAACATTTGCAAAGTTAAATGGTAAATTTGGAAAAGAAAATGTAAATCGAAATCCACCACTCACACCTATCCTTCTCGGCCATTTGCAGTTTGCACAAAGAGCAAGATAAGTAAAAAAGCAGAAAGAGTAACATCATTACCAACCCATTATCGTTCTTCTTCTTCTTCATATCCAATTTAATCATCTCCAAACACTTCTATATAAACTCCAAAACTTTCACTTCACTTCCTTCATCAAACTCAATACATTCTAAATCCAAACTTACAATTTGATCATCATATCCCAAAAAAAAAAAATGGAGGGAAGAGATGAGGATGTAAGGGTAGGAGCCAACAGGTATTCAGAGAGGCAGGCATTGGGAACATCTGCACAGAACATTAGTAAGGACTACAATGAAGCACCACCCGCACCATTGTTTGAGCCAGTTGAGATGCATTTGTGGTCATTCTGGAGGGCCGGAATCGCCGAATTCGTAGCCACTTTCTTATTCATTTACATAACTCTGTTGACTGTCATGGGAGTTTCAAGGGCTAAGAACAAGTGCCAATCTGTTGGTGTTCAAGGCATTGCTTGGTCTTTTGGTGGCATGATCTTTGCCCTTGTCTACTCCACTGCTGGTGTCTCAGGTACATATATATTTGATTATGTATACGATTTGTATAACCGATGTCACATAATAAGATACAACTTATTATTTAAATTACTCAAATATTCAGTAAATATATTCGTCGCACATTGATTTTTTTTTTTAGTACAAGAAACCACTAAGAATAATTGTAAAAGTTGTGTATAGTACTCTTTTTTAACTTCTTTTTTTTTTTTGTTTTTCATAACCATCAGGTGGACATATAAATCCAGCGGTGACATTTGGGTTCTTGCTAGCAAGGAAGTTGTCCCTAATTAGGGCTATTTTCTACATAGTGATGCAATGCCTTGGGGCAATATGTGGGGCTGCTGTGGTCAAGGGATTTCAGCCATCACTCTTTGAGACTAAGAAAGGAGGTGCTAATTTTGTAGCCCATGGCTTTAGTAAGGGTGATGGACTTGGTGCTGAAATCCTTGGTACTTTTATCCTTGTCTACACTGTCTTTTCTGCTACTGATGCCAAGAGAAATGCCAGAGATTCTCACGTCCCTGTAAGCCACTTCTTTCCTCTAAATTTTCATCATACCATAAAAAAAGTAGTACTTGAATATACATTTGGGGAAAGAACCACAGTTCACAATTCTGTGCAGTTTGGATCAAAATATTGTAACAAAATGAACCAACCTACATCCTTTGGAAACTAACAAAATAATCTTTTTGGACTTTTAAATTTTGCAGATATTGGCTCCTCTACCAATTGGGTTTGCTGTATTTTTGGTTCACTTGGCAACCATACCAATCACAGGAACAGGCATCAATCCAGCCAGGAGTCTTGGTACAGCCATTCTTTATAACCGGCACCATGTCTGGGATGACCAAGTAAGTTAATCATTTCTTATCTAGTATATCAAAAGATTTTCTGTATCACTTTTCGGTTTATATTTTTTGAAACGTATCTATAACTATTTCTCTACCAAAAATTCGATTTTTGTTAGTTTTTAATATTAGACAACAATACACGTGACAAACCTATAAAATATTGAATTTGTTTTACAGTGGGTCTTCTGGGTTGGACCTTTCACAGGGGCAGCTCTTGCAGCTATCTATCACCAAGTTGTTCTCAGGGCCATCCCTTTCAAGAGCGGAAATTAATTCTACTCTTACTTGCAATAATTTTCATCGCCTTCTAAACTAAATTAATATTAATTATTGCTGGGTTCTCATTTTATGGTCGATCTATTATTATGTGTGGATCATAATGCATGAAAATTTGATGGGAAGAAGAAGAAAAGAAGGAATTTGTTGGGAGGATGCAATTAAAGCTATTGTACTTTGTATCAAGTACTTGTTCTTGTAGAGATTGCTTGGTTCTTGTTTGTTGCTGTTATAATGTTGCTTTCTTTTCTTCTTCTAGACCCCCCTTTGCTTTTTTTTTTTTCAGGTTGAGAATTTTATTCTTTTTTTTTGTATTTTAATTTCATTTTCAATGAGCTTTACTAACAAGGAGGAAGAAAAGAAGAAAATAAATTTAAATCCTCGAACCATAATTAATAGTCCCAAATCGATCATAATCGTCAAATCATAATTTATTGTTGTCCTCATCGATGGTTCACCTTCTTAAAAAGCTTTCCATCAACCCGGATGGATGTGGTAGCTCGGCTGTGTTTCAGCCTTATTCTTCCGCGGTTGAAAATTAGGTTAACTTTTCATTAAAGGAAAGTAAAAAAAAGGGAAATATAAACTTAATCTATTAGTCACGTACTCACGATAGCCAAATCAACAATTCACTTTGTCCAAATCACCACTTAATTTCATAAGTTTATGTTGGAATTAGGTGAGTAAGAGCATATTAAGTTTCCTACCAAACTCAAAATAATTGTTAAATCCCATGTCTGAAACCTGTCAAATCCAAGCTAGTATAAAACTGTATTTTGGAACATACTTACTATATGCTCCAGACCAATTTGTACTAATGGACATGAGGATAGTCAGGCACAATAGTGAGAACAATGCACTAAATAGGATCTCAAGTGTAAAGTAATTAAGTTGTAATTCAATTTGAATAAAAACGTTTTAGGTACTAGGGTTCGTAATCATTTAACTGCATCTCCCGAACTGTAGAAGGTCTTCTTCTTGCGCTATTATTTAACCGACATATATTAATCGTTAAGTTAAACTATATCTAGGGATACAATGTGATCTACAATTAACCTTAAACATAACTAAGCCACATTGTACCCAAAAAAAAATAAAAATTAAGCAATATGAAATCTGAAAGACCCATGAACGTAACAAAAACGCAGATGATGATATATTGCGTGAGAATGGTGACAAACTTGAGCAAGAAGTTTATTAGATTAGACCGAATTATAACCAATTAGTAATACGAACAAATGAAGAACTATACATCTCTGTTGTGTATTGACGGGGAAAGAGTAATTGGAGTATTGTATAAGGCTTCAACTACTCCAACTGAATCTCAATAAGGATCAAAACTAACCTCTCTTCATCAGTTTGCATAATCAAATTCAGTTCAACAGCAACATTTTAGATTTCTTCAGTAAACACACCAAACCTTCTAGTCATATTTTATTGTGTTATGTAGGAGCATGTTACAATTTGAAATGACATTGTTTTGAATTAGCTTAATTGCACTCCCTCCGTCCCATAATTATTGTCCAATTTTGATTTTCATTTCTAGTACAGATTGTACTAAAAGTGAAATCTCAAACTAGACAATAATTTTGGGACAGAAGGAGTAGGTTCGAACTAATTCTATGATAAGAAATAAAATCACATCACATTTTGACATTGACACACAAAAAAAAAAAAAAAAACTGTTAAAACATAAACAACGTACTATTAAAAACTGCAAGAGCAATTGAGTGTACGAGGACTAATTCACTAGATTTTGAGGACAAATTATTCCTGCTGCAAAAATTAATTGCTCCTTCGTTTTGGACCACACTGGCTTTGGACAAAATAAATGACAATTAACACTAACTTTTAACGGTATTTGTAATGATTTAGCTGGTCCGACTAAGATATCGTGTCTCCATATTTCCAAAATCGACCACTAATCACAATGGAAACAACTTAATATTGTTGTTTAAATAGACAACTATTCTAGAATGTTTAAAGAATAGTGTGAAATATTTTGAATTACTATTACCTAGAGGGGGGGAAAGAATATTTATGCCAAACTAGAAAAAATTAAAAATGAAATTTATAACAAAATTAAATAAAGTGAGGAATTCCATATTTTCCTCTTGAATTAATATTGTTGTTAGCTCTAAGCTTATACAGTTAGCGGCAGGAAAAAATTTCACATGCTGACGCATTTATTAACAACTATAAGTCATCTGTCCACCAACCTTATCATCTCCATCCATAAATACTACCTACGTACTACTATAACTAGTTTTTCTTTCTTTTTTTTTTTAATTAAAATTGTTCTATGGAAAAGAAAAAATTCAGAGTAGACTTGTAGAGTAACAATCACTAATTTACCAAAGTGCCGGAGGCCGGACTTAGGGACCATAAAAAATAAAAATGATGATTTTTTTATTTTTATTTTTTTGACGAATTAATGTCAACTTTAACCCAATCTATGAGTATATAAAGGTTCAAAAGAAATGATGAATTTTCCGGTAAATCTTTTTCACTTGGTGATTAGAGTTGTTCTTGGCGGAGGTTTTCATATGTGCATTAAAAAAAAAAAAACTGTAATCTGAATGCAGTTAATTCTTACTTGTAATTCATAGTAAATCTTTGACCAAAGCATACATAATTAATGATGAATATAGAAGGGAGCTCATATGCATTTATTCTAGGTTTGCGAAAAAACAAACAAAAAAGGAAAAAAAAAAATGCAGCCAGGTTGTCATAAGATTATCCAAGAAGTCCACCCCAATACCAATATCTCCAACCTGATCGCATCTCATGCTCTAAATTAATTGTGAAGTGCAGAGGGAAAAAATAAAAGATTTATGTGTTTTACCGGTTACAAAATATTTCCTGTATTCTAAGATACTAGTATTATTAGACAAAATTAAGTTCATACAACAAAATAGTAGTACTCCCTCTGTCCCAAAATTATTGTCCAATTTGAAATTTTATTGTTAGTATAATTTAAACTAAAAATGAAAACTCAAAGTGGACAATAATTATAAAACGGAGAGAGTACTCTACAACAATAATATACACACAACGCGACATATTTATTTAGTTATAAAATAAAAAAAAGCACTAAAATGATATTTCTAAAAACACGTTAAACCATAGTTATCTATCCACTAAATTGACAAAAAAACACAGCTAGACTTGACCAGTGATGAAAACAGTTTTGTTATTAGTTTTTATCTCTTTTTACCGCATTTAATAAAACTTGACCTTCCCTCTCCCACCGGTCACCACCCCACCCAAAGTCCTCTAAACTCATCCAAATTCCAAACAAAAGGAAAAAAAAAAAAAAATTGAACTAACGTCGATTATTATTAGTACTAGCCAATTAGCCTTTCTATTCCTCTAAATTGAATCTATATATACATTGCAAAATACAACTAAAACTTTCACTTCCAATTCAGCCTCATAACACATCCTACTAAGCTATTACATTTTCTTCTTCATCTTATTACCATGCCAACCACTAAAAAGCCATCATCATCAACCAAGTTCCCGTCCATCGAAAAATGCGACATTCCGGCGGACGGGAGCCGGGAGTCCATCGCGGCGGATTTGGACGGAACCCTTTTGATATCCAGCTCATCCTTCCCGTATTTCATGCTGGTAGCCATCGAAGCTGGCAGCCTCTTACGTGGACTAATCCTCCTCCTCTCCTTCCCCATCATAGCCGTTGCTTACGTATTTTTCTCCGAAGCCTTAGCCATCCAAATGCTCATTTTCATCTCCTTCGCCGGAGTTAAGGTCCGGGACATCGAGCTCGCCGCCCGGGCGGTGCTCCCCAAGTTCTACACCGCCGACATCCGGCGGGAGAGCTTCGAGGTGTTTGATAAATGTAAAAGGAAGGTGGTGGTGACGGCGAACCCAACCATAATGGTGGATCCTTTTTGTAAGGATTTCTTGGGAGCTGATAAAGTTCTTGGAACCGAGATTGAAGTGAATCCTAAGACTAAGAAAGCCACCGGATTCGTCAAGAAACCCGGGATTTTGGTCGGAAAGCTGAAGAAGCTGGCTTTGTTGAAGGAGTTTGGAGAAGAACAGCCCCATATCGGAATCGGAGATCGTGAATCCGATCATGATTTCATGTCCATTTGCAAGGTATTTTTTATTTTCTCTTCATCAACATATATTATTGGATTGCCATAATTTGATTTTCAGTTGAAAAATTAATGTGTTAGTAGTACTCACTCCTTTCGAAAATAAGCGTCATTCTAGAGTTTATACATAGTTTAAGAAAACACTTAAATAGGGTAGCTAAGTTACTAGAATATCTTCAACCAACACCATTAAAATACTACTCACTAATAATATTATTTCTTTTAATTGTATGTTCAGAAATTTTTGATAAAAAATGTATTGGAATCTTAAAACGATACTTATTTTAGAATTTTTTCATTTTGCTAAAACGTAACTTATTTTAGAAGGGGGAGTATTTTTTTTTTTTTTTTTGTCAAACTTCGTTGAATAAAAGTTTAACACGTAGTACCACAGCTAGATATCATTTATCGCTAAAAAAAATTTTTGCCTGAAATTTTGTGGACTATGAATTTGGACATGAATTACCTGAATTTTCTTTCAAATTACTTTAGGCTTGCGAAAAATAAACGGAATTCGGCTTGAGTATTGCCAGATTGTGTTTGTAATGTAACAGTTGTAAATTTGTAACCAAAATTAATAAATTCATTCCATTGAAATTTCTCACTTGGGCGTTATTTTCTCTCCGCATTTCACATAGTCTAGATCGAGAAAACTACAATGTCAAGCTAGCTAGCTAAGTATACTAATAAAGGAAATTATTTATGTAATCAGTAACACTCCATGTGATTAGGTTAACGCTCACCACCTACCAATTCTGAGTATCAAATGCTTGCGTGAACCTTTTATACTAATCTTCGAATACGGCCATTTTTATGATTTCTTGAAAGAGTTAACAAAACATATAACTAATTAAATGCATTTTGAAAATTTGCCTTTTATTATAATGCTTAAAAATGATTAAGTGTCACTTAACTTAATGTCAAATTTAGAAATTGATGTGATCAATTAGTGGATTTGAAATTTTTTTTTTTCGTTTTGTGGGGTGACATTTTTTGATAGCCAGAAATGAGTAGACATGAAAATTAATGACGTGGGTGAAAAAGCAGATGCGGGAAAATCAGGCAAACAATGAAATTTAGTGAAAGAGGCCCCCACGGGCATTTACTACAATTACAGATTACAGTTGCCGCTTAATATGTCGCCATATAATTCAATGTGCTGTTGTAGTAGTTCGTGAATTCAATTGCGGCAAATGTAGCTGGGAAATATGCTGTCGTAAAAGAGAAAAAAAAAATTATAATGAAGGAAAATAAGATAAAATTCACCAATTCATTGTCTCCTTAACAAATACAAAATGATGTGTACAATCAGATATGGTTTGTCTTTCTATTTGGGAGATAATTTCAGATATCTTGTACGTAATATACTAAAAAAACAGTAGTTATCCCTGTTGTGTTTTAGATTGATCTTTACAAAAAAAGTTGAGATGTTTTTTTAGCCTTAAACAGATCAGATTGTTTTTTTTTTATTATTATTATTGTTAAACAAAAATCGTTAAAGACAACATCGTGAGCTGTAAAAGACCAAAGAAATTAGTACTCCAAGATTGATGATGGTCAACAGAGATGTTTGATTAATTAATGTTTGTGTTGGCTCAACTGTCCAACTGTGAGGAAGATGGAGGTTGAGCAACAAAACTATTGGTTCTCTGTTTCGCTTGGCTATCCACCCATTGGACAAATAATCGGTTAAGTTTTGGTTGACCTGACCACATTTCTGATATTCTTCAAATTCTTTTTCTTTTTTTTTTTTTCTAATTTTATTATTTTGCATTTTCTTTAATATGTGCATCCATTCAAAAAGTCAACTCCCCTAGATTGAAATAACATTATTTTCTGACTCACCTTACGTTTTCATGATGGATGCAGGAAGGATACATGGTGCCCCGCAACAAGTCGGCAACTCCATTGCCTCGTGACCGGCTGAAATCGCCGTTGATTTTCCACGACGGCCGGCTCGTTCAGCGACCGGACCCACTCAACGCCTTCATAACCTATCTATGGTTGCCATTTGGATTCGCACTTTCCATTTTCCGTGTCTACTTCAACCTTCCTCTTCCCGAACGTTGGGTCCGGTACACTTACCCAATGCTCGGCATTAGCCTCGACATCAAGGGCAACATCCCTCCTCCGCCGTCTAAGGGTTGCCCCGGAAACCTCTACGTATGCAACCACCGGACCGCCCTTGACCCGATCATCATCGCCATCGCGCTCGGCCGGAAACCCTCCACCGTCACTTATAGCGTCAGTAAACTGTCGCGATTCCTTTCGCCTATCCCGGCCATTGCCCTAACACGTGATCGCGAGGCCGATGCTGCCCGGATCAAATCCTTACTGGAGAAAGGCGACCTCGTGGTCTGCCCGGAAGGGACTACTTGCCGGGAGCCGTATCTGTTGAGATTTAGTGCCTTGTTTGCTGAGTTGAGCGACAGAATCGTGCCCGTCGCTGTTAACCTAAAGACCAACATGTTCCATGGTACAACTGTTCGAGGGGTCAAATTTTGGGACCCTTACTTTTACTTCATGAACCCTAGGCCGTCTTACGAGGCCACATTTCTTGATCGGCTGCCGGAGGAGATGACGGTGAAGGGCGGGAAGTCGCCGATCGAGGTGGCGAATCACGTGCAGAAAGTGTTGGCCGGAGTTCTGGGATTTGAGTGCACTCAGCTGACAAGGAAAGATAAGTATCTGTTGCTTGGGGGAAATGATGGCAAGGTTGAATCCATGTACGGTAAGAAGGCAAATGGAACTACTTAAAATGCGTACCAGGGATATTTGTATGGTTTTAATTTAGTGGCGCATGCAGATTGATGTTTTGTGATAGACTATATATATTTTTGATTTGTGGACATAGGTATATTATATTATGTATAAGACATTGCTCTATTAATTCATCTCTTGTATTACAAGAAACATATTAATTCTGGTTGCTAAATTAAGAAGCAAAATTTGCCAGTACTGATGATTATGGTACAACAATAATTTGCCACACCGACTACTCTAGACTTCCATGTGTTTTTTCTCTTTTCTCTTTTTCTTTTTTGATAAACAGCTTTCTTGATACACATATTTAATGTATATTTGGTCCTCATTTTTTTTTCCTACTCATAATTATAAGAAATTTTCAAGATGTCAGGTTACATTATAGTTTCTTTCCCACCAACTATTATGTATCGTATGTCTAATTTTCAAATTTAAAAAGCCATATATTAACAATATTAGTATAGTTTAACAAATGGTACTCTCAAATAGAAGAGTATATAGTAAGAAAAGTATTTTTGATCCATATGCTCCATCGTTAATAATATTGACTGCTACTAGACTATAATTAAAAGGTTTGTGGTTGAATGATCAGTACGTAGTTATTCGCCTTTAAATAAATGTTGAAGGTTTGAAAACTTATATGGTGGGTATAAAACATATTTAAAGTACTTGCAATTCAGGAAAGAGATTAATTACGGTTGTTGACGTTTCGATGCAGGAATATATATATATATATATTTTTTTTTGGAAAATACTTTTTTGAACAAAAAATATGACTATGGGATGAAAAAATAACCATAACAAAAAAAATACAAGTTGAGGCACAAGGGTGTTTTGAGCAGAATATCCCACGCATCGTTCTTTTCTGAATTTAAAGGTTGGAAATATATACCAAGAAAAAAATAATTAAAGGCTGGAAATTCATCGAACCAAAACCAAATTATCTTTATTATTTTAATTCGTTTGTACATGCAGCCCCTCTTTTTCTTTTTCGTTGGAATTTAATTTTCGGTAGAAAGAAGCCCAAACTAGGTCCATTTAACAGGCCCTTCGCTTTATTCCATTTTCTAATATTTTGTTGTAGAAAACGGGCCCCTTCCACTTTTTCCTACATTGCCTCACGTGCCCTGCATTACTTCATCTTGCTGCGTCCACGTCAACTTAAACCGTGAAAAGGTCGGGGCAAAATCGGAATTATGACAATCATCGGTACGAAAATCCTACGTGTCACACTCTCCGCCGTCTGCCAGTTAGATTTTCTCCCGCTTTTTGAAAATCAGAAAAAGAAATTTATTTTATCCTCTTCTTCGGAGACAGATACAGAACACACAGTCACACAGTGGATTGAGCTGAAAATGCTTTGAATTTGTGCGTTTTGGATTACTATTCCCTCCCCCAGGCCTCAGCTTGTTTTCGCCGGAGACAATGGCAATCGGTGCTGCCGTCTCCAGCCGGAATTTCGGTTCCTTCATCGGTTCAGGTGCTTTTCCCCTACTAACTGTATCACTGTAATTTCATTTTGATTTTTTTTTGGGGTTACTTATCTGTGCAATTCCATTCTCCTTCTTTGGAAGTGAAGTACGAATTTCATATATCGGTATGAATTCGTATCCTTTTATTTATTTTTCGGTGGAATTCTAATGAATTTGTGGACTATGTGAAAAAAGAGAGAAACTCTACTGTTATTAATCTCATCCAAATTCATGTGCGCGCCTGCAATCACATAGCTGAATCTAGAATCTGGAAAATAACTTTTACTTTTGCGAATTTCTTAATTTGTTTAGAGCATCAAGTTGGTGAAAATATACGGACAAGGATTTTGTAAAATAAACAAGAAGAAAGTAAAAGGAAAGAGTCGAGGAGCTTGATATACTTTTTGCATTTGATCAAGTCGATCTCTTTGTCTTAATTATTCCCAGGTAGACAAAAGGATTGGCTTGTTTTACCTTTGGTTCTGCTTTATTTTCTTAAGTACATTATTAACCAATACCAAATGGCAATATGTTGACCTTTAGGAGGATCCAATGTGAGGTCGTGATTAGCTTATTCCTCAATTCATTCACTTCAAACCTTTTTTTTTCCTTCTAACTCCTATTACATGGAAGCCTGTAAATTTTCTGATTGAATCAGGATCTGGCAACTGACTGTTCCATTGATTTACATTGCTCTTGAATGATTGAATCTTTTCTTCTGGCCTACTGCACTTCTCATTAAGTTAACTATTGGATCTGTTCATACTTCTGTAACCAGAAAGAGTATATCATGCCGAACAAGCTGTTGTCAGCTCCCAAGGACAGAAGGTGTCAGTGGGTGCTCCAAAGTGCTTGCAAAGAAGGACGTTGTACAGCAAGCTATATAACCCTAGAGTACGCTGTTCGCAGTTTAGCTGTCAATATACCTTATCCATTAACCGTAACTGTCTGCCGGGCACTACAAACTTGAAGGGCACATGTCACGTTAAAACAGACAACCTTCATTTATGCAGTCGTATCAATCACCACCATAGCTTAAGTAAAAGCAATGGAGTTTGTAAATGCTCTTCATCCCCAACTTTCTCAAAAAAGATTTGGGCACAACTGAGAAAACCAGGCAAACTTGGTTTCTTGGGGGAACAATGCCAGCGTTCAAAGAGTTCAATAGGTGATGGGGTTCGAGCTGAGTACAAATCTGAAGAGTATGACATCACAGGAGCAAATTTGGAGTCTCTTGTCCCATCCGAAGGTACAACTGAAGCGGTTATCATGGAAGGACTTCTTCGAGCAAAACCTTGGTGGGAACAATTCCCAAAGCGCTGGGTCATAGTGCTGCTTTGCTTTGCTTCATTTTTGCTATGTAATATGGACCGGGTGAGTGCTCTCTACTCCTTTCATATTGTGCCCTGCTAATGCCTAATGATTCTGGTGCAAGTGTAGTAAACTTTTCACTCATCACATCTTGCCATAAAGATCAATGCTCTAATTATGCATTATGAACACAACTCCTTCATACGTTATCTTGTTCATTCGCTAGGTTGAGTGTTCCAATGGTGATTATGACCTCTACCAGTCATCTTATCATCTTTGTTGTTTCAAAACCAGGTAAACATGAGCATTGCAATACTCCCCATGGCAAAGGAGTTCAACTGGAACAGTGCTACAGTTGGAGTTATCCAGTCTTCCTTCTTCTGGGGCTATTTGTTAACTCAGGTCCTAATCAGACTTATTTAATGTGTTTGTGCAACACAAGTCTTGTTAAGCACTTTGCTGAACCTCCTGCACCATATTAAACTGACTTAAACGCTTGCATTTTGGATAATTAATGATGTCAACGTTTTATTTTGACTTTAACATTCTTCAATCACGTCAGACTTTTGAACTTTAATTACAAAAGGTTTAATACTGTTGAAGAGAAGAGTACTTTTTTTCCCCTTCTTTTCTGTATCATTTATGTCTCTTTCATGAAAGTTAAAGTTTCTTTTGTTCAGTACTTCTTATGCTGGCAACTATCTTTGGTGAAACAAAAGCATAAAGAGCCTCAGTCTCCTAGATTCTTGATCATTGCTGTTTGTTTTTCACCGTACATTCCACATATTTTGTATTTCAGTCTTTTTTTTTATTTTTTTGCATATAGATTATTGGCGGCATTGCGGCAGATAAAATTGGTGGAAAACGTGTATTGGGTTTTGGAGTTGTCTGGTGGTCAGTGGCCACTGTTTTGACTCCAATAGCTGCTCGAATTGGACTTCCTTTCTTGCTGATGATGCGTGCTTTCATGGGGATTGGGGAGGTAAGTTTAGTAGAAGCTCTTCATGAACTTTAACTTTGAAACACAATCTGTTCACTCAATCAGAGTGTAATTTGTTTTTAGGGTGTTGCAATGCCTGCAATGAACAATTTGCTATCTAAGTGGATTCCAGTATCAGAAAGAAGCAGATCACTAGCATTAGTATACAGTGGCATGTATCTTGGTTCTGTTACCGGCTTGGCTCTCTCCCCAGTTTTGATCCAACACTTTGGCTGGCCATCTGTCTTCTACTCATTTGGTTCTCTTGGGAGCATCTGGATTGCATTATGGCTGAGCAAAGTAGGTTATTCCTTCTGGTGTTGTTTCTTGCTTCACCAACTTAGTTAGAGAGTTAGTTAATATCTGTTGAAAAGATTTTTAACGTGCTGGTTTTGAATGGCATATGAAGTATCTACCACAACACGGATATCGATTTATAACCGCGAATGTAGCTAAATCCTTACAAGATATATGGTTTGATGATTCTCTTAATTCAAGAAGAGTGCGATAATTCCTTTTGGGAAACCAACTCAAATTGCCTGATGAACAGATTACCTTTTCACATTTATTAGTCTGTGTTATCAACTCTCTCAAACATTTATAACTTTTATTCTTCCAGGCTTATAGCTCTCCCAGTGAAGATCCACACCTCAGTGCAGAGGAAAGAAATTTGATTCTGGGAGACAGTGTCGCTGCGGAACCTGTTACTTCCATTCCTTGGAAATTAATTTTATCCAAGCCAGCCGTCTGGGCTCTCATCATCTCCCACTTCTGTCATAATTGGGGAACATTTATTCTTTTGACGTGGATGCCAACTTATTATAATCAGGTAAAGAATATTTTTTTGTGGTATCAGTCAGATGCTGTCATATACTGATCTTCTATTTCGTCTTAGAAGTTTGAAAGCAGAGGATACCTAGGCTTTGTTTTTTGCACATCCCCCTTGTAAATGGATATAACATTTACCATCCTTTCTCCTGATCTTGAACTTGTACCTTGTCATGCTTACTTTGCAATTTTTACTATTTCTTCTTTTGTACCGCATTTTAAACAATATATATATCAAACATTGTTCTTTGTTTCTCAGTTGAACAACAGCATGTGTGATCCTTGTTAAGCAGCATTGCTCATTATTGTACAATAATGTGAACTGCTGTTCAAATTGGTATTTTGTGTTGCTTTCACTTAAGCTAGTGACACCTTCCTATGTTGTTGAATGAATGTAAGATCTAAATCTTCTAAACGGGCTACCTTGTTCACAGATTACTCAATTGGATTAACTATCTAATGCTTTACTCTGTGCTTATTCTTGTCCAGGTTTTGAAGTTCAACCTTACAGAATCCGGGCTTCTCTGTGTGCTACCATGGCTGACTATGGCTTTCTTTGCAAATATAGGAGGTTGGATTGCAGATACTCTTGTGAGCAAAGGACTGTCAGTAACATCTGTTCGCAAGGCAAGGATCTCAAATCTTTTTCTATGTTTCAGCCACATATTTTTACCTTAGGCCATTAAAGAAGATAGAGTCTCAAGTTTTTGTTTTTATCTTACGTGCATAGCACAGAGGAATTTTAGTGAAAGCAGCTGCTTGTAAATGTTTCAGTGAATGATTATTCTGGAATGATTTATTGCAGATCATGCAATCAATTGGATTTCTTGGGCCCGCCTTCTTTCTTACACAGCTTAGCCATGTCAAGACACCTGCCATGGCAGTGCTATGTATGGCATGCAGTCAGGTCTAAACTATCCAACTACTCATTGTGTTGTGCTTTTAAACACTAGGGGCAAATAAAATAACCTGTTCATAAATTTCCAGGGATCGGATGCATTCTCTCAGTCAGGACTATACTCCAATCACCAAGACATTGGGCCCCGTTATGCTGTGAGTAGATAGTGTTATTAAGTCATTTTTTTTAATGCAATATTACAATAATGCTTCACCTGCGGTCTTGGACAGTGGATTCTTTCCAATCAAATCAACCACTTTCACCTGTTTTACAGTTTCCTAACTGTATTGTTACAGCCTTAGACGAGTAGAGTCGAGACTTATGGCTAAGGAACTAATTTGTACTCTTAGTTTCTATGGGCCCCTCTGCACATTGGATCATTCACCCAATTCTCTGTTTTACAGTTGCATTTTACATTGATTGCTTTTCTTTGTACATGCATGGCTTAGCCTGGACATATGGCTTTAAAATCTGGCAGTGAATAATAAAGTTTACTGTTTTCCTGCTCAGGGAGTACTATTGGGGCTGTCAAATACAGCTGGAGTATTAGCTGGTGTCTTTGGCACAGCGGCAACGGGATACATACTGCAAAGAGGTACACTAATCTTATTTTCTCTTTGAATGGATTATTTTCCTAAAACTCTTGCTTGAACTAAAGAACTTGACCCCTTGTGGTTTACTTCGCCAGGTTCGTGGGATGACGTGTTTAAAGTGGCTGTCATCTTGTATATCATAGGCACAATAGTCTGGAATACCCTTGCGACAGGGGAGAGAGTTTTAGAGTAGGAAAGTAAGAGAGGTTAAAGATAATGCTTTTGATACAATGAGGAGGTCGATCGGATGGGGGAGGAAGGGGATAGGGAGAAAATGTAACATTTTGTAATAAGAAACATGGAAAACCATGCGGTTGAAGCTGGTCAATTTGCAGATCCTTCCATGAGAACTCCTTCCAACAGCTCCCCCAGATGATATGATAATTTGGCTTGAGGAGAAAAGACAGCTAATTTTAGTTATGGTACAATGTTCTTGATTCTGAAAGCCTCAGGATGATGGTTGCCTGCTTAATTTGTGCCTCCCATCAGCTGAAGGTGTACTTTCTTGAAGCAATAGTGGCTTGTACCTTCTTGTTGTTAGAGTAACGAAGAGATAAAGTCCCCCTACTCTGTGACCTATACCATGGAAACTTGCTATCATATTATGTAAAAAGACTAAATTGAGTTCACCTTTGTACCTTATAGATAGGTCCGGAAAGAACTTTAGCAATTTCTCTTCAATGGAATTGGGTTCTCTTGGATTATTTGTTGAATTTTAGTCAAATCTACCCAGTTATTGTTGATTGATATTCCCACTCGTGTCCGAACCAACATTCCAAACTATCCCAAGCTAAATTGACGACAAAAAAATGTATGCAATTGTAGACACAAAATGTGATCATCAAAAGAATTGAGTCTTTTATTAGAGATGAATAGAAACAAAAATTTACAGAAAAAACAAATACAAAAGAATCATAGAATTTTATATGTTGGGGATGGGAAAAAAGGTTAAAAAAAAAAACACCACCAAAGAACTAAGGAAATTACAAGGTGGGGGGCTGGTTTTTCTGTACCACTAGGAACGAACCCATTTTGAAAGTTCTGCTTTGCATCTGCAATAAATGAGAAAATGCAAATTCATGACAACTCTTTGAACACCAAAAGCAAATCAGCATTCAATGGTTTCCCTCCAAATTAAAAACCGACCAAAAATTGAATAAGCAGCATCCACGTGAAGCTATCCCCACAACCACAAGACCATCCAGCCTCCTCCTTTCATTAACACCACCAAAATGCTCTGAGTTGGGGCAATGCACTAATTGTAAACCATCTACCCTCAACCAAACTCTTGTGACTTCAAAACTTATAAAAAAAAAAAAAACAAACAAATAACCAGGGGCGGTGGATCAACAACCAACGGCGGCGGCGGCACCACCACTCTTCCCACAGCAAGCTTCACATTGTCCATTACACTCAACACCAGATGATCCGACCACCACATCTGATGATGACAACTCAGTTGACTTACAATTATTATTCATCTTAATACTAGCTACTATTCCAGAAAGATCCCTTGGCTGAAGATTAACTTTAAGTCCATATTTCATGAACAATGTCAATGACATCTTTTGCTCCACCTTGTGTCCTGGCATCAGGCTGAGTTTATGCCGGAGTAACACAGCCGCCGCCACCGACTTCATTTGCAGATACGCCAAATCTTTACCTAAACATATTCTTGGACCAGCATTGAAAGCAACAAACTTGAACTGATCGTGCATCATGAACTTCTTGCCATCATCAGATAACCATCTTTCTGGCTTATACTCTAAACAGTCTTCGCCCCACGTGTACTTCATCCTCCCTGCTGAATATATCGAATACGTAATCGACGATCCTGCCGGAATAAAAGTACCATCCGGCAAAACATCATCGGCGATTGCGTGTTTTGAATCCTCAGGCACTGAAGGGTACAACCTCAGCGTTTCCGACAATGCAGCTTTCAGATACACCAGGCGGTCAACTTCGTCGAAAGTCAACGGCCCGTCCCTCCAGGATGATACGTTATCACCGCGAGTCTCCATCAAAACAGTGCATAATTCTCGTAGGATTTTCTCCTCCACGGATGGGTTCTGCATCATCAGCCAGAAGAACCAGCTCAGGGCGACGGATGACGTGTCACGTCCAGCTAGGATGAAGCTCAGTGCCACGTGTTGCAAGTAGGTGTCCGTGTAGGATTCCTTCTTCTTCATGAACCTCGATAACAGGTCATCGTGCTGGGCCCCGTCTTTTGGCTGACTCATCAGCTCGAGCTTCCTGGAGTCGATGATGCTGGACAAGTATTCGTCCACGTGGACGAGGCTCCGGCTCAAGCTGACTTCCATTCCAAGCCGAAGCCATTTCTTCAGCTTCCACATCACTTCCGGAAAGATAAACCGCTGAAGCGACGCCTCCGTGGCTCTGTCGAAAGCCGAGGCGAAGCTGTTATCCGGCAAGCCGGGAGCCATAGTCTGTGGATCCTTCCCAAATGTCAAGCCGCAAATGTTATCAAAAGTGAGCCGTAGCAAGAGGTCTTGCAAGTCAACCGGCTTAGAGTCCTTCTGAGCCGCTTCCAAAATCGGGCAGAACCGCTGCTGGATGGCCCGGTTGACCCAACGACCCATGGCCTGCCGGAGCGTCCTGGTGGTGAACTCAAGCGCCGCCGTCTTCCGCTGAAAAAGCCACGTGTCACCGTCGGAGTTGAATATTCCTTGACCCAACAGATCATGAAACACGGCCTGCCAGGTCGGACCCTTCGGGTAGTTGTCGAACCGGGTCTTCAAGATGTGCTCCAGATTCTTCGGGTCGCACGTGACGGTCACGAGACCTTGCTTCCGAGCCAAGAAGGGGATGGCGCAGATGGAGGTCTGGTACGTGCCGCCGCAGGCGCGTAGGTTGTCGGCGATCCATTCATGCATGCGGTCAGCGTTTTCGATGAGTCCGGGCAGGCTGCCCAGAAGTGGCCAAACTCTAGGACCTTTAAAAGGTCTGGAAATGTAGGTGAACCATATCAAGTATGAAGTTACAGCAGTAAACAACAAAATGGCTACGTAGAAATCCATCTAATCGTTCACCTAACGAACGAACCCAAAAAAAAAAAAAAAAAAACTAGTATATACTAATAATGGGATGATAATAATATTGAAAATGCTAGCTTAAAAGCAAGCAGGAAAAATATCAGCCCTGAAGAGAAGATAACCTATAATGTCTGTTGGCTTTTTTTTTTTTTTTGCATAAAATGGTCTAAAGTTGGCTGATTCTGTATAAAGTTTCAGACTTTGGAGTGTTTGAGCTAAGAAAATGAACAAGTTTTTGATTTGGAGTGTTTTTTGTACGGACAGCTAAAAGGGAGTAGCTTTACTCTACAAAGGGAGTTATGTTTGAGAGAATGTGTTTTGTGAAGTCAGAGAAGCAAAAACCACATGAATGGAGGGAGGAGGGAGGAGTACTAGGTGAGTGTGTGTGTGTGAATGAATATTTGTTTGCGATGACTGATGATGATGATGAATGATGATGAAGAAGAAGAAACTGAATGGAGCATAAGAAGGAAAGGAAAAAAGGGGGTGATTTTTATAGGTGGAAAATTAAAGAGGAGGAAGAATTAAGTCATTAAAGGAGGAGGATGAATAACGCCAGTCTGTTTCCTTGAATTTCACCATCTCTTTGTGTCTCTCTTTCTCTACAACGTTCTAACCATCAGATGCCCTCTTCATTAATGCAGCCGTTGGATTTCAATTTTCCACTATTTCATGCACCCTTCAAATTTAACACCTTTAATAAAAACAATTTTTAAAAACCAGTTTCTGGCTAATTGAAGGAGGAGGAAGTTTCAGTGGGTAGTGTTCTTCAAAAAATCAAAAGAATAAAAAGCGGCAATAAGGGCAATAGGGAAAGAAAATAATAATAATTTTAGGTCCAGGGAAAGAAAGAAGGCTAGGGACCCCTCTTTTTTCCTTTTTACTCTCTCTTCAACTAATTTCTGCAGGGAAAGGAGCTGAGTCTTTAAGTTGCTGCATTCAATGAAAGGAGAAGAGAAATAAATGAGATTGGTTGAGAGAAAGGAGAGAAGCCATGAATGAATGTGTGCAAGAACTAGATTCCAAATTTCATCAAGAAAGAAAGAAAAAAAAAAAAACAATTTGCATACTACTTTACATTAATATAGAGGGAGCTGGCCTTAAGATGCTGGTAATATGTTTTAGTTGTTGTTTACTAGAACATGGGTTCTGAAACTGATCTCTTTGGCTGGTTAGAGTTGGGTGAACAACCCACCAACAATGTAGTAACATTAACCAAACAAAAGTTTAAAAAACAGTAAATGTTTCTGTCCAAAAACGATTGTCTAGTTTGCTGTAACTTTCAGATTTTTTGGAACATATTCTTGTGTGATAACTACTAGCCTTTTCTCCAAACCATCAAAATTACTAAGAATAACAAAAACAGAAACATTATCTAAAATTCATCGCCAGAGGTAAGAATTTAGAAGCCATTGAGGTTTGACCTTTGGACCTGTCTTCAATGCAGATGGCAGAGTGGGGGGGGCAAAGGTCAACCACATTACTGTCACGGTTCTCGGTGCAAACTGCAAACTACCACCCCCGCCCAAAAAAAAAAAAAAATCAAAAAGTCAACTCATGGGATTTGATATTTTTGGGCAGCACAACAAACAACCGCAGAGCAGAGCCCAATCTTAGCTGATTGGGAAATCAAAAGCATTTTTATCCTTATTAACCCAGAAAGGAAAAAAAAAAAGAAAAAAGGCATAAGTCAGTCGGTCAGTCAAACGTTGCCATGATTCTGATGATGATCAAGTTAGCCTAACACGTATGTAGCATTTTTACACAATTGAATTGAAGTCTAATAAGAATTTTTTTCTTTATTTATTTTTTTTTTTCAATATGACCATTTTTTAATGTTTTCATCACTCAGTACTCATTCATTCATTGGCTTATGGAACGTAAAAAGAACTGAAAAGAAGTTAATTTTGAACCAGCAGTGTGTGTGTGTGTGTGTGTTTTAAGTAGTTTGTTTAATTTAGTCGAAGCCTATTGGTCTGGAAATACGATACCTCAACGAGGATGGAGAGTAACATTTGTTAGAGCATTATTTACCGCCAACTTTAACTAATTATCTATATTGAATGAAACTTTTTGGTTCTTAAATGTTGATCTTCAGTTCATTTTGGTTTTTTTCTCTTGAAAAAGAAGTTCAATTTATTCACGTTTGTGTTTGTTTTTCCAATATCAATTGGTTATCCGTTCGAGATCAAATATTTCATGATAAGATACATTTTTGCTGCACTTTCTCTGTTTCAAAATAATACACTCGGTTGAATTAGAACAACACAATACGGTGAATTACTTTTCTGGACTGAAGGAAACTACTCAACATCAACAAATGGATGGACAACGGCGTCTGCTTATGAAAGAAAAATCAGCAAAGAAAAAAAGGAAAAAGATTATAGGTGTTTGCATCAGTTAATGAAAAAGACCAAGAACAAATTATTAAATTAGTTTAATCGTACGTGATTCCTTGAGGAAAAAGAATGTGTGCTTAATCAAAACTAGTTTACCTAACCTTCTTGAGAACATGTATACATTTTTATTTGGCAGGATTTAGTCATATAATAGGCATATTGGCTACCTAATAAGAATTGCTTTCTCTTCACATTTGTCATTTTATCCTAAATCGAGAGAATATACTCATTTCTTAACAAACTTAACATAGGACTGTCTTTTTTTAATCAATAACGAGCACAAGATTTAATAAAGGATGACCTTTTTTTTTTTTTTTTGCGTGTTGTTAACTCTCACCAAATACTCTACGTATGATAATGACAAATATTTCTATCTTCAATCTGAGTATGTCCAAAAGCAAATAAATATTACCTACATTGCCAAGATGCCATACTTTTTACTTTTAAAAAAAAAAAGAAAAAAGAAAAAGACTAAACTATATGAGGGTGTTAATAACATTTGAGCAAATTAGCACAAATAGAGGTATTTTCAATTGATTGGTTATCGACTTAATCACACACTTCCAGAGTAAGACACCAAATCCGTAGGTTAGACCAATTGGTAAATTCAGGAATTAAGTACGATTTGACATAGAAAATATGTACCATAAGCATAAAGTATGGAGTTTGGAATCTTGAAGAAGTTAACTTGGAGATTAGTCGAACCAGAATATGTAATACTAGCTCATCTAAGTCCCGAAAAAACAAAAGAGGTCTTCCCAAACACCTAAATAAATCGTCCCATCTGTTTGCGTTTCATCAACGTGGATCAAAATAATCTCAATTATTGTTTTAAACCAAGATATGGCTGCCTATACTTTTTGGTGGCCAGCACAATTTAGACAGGTAGAATTGAATAAAAGGTTTCTGGCTATAGGAACAATTAATATTTGAACAACCCTCTAACCTACATTTTTTAAAGTGCTCTTAATATAGAGGGTAAACTACTAGGAAGCGAAAAGTCGGTGGTTCCACCCACAGTAAAGTGCCAAATTGAAGCAAATATCTAAGAAATAAAAAAATACAATAAGCAAAGTTCTTAAAAAAAAAAATTCTCCCTTTATCCAACCAAAAATAAAGTCCAAATTGATTTTTAAAAATTATAATATTTTTAGTACAAATCTCAATGTAGACTATTTTTCTGGAACGGAAGAATTTGTAATGTATTCAGTACAAATTTCATTGTGGATTTTTTTTTTTTGAGACGGGAAAACAATATAAATCTCAATGTAGATTATTATGGATTATTTTTTTGAGAGGAGAAAACAATATAAATCTCAATGTAGATTGTTTTTCTGGGACGGGGAGTAAATAATACTTCATCCATCCCAGAAAATAAACTATTACTTTGTAGAATACATAAAGTGTTTTGTTTTTTTGGAAGAGGAATACATAATGCAATTATGGATATACCAGTAAAGTAACATGTTCAAGCCATACTTGCTTCTGGGGAGCAGCATATCATATGATTACGTTATGGAGGAAGACTTCCACAGCTAAGTCTGATGCAGGACAATTCAAATCAATCATCTAAAAGGATACAAAGTTAGAAGCATTGCACTTGGAACCAAACTGCAATTAATAAGAGTCTTAAGATTCTGTAGAAGTGCCAATTGTCTTGATGGATTGATCCTTAAACACTGACATAGATTGGCAGTTGCAACATTTTGCAGTTCATTTTCATAGAGCTCAGATGATACATCTTCAACTTGGATAGGGAAAATGGTTCTCTGGATGCAAAACACGATCGATCCAAACTAAGTTAAGACTACAGTTATACGGAAGCATCAACCGAAACAAGCAACTGGATGCTTCAATTTGAGATGCAGTCTCAAAAGAGAGGAAGATAAATATTCTCTTGAACAATGTAAGTTTTTCTTCCAAAGATCAGAGTGTTATTAAATGCATAAATACAAGAGACCATCCCCGATAGAGAATAATCTTGAAATCACGAGAAGTTGGGAATATCAGATGGAAGATACCAAGTTAGGAGCTTTCTCTTATTTACGTTTATAGTCATTATGCTAACTATACATTTTTGTTAAAATGTGAATTATTTTTATGGAACGGTGTCGAGTACTATCCAACAAACATCAAGAGATTGTGTCTGTCTTGAAAGTAAAATCAGCCCAAAAAAAAATAAAATAAAATAATCAATGATTATATGTGTTTTCATCAGTTAATAAAGAAGAAGAAGAACAAATGACCAAGGAAAAAGAATTTGTGCTTACCCAAAGCTAGTTCAGTTAACCATCTCCATCTTCAGAAGATGTATACATTTTTATTTGGAAGGATTTAGTCCCGAATGTTGGGTACCTAATAAGAATTGCTTTCTCTTTACATTTGTCATTCAATCCAAAATTAACAGAATGTTAAAGTTAAATTTAGGAGTAATTTAAGAGTAAATCAGTGATTGGGTCCAGTGTGATGGTTTTCTCTTTTTATTCATTAAGAAAATAGAGTAAATCAGTGATTAGCTGATTAAATCCCACAACTATAGGTCTTTCACATAGAAAATAGGAACCCTAAATTATAAAATTTGGAGTTTGGAATCTTGAAAAAGTTAACTTTGAGTTTACTCTTTTCCAAAAAATAAAACTTTGAGATTACTATCGGAATATATAAGTACTAATTCTAAAAGACAATACGATATGGAGGAAAGACTTTCTCAGCTAAGTCTGATAATCAAATCAAACACCTGAAAAGTAAGAAGCATTGTACTTTGGAACCAAACTGCAACCCTAACAGCAATTTAATAAGAGTCGTTGATCTGTAGAAGTGCCATTGTTTCCTTAAAGACTGCAATAAAAAAGAAGTGCCATTGAGTTCAGACGTCATATCTACAACAAGAAGACTAGAATAGAAAAGATGATTCTCCCAATGCTGATCCAAAACTAAGTTAAGACTACAGCATCAACTGAAACAAATTTTTGATAACCTCAAGATAAAAATGAGCAAAATAATGTCCATGAATGAATTCAATGAAAAGAAGCTGAGAGGTGTTTGTAACTGAAATCTAGAAATCCAAACCATGCTCAAGGCCGTGATTAGCTTCAAAGTGAGGAGCAAACGGATATAGTTGCAATAGAGACATGTCATCTCAGAAAAACAACAGATTTCTCCATGAACAGTGTCCCATTTTCTTTCAGTGATTTCTTTTCCGATTAATAAGAAAGCACAAGAGTCCATCACTAATAGAGAAGAACTTGCAAATCACAAAAAGATGGAAAGAAGAAACCAACTCCATGTTCTCTCAATCACTTTTTCTGACATTGCTGCGGCCAAATCTCTTTGCTCACAATTCAATTCAGCACAGAACAGAGAAGATCATGCTTATTCTCTTGCTTGTTTTCCTTCAGAAATGAGACTAAGCTAATTCAAACCCACCTGCCAGTAATCCTTCCCAGAAATCAACTCATGAGGACATTAAATAAGACTCATACAACCAGCATTCATTCAGATAAATGAACACCCTTTAAATAAAGCTTTATCTTCAGACACATTAGATCGATATCTAGGGGCCGCAACTTTCCCTCTTTGTGATGAAATTGGCGTTGGAAAGATAAATAGTGTAACATATTTGTAAAGAGATTTAAGCTATATCCTCAGCCCCTTTTAAAGTTTTATGATTTAAAAGAAAACAAGAAAGCGCGGGAAATGTTAATTAAGAATCCTATAACATATGAAAGTCACAAAGCACAATAGTTTAAAACTTAGGGTCCATTCCGAATCAAAAATCTTGCTAGCTAATGATTACTACTACACTACGCACAGTCCCGGTGCAACCTTCCTGATCAGGAAAAGGAAGGGATGATCCGCAACAAAGTCCACTCTTCTTGGTGGAGAACAAGCATCCTGTCCCCGCAGAATAGCAGCGGTTGCGGCAGCAGCTTCGGTACCTTTTTCGTTCACCTCAATGAAAGATTAGTGAAAGATTTTCTTAACACGAAGATTGCTGCCATTTACCATGTCATTGAGGCCTTTGGTAAAAGGTAAAACCAGGCCTAATTGCTTAAGAACATCTCAAGCTTCGAACCCATATGAGATCTTAAATTTTGGAATGACAAAGTCACCAACTGGAACTTCACATCTCGGCAAATGACGGTCTACAAATCCGGGTTCACCAATAATCTTTTCCACCAAAGACAACAACCCGTTATAGGCATCAGGGAGATACAAGTACACGACCTTTATCTTGCCCGATTCGATAAGGAAGGCGCAACACTTTGAAACCATTGTAGACCTTTATATACTGATCTTCCTTACTGGTCATCAAAGGGGCTTTGATCGTGCTGCCATCCAAGAGGTGAAATTCATGTTTTCTCGTCGTTGATTCATCAAAACTCTGCTCCCAGACTCCTTTAAAATACAGAGCATTTGCAAGAATCAACTTTGTTGATTCATCGACTTCACCGGGCGGAATAAGGTGTTTGATGATACCATTGGTTTCGGTTTCAGCCCAAGTGTTCACCTCAACTCTAGCCTCATCGGGCTTGTTCTGGAAATCCACTTGACTGGAACGAGCTTTATAAACATAGTCGGCAACGTGCTTGAAATCGGGCTTGAAAGAAAGGGACTGATCAATCCAGGCTCCGTTAACAAACGACAACCGAGGGCCACTGGCGCTGCTGCCATCGATCAACACAAAATTCACGAGTTCAGAGGACAAAGAATTCAGTTCCTCGATGGATTTGGAGTTGAGGAAAGAGAGGAGCTGCTGTTTAGTCGGCCCTGTAGCCCCTGCTACGATGAAACTCAGTACAACGTTTAAGGACAGCGGCGACAACACGCAATTGGTGTTGCCCTTCACCTGTTCGACAATAATCGGCTTTGCTAATGTCACTCCGGCATCGTTTTGCTTACTGGTCGGAGTGGGATTCTTGATTTCCTTCTGTTGGGAAGGACGATCGGAGGAATCGGGGGCAGAATAGTCGTATCTTTCAGGCCGCCGGTACCGGAATGGACCCTCAAAATATTCCGGTGAGTAAACACCACCGGAGGGTGATTGTTATTATTACTCTTCCTCATCATCTAAATTGAACGCAGGGCTTTTGTGGGGAACCTTTGGCCTTTTTATAAAGATTCATTAATTTATGGATAAATTAATAATTAATGAGTTTTTCAATTCTAATAAAGAACAAATCATCCAAAGTTTTATTATTTTCATAAGGAGAAAATTTGGTTACTATCCTATTCATATTATTATACTAATTTTTTTGTATTGGAAGAGAGTTATGACAATTGTGAATCTAGAAAAAGAAATAATTATCAAATCAGGTATTTATTAATTAAGAAATTGTGAAAACTTATAATTACATAGAGAATTATCGAAAAGTTATGATCTTATATATTAATTGAGTTCCTAGCTGGGACTCAAAAAAATTATTTTTTAAAAGAAGTTATAGATTTATAAATGATTAATTTATGGAGGTTCTGTTGTTTGTCATTTGTTGATTAATTTATGGAGGTTCTGTTGTTTGTTGATTAATCAGGATTAATTTTTTCTGGCGTTCTTTCCAGATTTATTGATTCATTCAATCATGATTCATTCTTGAGTCGAACAGGCCAAAGATTTGCAGGACTGGTGTCGAGAGGGATACTTTCACGGCCGACTAGAATCAAAGTGAATCTTTTGTCAGAATTAAGAAATTCTAAAATTGAGAAATCGGCGCTTTGGAGTTACAGTTGCCGAAGCAAAAGATGTATCTTACCCGCCGGCCATGCTGCCGTCAAAGGTACCGCTACTGAGGAAACCCACTTCAATGTCAAGGTTGGTTATGACAAGTTTGATGACCAGAGTTTAGTGAAGCGCCATCATGTGTTGGATGATCTTCAATCCAATCGATATCTTAAGTTTAGGTTACATTCTTGACTTATTGAAAGATAAAGCTTTCTTTGTGCAACATTGAATTTCAATGAGGAAAATTGACAATAGGGCAACGAATAGGAAAAAAAAATTTGAGATTCAGGGAGATTTTGCCTCATGAAGTGCATATATATGACCTTCTGTGTTATCCGAGGGGATATGAGCTTCTGTAATTACCTTTATTAATTCAAGTTTATTTGGATCTTATTGAATGTGATGAAGAATAGAAAAATGACTTAAAAAGTCCAAGAAACTAAATGGAGAATATGAGAATGTAATCGAAACTAAATGTTCTTTGATCACAATCCAAATTAATATCCATGAATTTAGTTTTAGTTTGGATTAGTAATCCTGATTCACATATAAAACTTACTGGATGGTAAGTTGATTTTTTTTTCAAATCTTGATGAGGTGAAAACATAATCATTAGCATGTTTTTCACCTAATTAGCAGGTTAAGAATAGAGAAGAATTTTTTTCAAATATTTCTCACCCCACAATTATTAGACTGCACTATATTTTGATTGGTTATAATTTAACTGAATGGTTTAGTCTAAAACAAATGACTGGATCATAGAATTTCCTATATATGTATATATATATATATAGACAGATAGATTTGTGTCATTTGTTATTTTAATTTTTTTTACATATAGGGACTATTTTTTTGGAATGTTATGGTGTACAAAATCAAGCGGCAAATTGTTTCAAAAATAACACGGTGGTGCCAAAGTGTACCAAAAAATTTCATTTTAAGGAGCCATTGGATGCTTCAACCGGACATGCCATTCAATCGGCAAATCGCTATAGTTTATGATATTACAAATGGGATTAGAGAAAGAGCCCGTTGTTGATTACGCCACGATGTATCAGTGGTAACTTACTCCTGTCGTGTTGTGATTCCTTAGAAGCTTGAATATACTTCCCTGTTATAAACTCGTAATGAAAACATTTTGGATCAAAGGATAAAATACATGAAATTAAAGGAATCCTAAGGCAAATATTATTATCGGAGTCATATAGAAATTGTGCTAGATAAAACTTATATAGTCCATCAAAATCTGGTTACACATGCAATGATGATTACTTAAAGATGCAAAAGGATTAACTACATTGCCATTGTAATCTTCTTTAATTATGCAAAAGAATGGATGATCCGCAACGAAGTCCCGCTTAGGTTCTAGTGGAATACTAGAACTACATAGCAACACATGAGCAACGGTCGCCGCGGCTGGCTTCTGTACCTTTTCTGTTGATCTCCGTGAAAGATTTGTGAAAAACATATTCTCCCTCTGTTTTGCCAATGTCAACCGATCTTTTGATTTCCTCTGTTAAGTGATTAAACGACTCCGATTGGTACAATCAAATACTCCCTCCGTCCCATAATTATTGTCCAGTTTAGGTTTTCATTTTTAGTTCAAATTGTACTAAAAGTAAAATCTCAAACTGGACAATAATTTTGGGACAGAGGGAGTAGTATTCAGAAATTAAACAAACCACTTTAGATAACTTTCAATTGGAAACAGTCGTTGACAGGAACATTGTTTTTTGCATAACAAACTAATAAAACTACAAATCTTCATTTGTTACTATTTTAGGGAAGCTATTTTTTACTGGTAGTAAATTGAATGCGTTTAGGTCCTGAAAGCTCATTCTGCAGTAAATTGGGAAGTTTACTGCAACAATTATAACAAACCTTTGAAAGTTTGCATTCTCAAATACGGCTTCAAAGGCTTGAATTCACTACATGCTTGTTAGTAGTAATTGAAATACAACCAAACTTACAATATTCAACCACTGCATTCAACCTATTTACGAGAAACAAGTTCCAGCATATGCTAAATAGCAACCATCATCACACAGCTAAAACTATTTACGATGAAAATATCAAAGCCACCAAAATAATTATTCAAGCTTATAAACAAAACCCTCAGCCAATTCAACAGCAGTAAAAACAATAATAAGCAAATATTAACACCATCTACAGACTTCTGATCTCAAAGTAAACTAACATTGAGAAACAGCAAAGGGCCGCCCACTCAGAACCCGATATTCTCTCTGTCCTCGCATTTTCTCGCCCGACATCTTTTATTGCTGTTCTTTTCTGAAACCTTCTTAATGGATGTCTTAATGCTCTGTGGAAGCTCTGCCGGCCCTCAGGAAAGAACCATGTTGTTGACCACCCACAAGCACATCTTTCAAACGAGTCAAGGGGCCGAACAACCTGCTCATTCTCTGTCATTAAAGAAAAATATTAATTCATAGCTGCCCATGGTATAGAGAACAGAGAACCAACTATGACTAAAGGTCAATGATCACGGTTGAGTTGTGCACCAATAATCACACATACTCCCTCCGGTCCTTAATATAACGCATTTTGATTTGTCCTAAAGTTTCGCCTATTAAGCATTTTTAACTAACAAAAAAACCTTAAAAATATATTTTCACATTCTTTGTATTCTTTCGATTGTTATGAAATATTTTTAAGGTTTTCTCGTCCATTATAAATGCGTACTAGGTGAAAATTAGGACAAATCAAAATGCCATTTATTAAGGACCGGAGGGAGTAGCAGTTTAAACATTGTGGCTTTCTCAGTGAAATAACTGAAGCAAGTTGTCCTTTCATCATTTGTTCATCAAGTAATCAGATTTGCTTTCACATTCCAATTTTTGGGTTTCTGTCAAACTCAAAAGCAATCACCAATAATCACGGTGGTTAGATGATTTCATAAAATCTTAAAACTAAAACTTCCAGAAAAAATCATTTATTTGGAGCTGCGAAAGCCAAGTTATGAATTAACCAAGAACCTCATGTGTCAATTCAAGAAGTAAGAACCCACTAACTCATCAATGAAACGGTACTAGCTCATCCTAAGTAGATATTATAATGGCTGAGCCCGATCAACACCTCAACACCATCACGTAAACAAAAAAAAAAAATATCCAGCCAATTCAACACTCCCATCCGGTTATGGAGCAATTCAAGAACTCCGTTATCATTCTCATAATTGTTATCCATTTATGTTGTGTATTATAATTATATCTAGTTCACTAATCACTTCATAATTTCCTACCATAAAACAGACTATTGATGATAAATTCCCCTGTCATTTTGCAAACATGTACCACACTAACAGGTTGTAATCACGCAGAAAATGTGATTACTTTTGAGTTGCCCCTCAACAGTAGAAAACCATAAATTAACGTAAGTACCTCATTGTTGAGACTAAATTGCCACTTGAGTTGCAAAACTTGCCATCTCTCCTGCTGCCAGTGCTGGCCAAGAATAACCAGACCCATCAGAGCAGCAGCGACGAATATAGACCAAACTGTGTTGGCTTCTTTGGCATGAGTGTAAAATGAAGCAGCCCGCCTTTTCCACCAAGCTCCGAAGGGAACATCAGGGCCCTCATAATCTTTGTCTACTTGTTCTTTCAGATTCGATATGCTCAAATGCAGATCATCATGATAAGATTCTATCGCACCAGTAGCTGCAATGTCCTCATCCACTTCAGAAGACTCATCAATAGTTGGGTCATCATTATAGGAACTAAAATTTTCAGTTTCATAAAAACTCTGCTCTTTTTCTACCATGTTTAACCCTGGAAATGTAGAACCTTCCTCAAATCTTGTAGCACCAAACATATTACCCTTTTCTCCGAACATTGGAATGCCTGGAAACTCATCTGTGGCATCCAACCTTTTGGATGAAAAAATTTCCTCCTCCTTAGTGTCAGATTGGATCCCTTCTTCACCAACAAATTGAGAATCCGAATCTTCACTTTGCTGTACGCTACTGTCAATCTCATTAGTTTCAGGCTCCAATGGCAAATTTTCATGCTCACTTGGAGGAAAGACAAAGTGACCCGACATAAATAATGCGAGAGAAGTTTCCGGCTGGTTTCCTTCAGCAAACTCACTTTTTGCATCATGAGTCATATCAACTTGCTCTGGGTTAGGAGCAGCAGCATATGTTGATGCCGTGAGTGACACGACCTCCCACTCATTCCCGCGAGGGGCATAATCCTCATTGTCCTGTTTATCTTCCATCTATGGCCAGTGGGATCTACAAACTGCACCAATAATAGAATTTTTAACACCGCGGCCGTAAACCATATAACTTTCACAAAACTAATTCAGATATCCAACTAATTTCAAAAGAGCAGAGCAAAGAGAATGAACATAACAACACAGTTATGGAGCTAGTTGTATATTTCCTAGTTTCAAGTGATTGCCAAATGAAAAACCTCTCAAATATATTATCAGGCAATCAGCAAAACCAAACAGAATACAGCATGCCAAGTATTTTTTCACAAAATACTAAAAGCTGATTAAAACAACTAAAAGCATCAAATAATTCCACCAAACACCACAATTAAACTTCAACAGAATTGCACAATTCTTCCCCGTAACACTGATGAAGTACCGATTGCAAAACACAACTGAAATCATTGGGGGGCGGGTGGATATTTCCAATAAAAAAAAATTGAACAGATACAAAACATTTCAATCAAACCAAACCCTCCGAATCCTTCAACGGCCGACCACAAAGTAATAAAAACAAAATTTCAAAGTCCACGCAAGCTCCAAGAAATCAAAAAAACAAAGATCCAAATGAAACAAAACAAAAACATCCAAAACAAATGAAGTCAATCTGATCGTCATACTTAAATCGGAATTAAAACAAAACAAACGAATCGAAGCTGATCAAAGAGAAAAAGAAAACCGATAAAAGTACTCACAGAAGTGAAGAAGAAGCAAAGAACGGTGGGGATCGGAGAAGGGGCCCGGTGTGGTGGCGTGGGAGAAATAATTGGGGGAAACTGCCTCAGTCTGAAGAAAGTGGTCTATATCCGTCGCAAAACGAGGGGCGGTAAAAAGAGTACCGGAACTGGCGGTAATTTTTGTAGTATATGTGTACTACTTTTTCTACTACCTCTCTTTATCTCTTTTCACTGTTACCTATCTATTAGTAATAGTTCCAAGGTTAGATCGTGATCACATGATGAGGCTAAATCTGACAATTTCTATTTTATTAGCATGATTTTGTTAATATTGATTGTTGCTTGTTCCACACTTTCATGACAATTTGTATCTTAAACATGGCTCATAATAGATGGGGATTTATTTTAAAGACGATTTGTTCCTTTTAGAAATGAACAAATGAACAATTACAATTTCGACTTGATTCATTATGACTTGTTGTTTTACATTTTAGGGGGTATTTTTATTTATTATTATTGGGGCTACTTGTTTTTAGGATGGGTTTTGCTATATTGAAGAATATTGAATTTCCACCAACAATATTTTACTACTTGTCTATATATGTTCCTCTTTCTAAAGTATATTTGACCTTTTTTTTGTTCATTTCATGCAATTTTATTAGTTCATTTCACTCTATTTTATTATATAATATCGTATAACAATTTATATAAATGAGGCAGAAAAAGCATTTCTTGTTTGGATGGTGGTTAGGAAAAAGTTTTTTGGAATATGTATTGGAATATCAAGTACGAAAAATATCACTAAATAATCGAAAAGTGTCAATTTTATTCACTGTAAAAAAAAGAATTTTAAAAATAATCTCTAAACAACGGAAAATTGTCGATTTTGGTCACTGTAAAATATTAATTTTAAAAGTTATTCCGTGATTTTAGTGATCATTTTGTAGTGACCAAAATCGACACTTTTCCGTTGTTTAGTGATCATTTTTGAAATTCTTTTTTTACAGTGACTAAAATTGATAATTTTCGATTGTTTAGTGATATTTTTTGCACTTGATATTTCAATACATATTCCAAAAACCTTTTTCCTAACTACCATCCGATTGGGCCTCAGTTTTTTTACTAGAGGCAAACTGAAATAAATATGCAAAGTTTTGGATTTAGTCACTGAACTATTTTTAGTTCAAAAAATAGTTACTGTACTAGCAAAATGTTTCAAATTTGATTTTAAAATATAAATCAAAAAATTGTTTGGATGTCAATTTGATTTACATTAAGTTTTGTGTTTAAGAGTCAAAATGAGTAAACGTCCAAATAAACGCTTGGTTTTTGTTAGAGGATTAGGAGGCCTAATGACTCAGAAAGATCAAAGGTTTGTCACTTGCCAACAAACGACGTCGGATCACGGCGACGACGAATATAGTTGGTGTGGCGGGGAATGCAACAGAAAAATCGCTTTATCTATCTGAGAGCTCGGAAAACTGAAAAAAGTACCTCCAAGTCCGACCGCCTCCACACGGCACCGGTAACGGAGTGAAAGGAATGGGTGATCTCTACGCCTTGGATTTTGACGGAGTTCTCTGCGACAGCTGTGGAGAGAGCTCTCTTTCCGCCGTTAAGGTCAGACGGAAAAAGAATATCTCCCTTTTTTTTCCTACGCACATTTTCGCAAGTTAAAGTTGAATTATTTGTACTTAGATTAAAATTTGATGTTTTAGTAGTTTCATCGATGTTTTTATTGGTAGGCTGCGAAAGTAAGATGGCCTAATCTGTTCAAAGGCGTAGGTTCGTCGACAGAAGAATGGATTGTTGATCAAATGCACGTAGTAAGTGTGAACTAATCTGCTCGGAATCATGTAATTGTTGAGTACTTTTTTGTTGTCATTGCTTGTTGATACTGAAATTAAGTTAAATGTGCTTAATTGTATCTGCTTGTTACACTATTGGATGATCTGATTGATAAATATTTTTCTTGTATTTATGTTTAGTCTATTTGTATTCGATTGTACATCCTTTTGGGTGAATCCTAATTGTTGAATGATGTGTCAAATGTTTAAAGAGTATTAGATGGAATGATACACAAATGTTATACATATCCATCATCTTTCAGCTTAAAATTGTTTGAATTTCTTTTATCTTGTAGGTTAGGCCAGTTGTGGAAACTGGATATGAAAATGTTTTACTGGTGAGGCTGCTGTTGGAGATGACAAACCCTTCTGTTCGAACTTCATCGGTGAGTAATTCATGGTGTAAATTTTCATGTTACTTCAAAATGATCCTTATCGGGTTTATTTTACTTGCTCTTTAAATGGTAGCCTTGGGCCTGATATTTCTGGTTGGTGTTCAAGGTTGCGGATGGACTCACCGTGGAAGGAATTCTTGAGAATTGGTCGAAGTTAAAGCCTGTTATCATGGAAGAATGGGATGAGAAGAGGGATCCTCTGATTGAACTCTTTGGTAAGATCAGAGATGAATGGATCGACAACGATTTGGCAACATGGATCGGGGCCAACAGGTAAACTTTATAATCATGGTTGTATGACTAAATAAATTGCACATTGTGCTCATAATCAGTGTTCCATAAACTTTTTCACTCTATGGCTTTCATTTCATTACTTTAACATACAGAATCTTCATCAAAATGCTTGAATCTTATTTTCTTTTTCTCTTTAAAGGGCGAAAAAGAAATGTCTGTTTGATACATTATTATATAAGTTACAATCCTAGCCATGAGTCTTAGACCACCTTGCCAAGTGTTTAAGCCTATTCATGGCTCTGCATGTTTAACTTGTATAGCCAACCTTTTTCTCGTAGTAGATGTACTCAGCTAATAAACTGCTTATGGATGAACTTCATCACTATATTGAAAGAACGGTGGTATATGTCAACTGTAGTTTTACTGATATTTGTAGATTGAGAATGATAAGTAGAAGTGCTTCTGCTGCAGATTTTATCCTGGTGTTCCAGATGCTCTGAAGTTTGCTAGCTCCAAGCTCTACATTGTCACCACAAAACAGGTTTCTTCTAAATGAACTTAAAAAAGCCAGTTCGGAAGATCAGATTCTAATTTTTCTTCTGTTTTTAATTGGTTACAGGCAAATTTGAAACCTTTTTCCGTTCTCTAAAAGGAGTATACTTCCTGTGTTGAACTAATTCACAATTTTGCTATTATTCACAAAGTCATGTAAGCTAAAGTGTTTCTCCTTCTGTTATCTTTATTAAGATTCTCTTATCCTCATCATGCCTCCAGAGTCGCTTTGCTGATGCATTGCTTCGAGAGCTAGCTGGTGTAACTATTCCAGGGGAAAGAATTTATGGACTTGGGACAGGGTGAGTATTCTTTAAAATGAACATAATAGGTAAAATCAATTACTGGGTCTTCTGATCTGTTATTATACAAGATGGTGTAATTTCACTTTCGCAAAATTTGACATAGTTGTCTAAATTACTCAGGCCAAAAGTTGAAGTGTTGAAGAAGCTTCAGAAAATGCCAGAGCACCAGGGTCTGACACTGCAGTAAGAAGATCCCTTTGTTAATTCATTCATTAACTGTGACCACTTCCTTTTCCTGAATTCAGAACTATAACTTGAGCTTAGCATGCTTACTGTCGCCATTTTGTTTTTCTTTTCTTCTTATGTTTGATCATACATTTCTCACTATATGGACCAGCTTTGTAGAAGACCGGCTTGCTACCCTGAAGAATGTCATTAAAGAACCAGAATTGAACAGCTGGAACTTGTATCTAGGTGAAAGTCATCACATCTTTAGTGATATAGCTTCCTTGTTTAGTTTCAGAGTGAATTATGATGGTATGGTTTTTAACAACACTTTAATGAAGCAGGAGATTGGGGATACAACACTCAAAAGGAAAGGGAGGAAGCTGCAAGCATATCCAGAATTCACCTTCTTCAACTCTCTGACTTTAGTGAGAAGTTAAAGTGAAATATTGTCCACAATACTCCCACAGTCCTACTATCTTCTAGTATAAGATTTTCGGGAGAGATAGCACTCATTGAGTTATTTCTCTATGATTACCAAAAGGATTCATTTTTTAGCGTCACTTGTAGTGGCCAAGTACCACTTCTACCTCTGATCACGTTTCTACTTTCCCATCCAACTACTAGATTATGGTTACTTCAATGTAGTATCTATTGGATCACCCCGCTATAAATGCCCTCCTTTGCCTTCTCCAACAGTTTCTTCAAAATAGTTAACAACATAACTGTCGTAGCTCAAGAACATGTGGGAAATGGCACCAAAAAATATTCTCTAGTCACACTCCCCAAAAAGTGAAAAAAATGATAGGGATGACCATATCATCTTGTCTGTGACTCAATCCAACAGGATAACACTTCTAGCTTTGGGAACATAACCATTGTTACTTAAGAACAAACATTCTGTGCAATAATGACACCTAATGTGTCGCTTGTTAAAGGAAAGAGTATGAATCTTATCAGTTGATTAGTTCAGAAAGTTTACTTCATTGATAAGCTGTGAACAGAATATGCCGGACTATGAAGCCGGAGATACAAAGCCACTGTATGTCATCTAGGACTTCTGTTCTCCGTTACTTTGAAAGCAATGAAAAGAAGTTTACAGTATGCACTATGTAATAGATCTCTTAGGTTAGACAAGGCCGATGCAGAATTAGGAGAGAGATTCATAAAAGCTGCAATGACAAAGAGACAAGAAAAGACTACTACGTAACAGTTATTACACTAGCATTACAGTTCAGTGTGTTTGTCCTGATCTCCTCCACTTTTCACACTCTGATGCTCATCGAATACTTGATCAAATGGAGGATCCCCAGGCCTTCGGAAAAACTGATCCCCTATCTTGATTTCGTATGCATCTGGTTGGCTTAATATAAACTCCTTCAACTGCAATCATAAATTCAGATTGTAGAACAGCATAAGCGTTTAATCTAGTTTGGCTAATCACTAATTCACCAAAACCACGCATCCTTAATAAGGCGATTCATGACACAAGATCAGAACACGAGACAAATCTAATGAAATCTAACCCGAAAATTGATACATTCATCGCATCGAACACAAACATCACATTTATATTGCGCGTGAAGACACAATATTTCGAACGGGATCTTAGAACTAGATTCATTTCGTGAAAACAATATTGACAAACGGACACAAATGCCACCGCTTCTGAGATTCTAACCATATTTGGAAATTATGTGGAGAAACCAATATTACCTCAATGGTGTCTTGGCCTTTTTCCATGGTGAACATGATAGTACTGACATCAAAGCCCATGAAATGCGCCTGAACTCCTCCCGTCTTCGCCAAATTCGTCCATTTCATCGCAAGTTCAGACACCATTTCCTATCAAACCAAAAGGGCAGTTGAAATTAATACCAAAAACCACCATTAACGATGACAAAAAAAAAAAAAAAATTGCATTACAGAGGTCCGACGAGTGCCAAGTCGGAGCTTAGCAAACCCGAAAACAGGACCCGTTTGGCGCTTGAGCATTTCGGCCTGCATCTCCGCAACATCCATCTTGGAAAATTCTTCGGGTTCGGGCGGCGGATCAAAATCGGGTGATTTCTTCTTGCCCCATTCCCTCCACTCGTCATCCTCCTCGTCGTCGACGACGTCGTCGAGGTCGTCGGTGATGTGGATTCTGCCCTTACCCGCCTCACTGAACCCGAAAAACAACCCGAACTGGAGCCCAATTAGGAGGATGAAAACGAGTGCAAATCCGCTTCTTTTCCTTCTTTGCTTAATCATCGCCATTTCTGTTCCAATTGTTTCTTTGATTCTTCAGAGAGAGAGAGAATTATGGAGAAATGGGTTCTTCTGGTATTTTCATCATCTGAATTTAGAACGTGGGAGTGAGTGATTAAGTTGACGAGAATTAGATGACAGACTGACACAACTCATTTTTCGGTTCTGTGCAATGAAACCAAATTGCCTCCAACTTTCTCGTCTAACGATTATTATTATCCTTAAAAAAACAAAATGTTGATTCAGCAAACCCAAGGCATTCAGATTCACCATTGTTTGATTATAGTGGTGAATTAGTGGATTTACTACCCAAAAAAAAAAAAAAAAGCATATTGTGATTTGCATATATTTTAATTTATTGGTTTCTACATTTTCAATATAACGATGTTAGTTGATGCAAAAATAATTCTTTACTTTGATCAATTTCTTACATCATGCGAACATATTTAAGAATAATCAACGTATAGGTTTCATTATAACAGAATAGATGATGTGTTTCAACCTTATTTCCAACGATCATTCTTCATGAAAATGAATCAAATGATCTATTGATATATTGAATTTTCTTCTCTTTTTTTTTTGAATAAAATCAATATATTGAAATCTCGATTTGCCGAAAATCAAACAAAACAACAAGCACACCATGACACCAAGATTCTTCCCATCTAGTTATACTCCGGGGAAAACCGAATCAGTAAAGTGCTTAAAATATTACTCCCTACTTAGTAAGTTTATTTATTTATTTTTGTTTGGTGGTTCTTTTTTTTTTTTTTTTTTTCTTGAAACGATGCTATCCAAAATGGGATCAATTCATTAACTTTACATGTACGCTACGTAGTTCTTGTATGTAATAATTTTAGCAATGTCACTAACTCATTGTAACAAAAATAATAATAATAATAAAAACAATGTCACTATCTATATTTCTTGACTATTCAAGCTTACCCGGTATTGTTTACATTTACGGATTTGACATGGGTACATAATTAAGAATTAAGAGCATCTCCAACCATTCCATTATAATTTATACCAAGTTTAGTGTAAAAATAGAATATTTCAAGAATGTTTCTATACTAAAATTCTTTGCTCTCCAACCTTGATGCAGTAAATTGTTTAAATATTTAATATTTCAGGTTAAATTTTATTTTGTGATTAATTAAAATCTTATAATTTGGTGATGATTTTGTGAAATTTGTTTTTTACAATCACTCTTTATTTGATTGTGGTAGTATCAAATTTTTTTTCAATTTTAATAATACCTAAAAATTAATGTTTTAAAAAATAAATTTTATATTCAATATGGGTCTTATTTTGAAGATCTCAACAAAATATTTAATATGATATAATTTTTCCAACATAATTCGTTTTACAAGTTCAATTACATAGCAAACATATATTTAGATTAAAGTAAAAAAATAGTGCACTAAATTTAGTGTAATGGACAATTTACATCAAATCTGGTGTAACCCTATTCATTACATCAAAATAGTGTTGTGATTTGGTGTCTTCGTTGAAGTGCAATTTTTATACTAAAACACCAAATTTAGTATTTTCGTGTCTTGGTTAAAGATGCCTAATGCATAACCAATGGAGAAGGGAATCCCAATAATTGGGATGTGGCTGACTTTAAAATACTTTTTTTTTTCTTGGTTGATTATTAAAATTACTGTTTGGCGATCGAATAGACCCATTTGGGGTTGAACTCATTTTCTTTTTTTTTTTTTTGGAAAATCTAAGCATTTCTAAAACAACGTAAAAGAATTGTATTATAATTTTAAACGACATTTTGTAGACAATCAAAGTGTAAGTGGTCTACGCAGAGGGGAAAATGCGGGAGTTCATAGTGGTGTAGTACTGTAGTTTGAACTATGAAAGATTTTTGAAAAGGCGATAGATTAGGGAGATTAAGCACATTTATCGTACGGTGAATTTTTACAGTCGATTGTACTTTTCTTTTCTTTTTTTTATTTTTGCTTACTCAAAAGATTTCATAGCCTATATGATATATAGTCAAACTTAATAATGCGAGATTCATATCATCATACTAGAATATGATATAGTCGGAATTTTGCATTCACCTAATGTATCTATAAATTCATAATAATCCAATCGTAAGGTATCGTCTATTTTTCTGTAAACGTTAGTGACAGCTAAAGTCATTCAAGCAAATCACCCTTTGGCTTAGCTGAGGGACATATATATGTAGAGTTTTTTCCGGGAAAGGGCGAGCTTAAGTGGTCTGGATTAGTTGCCTTAGCCAAATGGCGTGTGTTTGGACTCCACAGAATTTTTTCCTTCTGAGTTTTGGATTCTCCGGCAGCCTTTCATCCCAGAGGGAGAGGGGACCAAATGGATTTTTTTTCTTTTTCTTTAGAGAATTCAGAAAAGCGACTAATCATTGGAGGGGAAAAAAATGTAATAATAATTGGATCCTCATTTATTATTTTTATTTTTTGGTGAGCATTTTCCGATTTTTGGTGATGACATAGAAAATATATCACCATCTAACTAAAATAGTAAAATCATTTGGATCCTTGTCAACCGAAGTGTACTACCAGGTGAATTGCATGTTGACCAGTCCAACATTTGATTCGAATATCCGACGGCAGGCATAATCCACTTTACGAAAAGGGCAATCAAATCAAGAGCATTATTTCAATTCCATTTTGGGTACCTTCACCACTAACTTTATAGTCTCCCTCTGGGCTAGTTAAATGAAATTGACCACTTAAACACAATAATACGTCATTACATTCCTCATTTTGAAACAAGTTTTGGATTGTAGTAGAGTAACGTTTTTTCATATACTTATCTCATACGGCGGTCCATCATTTGTGGAAATCATAAAAAGATTTTTAATACTATCTTATAGCTCTAAGACTAAAAATCAAAGAGTTTAATAGTTTGGGACTAATTTAAAAGATTTGTCAACACCTTAGAATTGAAATGAAAGTTTTTCCGAAAATAATACTCTCTCTGGTCCTTAATATTAAGTATTTAAATTTGTTCTAGATTTCACCTATACACATTTTTAATTGACGCGAAAATTTTATGAATATATTTTCATATTCGTTGTATTATCTTGATTGTTATGAAATATTTTTAAAGGTTTTTTCTGTCAATTAAAAGTGTATATTAGGTGAAACATAAGATAAATCAAAATGCAATGGCGAGTGAAAGGAGGGTTAGTGGTTTTGGTGTTGGTCGGGCGAGAAATTTTTGCATTGGGAATTTCCACCAGAAAATTGGGTAAAGATGAACTCAGATGGTGCTTTTAATCCGGTTTTTGGAATGGCATGTGCTGGCGGAGTAGTGCGAGACCACTGTGGTAGATGGCTTGAGGGGTTTATCATGAATATCAAATTTTGCTTTATTACAGGAGCTGAATTATGGGAGCTTTTTCAAGGGCTTAATTTGACTTGGGAACTGGGATACCATAGTATTATTGTGGAATCAGACAGCTTGTGTGTTGTCTCTATGATTCAGGATGAGGGTTTGAATATGGGATCACATACTGCATTAGTCCATGGTATCCGGAGTCTGTTGAGCAGGCAGTGGAATGTACTGTTAGTTAATATATATTTAAATCAACAAAGTAAGATATAAATCCATAATCATAATCTTTAAAATAGATAACAGAGAAAGTTTGAGAAATAGGATTAAGATTCAGGCACGCCAAAGGTGCTGTCTTAAGAAGAGATACGCCCCCTCTACACAGAGTTTGACAGCGTTCATTTCCTAAGATACAATAATCGTCATAAGAGTCCTGGTGATGGCAGGATTCTCTATATTGCGAACTTGATCACGATCCAACTTGCTCAACAAGGAAATTAAATATATTTGTTTATTGTAAAATGGATCAAAAGATAAGCATTATTTATATAAAGTAGAAGGTGAAGAACAAGAGTATATATACTTTGGATATGAAAACCGTGTGTACTTAACCTTTCAAAAAGGGAGTGGAAAACGGTTGTTTTTCATGTACACCTATTTTCCTATTTAAAGTAAGACAAATATGAATCATTTGCTGCGGCAAATTCTTGGGTGTATCTGGAACCACTATGGTCTCCCTCCTATTTTTTACACATATGTTCCTTATTGTATTTTTTCTCAAACTTCTTATGTTTTGCAAGTTTAAGTCCCTGTCACTTTTTTTTTCTCTCTTCATAAAATATCTCTAATTTTTAAATGAGCATATCTCTCAATCCGTGAAGAACTAGAAAACAAATTATATATGAAATTCATAGTACTCATATCCAACAAGATCCATATCAAATATTTTTTTCGAACTTTAAATGACTAAATTTTGATGGGCAGAAATGAAGGAAATTTGTATATTATTTGGATGGATATCTAGTTTAAGAATATGGATAACCAACTTATTTTACATTTATATTGTTTTGTTCCTTGTATTTCTTGATCTGTGAATAATTAGAAAACGGATTATACATGAAATTTATAATACTCGACGAGATTTATCCGATAAGATCAATATTGAATATTAAATTCGAAAAATAAAAAAAATTAAAATACTCTGGGCAGAAACGAAAAAAGTATTTGTGGGTCCATTTTTTTTACTGACTATCCAACTGTTTTTTATTGGTTAGCCAATCATTTTCACTGATTATCCAAACAGAATTTCTTTTCTCTTTTTTTCTTTTTTAAAAATATCTGTTCAATGTGTTCATATTGATTATCCAACTTCTTGGTGATGGTTATCTAACCTTTTTTTCTTGTTTTTTCATAAAAATGATGTCTAATTTTTGTACTGATTATCCAACCAGTTTATACTACTTATCCAATTATTTTCACTGATTATCCAAATGAATTGTAATGTTTATCCAATTATTTTTTTCTGAAAAAATGGTTGTCCAGTGTGTTCAAACTGATTATTCAACCGGTTTGGTTTGGTAGCGCCTATCCACTTGCTTTGTACTTCCTATCCATCACTAAAGAAGGAATGTCCAAGACAGTTCAAATCGAGACGCTTACCCATTGCCTTTTTTGGT